GCATCTGTCTGTCTCGGGAGATAATGGAGTGCACCTTTGTGGGTGAGGTCAAACTTTCCTGTCCCGTCCATTGCCTTCCGGGTGTCAGAGCTCCGTAGGGCCCTTGTCTTCCCACCCCCTCACACACTGCCCCAACCACACACAGGGAGCAGGTGGGGGACTGTGATCCCCTGGGATGTGCGTGGAAGGCAGACTTTACTGGCAAGAAGAGCTAAAAGACTAAAAGAGAAAGCCTCCCTCACCTTGGCCACAACACACAGACACAACACACAAGAAGCAAAGGCCTCTCAATGGCCATCTGCCAAGGATGCTTGAGCTGAGATTCCTGCATTGCAAGGGGCTGGACTAGATGACCCTTGGGGTCCCTTCCAACTCTGCACTTCCATGATTCTATGAATTGCCGCGTCTTAGGAGAGGCCTTAGGAGAGGTCTTAGGAGAGACCTAAGGTCACCTGAAGGCCTTAGTCGTCTCTCCCTCATGTGGCCTTGCTGGCTCCCTTGACTGGTCTGGCCCAGGGACAAGGAGAAGAGGAAGGGGGGGTCCCGCCTGCCAGCCTTTCCTTAGGCTTTTCTGCCATTTTCCTCTCTGTTTTGCATACAAGGAACATAAGAAAGATCAGGCCCAAGGGGGCTCATCTAGTCCAGCATCTTGTTCACACAACAGCCAAATACCCCCAAGAACCCAGGAATCTAGCTAGGCTGCTTCTGGAGCTGCAGGCTCCCTAAGTGCAGAGGAAAAGCCTGGCTGCTGGATCAGGCCCAAGGGAGCCCATCTAGCCCAGCATCTTCTTCTCCTCACAGAGCCTGACCAGTTGCCCATCATGGGAAATCGGCAGGCAGGACCTGAGCCCAAAAGCAACTCTCCCCTCTGTGGTTTCCAGCGCATGGTCTTCAGAAGCATTGCTGTCTCCCACTGTGGAGGGGCAGCATGGCCTTCCTGGCTAGGCAACAGCCCCCCCTCCTCCTCCATGAATTTGCCCCGTCCTCTTTTAAAGCCATCCAGGTTGGTGGCCCCCCAGCCTCCTGCAGGAGGGAGTTCCACAGTTAACTCTGCGCTGAGGTCAGACAAGGGCACAGACACGGAGCTCCTTCTCCTTTGCTGTCCCATCAACTCACTGCCAGGATGCTAAATTTAATGCTGGGCGGGGGCGGGGAAGGAGGAGACCAGGGCTGGGAGGGGAGCTCTCCTTCCATGCTGTATGCAGAGGAAAAGCTCTGCAGCTCCTGGTTTCCAAGAAAATCCCAAAGCACAGACTTAGAAAGACAGAGAGGAGGAACTCTCCTCTCCCACAGAACTCCAGGTGAAGCAAAGCAGAGCAGAAAACAGCAGCGATTTGGGGAAGGGCCACAGAGCTGGGGGGGGGGCTGCTTTCCACGCAGAAGGCACTCCACCCCACCCCCAGGTCGGACCTGAGTTTGAAACCCTGGCACGTTGCTGCCAGCCAGTGTAGATAACAGTGGGCTAAATGGACCAAGGCTCCTTCTAATGATGCTGAGGAAAAGAGCTTCACTCTCCATCTTTTAATTTTCATCTGCTCTCTCTGTTTTTATCCACATCATAAAATGATTTTTTAAAAAGTTTACCAAAAAAGAAAAGGTGAGCCAAGCCAGACTCCACCAGGGAAGTCCCCACTCCTGTGACCCCCAAGGAGGCTGCACTCCCTGCTCCACATGCAACCCCCCCCAACACAGGCCTCTTCTGCAAGGCCTCCACATGGGGACATGGGCCTGCCCTGCCCGGGACCATCCTGGCATTTCCCAACCCCTTTATTTGTGGGTTGGCACAGGCACTGCAACGTGCAGGAGGAGAGATCTCTGGGCAGCTAGTCCCACTCACTGCCCCCCCCCTTGGCCCAGGAGGCCTGCCAAGCCAGAAGGAAGACTGCTTCCCCACAAGCTGAGAGGGAAGGCTTAGCTGGACCCCGAGGGGCTGAGCATGCAGCCGCCCAAACCCAGCCCAGTCTCCCAGGGTGCACAGGCATGCGCTGGGAATCTTAGAATGGTGGTGTTGGAAGTGACTGAAAGGGTCATCCAGTTCACCCCACCCAGCAAGGGTCGTAGCTCAGCCGTGGAGTAAGGCTGGTAACCTTCCCTGCCAGTCAGAGTAGCCAATACTGAGTCGCATGGAGCAGCTGTCTGGCTCAGGATAAGTCCCCAAACTAGAGCAAGGGCTGCCTGCTCTCCTTTCCTTCCAAAATTTCCCTGGGAAAGAATCACCCGGACGGCTGCGGGAAGCAGCAACCTCAAATAGCCACAAATTCACACAGCCTCCACACAGGGACGCGGACTTATAAAAAATATTGGGGGGGCCCGGGAAAGCTCATGAATAATAAATAAGCTCATGAATATGCAAATAAAGTGGCTCCGGCCCTAAATAGGGCAAGCCACGCCCCCCCAGCCAGCCGATTGGCTGGCTGGGAGGTGTGGCCAGTCGGGATTCCCCTGTTCTCGCGGGGGCTGAAACCGCCAGGAGGAAGGAAATTCCCCCCGTCAGTGCCTTGGCAGTGGCGGTGGTGCTGCGAAGCAGCGAGGCAGGAGCCCCCGCCCCCGGCGCCCGAGATTATTGGGGGGGCTGAGCCCCCCCAAAAAATTTTTTGAGGGGGCTCGAGCCCCCTCAAGCCCCATGGAGTCGGCGCCTATGCCTCCACACCCCAACAGACTGTTTGCATTTCAGACCAGGGCACCTGGACCCACAGCCATGGGTCCGTCCTGAAACAGCTTCGGTCACCCTGACGGAGGACCTGCGTTGCAAAAGGGGCAGGGAGAGGGAGACCAGCCAGTGGAGGGGCCACATGGCAGCACTTCTGTCTGTCTCCCCAGGGTCGTAGCCAGAGAGTAGCACTGAGTGAGGGGTCCTTGGCCCCCTGGCACCTGTGTCGTGGGGGTACTCTCCTCTCTGAAATCCAGCATCACCTGAGCTCTGCGAGTGCAGCTTTCTCCCAATTGAAGTGCAGAGTGATAGAGGACCAGGACATTTGCAGGGAAACCAAAATGCTTGTTTACAAAGCTATTGTACTACCAACCTCACTGTATGCTTGTGAAACATGGACCACTTATAAACGCCATCTCCAACTCCTCAAAAGATTTCATCAACAGGGTCTCCAAAAAATTCTACACATCACTTGGGAAGACAGGTGAACTAATACCAGTATACTGGAAGAAGCAAAGATCACCAGTGTCAAAGCAATGATTCTTCAACTTTGTTGGACTGGTCATGTGGTTCAGATGCCTGATGACCGTCTTCCAAAGCAACTACTCTATTCCGAACTTAAAAATGGAAAGCGCAATGCTGGTGGTCAACAAAAGAGGTTGTGTTACTTTTATTGTTGTTAGCCACTCTGAGCCCGGCTTCGGCTGGAAAGGGTGGGATATAGATAAATTCTTTATTATTATTATTATTATTATTATTATTATTATTGTTATTGTTATTATTATTATTGACTGTCTCAAGGTAAATCTTTAAAAATGTAGTATAAAAACGATCAATTGGGAAACACTGGCCTGCAAGCGCTCCAGTTGGAGAACAGCCTTGACCAAAGGTGTCACGGACTTTGAAGACACTCAAACTTAGGAAGCAAGGGAGAAACGTGCGAAGAGGAAGCCACGCTTGGCAAATCCTCACCATGATCAACTCCCGCCCGGAAACCAATGTCCCCACTGTGGAAGGACGTGGGGATGCAGAACTGGCCTCCACAGTCACTTAAGGACTCATTGTTAAAACCGTGTTTATGGAAGACAATCTTACTCAGCTACAAGGAATCGCCAATTCCCTGGGGACTGGTTCAGAAGCTCCGGGTGCAGAATGCTGCAGCCAGATTGCTGACGGGAGCCTCTGGGCAAGGACATTGTTAAAACAGCTGCACTGGCTCCCCATCTCCTACTGAACCAAGTTCAAAGTCCTCCTATTAAGTTACGATGCCCTGAACAATTTAGGCCTAAATTGCTCGGGACCAATCCTGGCTCCATCACTGAGATCATCTGCAGGAGCGCCATTGGTTATTCCCTGAGTTGGTGAGGAGCATTTGACAACAATGAAAAACTGAGCCTTTCAGCCCAATCCTGTGGAACACTCTGCCACTAGAGATTCCGAAGGCACCTTCGTTTGGATTTGCTACTGAAAACAGTTCTATCTCACCAGGCAAACAGGAACACAGTTTTCCACAATAGCTAGCTGATCTCTGATTATAACATGTTTATATTGTTTTCTGTACAATGGTTGTAAATTGCTCTGATTTCTTTTTAGGAGTTTTTATTTAAAAAACAACACTAAATGAGCTTCAATAGGAATCTAAGAGCCAGGCTTCAAATGGAGGTGAAAGCACACCCCCACCCCTCTCCATCCTTTCAAGGGGAGAGCAGAGAGCACCCCAATTATGGGGGGGGTCAGACCAGGCCAAGCAACTCCCTGCCCCATCACAGGACAAGCTCCCCACGCCGGACCCTCTTTGGGCTGTACTAGCCAGCCAGCCAAACCACCTCCTAGTCGGGCAGGCCAAGCCGGCGCCCCTGTCTCTGACCGGCCCTTGCTGGGGGGCTTTGAGGGGCTCTGCCCTCTTGCCCAAGGAGAGCAACTGCTGCTTTAGAGGAGACCCTCCCTCTCCCCCCCCCGACCGCTGGGCATACAGAAAGGCACTGCCTGAAACCAATCCTCCTGTCCAAGACCAGCGTGTGGGGGGGGGGAGGGCCCCAGAGGTGACAGACCTCCTGCTCAGAGGGTACTAAGTCCCGGCCGGGGGGGGGGCGAAAAGTGTCCCTGCAGCTTGGGATGATTTGGAGAGGCGGGAGCGGAATAAGAGGGGGCTAGAAAGGGGCAGAGCAGGCGCGACACCCAGGATACCCCCACCAAGAGAGTGGGATGTTAGGAACAGCAGCCCCGCCATCGCAGCCCCACCCCGGCCTCCCCGGACGGCCAGCCAGGCTCCTGGGGCTGCCGGTTCGAATCCTGCGTCGGGGCCGCTTGGCGGAGAGGCTTCCCCAAGAGAGCGGCGGCGGCTGCTTACCCGCTCCGGCTCCGCTCCGGCTCCCGCTCCGGCGCTGCGCTCGCCTGGGCCGGTCTGGGCGGGCGCGGGGCCGGGGCGCTGCCGGGCAGCAGGAAGGGGGCGGCTCCGGCCGGCCCTCCAGCCCCTGGGCGCCCAGCTGGGCCGGGGCCGGGCGGGAGGAGGCTCCAGGCAGTCCCGGCCCCGCCCGGGGAGGGGCCGCCGCCGCGCAGGAAGCCGCCCCGAGAGCGCGGCCAGGCGGAGGGGCCCTCGCGGCGCTCTGCACAAGCTCAGAGGACGGGGGCCGCTGCAAACGGAACGACGGGCCGGGTCCCGGTTGCTCTTTGAAGGCGCTTTGCCCCCACCCACCGTGGAGAAATATGAAGGGGGCTGCTTCTCAGCGTGGAAGGTTCCCCCGCTTCGCCCTCTCATTTGCCCGTCTCCACGTGCGGCCGAGGGGTGCCTGAGCATGTGCAGAGAGCCCGCGCCACGGCGGGGGCCACTGGGCTTGATGCCAGTCCCCTTCCAACAGTCCTTCAGCAGGAGCCCGTCCCCTCGCCCTTCAGGATGCCCCAAACTCCCTCCTCAAGCCCTGGGAGCAGCAGGGGGTTGCTCCCCCATTTGGCTTGGCGACTGGAGGTGCCTTATGCCGTGCCAGATAACACCCATCACTGACTGGCAGCAGCTGTCCAGGAGATCTCTCCAGCCAGCGCCACCTGCGCGCTGCCCTTCGGAAACTGGACTCGGGACCTCCCAGGAGCCAGTCAGGCGCCCTGCCCCTGGGATCCCCCTTTCCTGAGACCAGGAAGGAGGGCTGTTTCCAGCAGATTTTCCTCCCCCCACCCCCACCTGACAAGGAAGCTAAAGCTGTGATCGACCCAAAAGAGTTGTTATAGCAGATAAGAAAAGAGGGACAGGGAGGGAGAAGGAAAAATGGAAAGTCTTGAAAGTTACAGTTCTTATTAGAACCAGCTGAGCTGGAAATAGTTTATGCAGCATAACCTGTTTTAACTGCTTTTAATTATGAATTTTAAATTGCTGGAACCCACCCTGAGAGCTACTGGTGAAGGGCTGGTAATAAATGTAATAAATTATTATTATTTCAGCCCCACCCCCATATACATTTCCTACAACAGCCACTTTGCAGGCTCCAAAAACTCCCAGCTCCTTTGTGGGTCAAGACACATCCTTCCTCTAAGTTGAATAGGAGTGGCTGGGGAAACCCAGCCAGATGGGTGGAGTATAAATAATAAACTGTTGTTGCTGTTGTTGTTATATAGGAGACACCAAAATCCGCCCCACCCAACACACACAAAGCGCCCCTCACCTTCCTTTCAGGCCAGTTGTTGCCTCTGAGCCCAGCCTGAAGGAGGCATTCAGGGGCAGCGGGCAGGGGCACCTCCAGGGGAGCAACCCCCCACTTTCCCTTCTTCCAAGTCTGCTACCTCCCCCCCCCCCCCCGCAATTCCACCTTACCATAACTGGCTGCTGGGGACCAGGAGACCCCAAACACCCGGGCAAAGCACTCGCACATCTCTGCCCTGCTCTCCAGATCCCTAAGCTTCGTCCCACAGGGAAGCACCCACAGCTCTGGGGCGGGGGGCAATGCCGTGCCGAGCTGCCAAGCAGAGCGAGATGCTGCCCAGCCCCCCAGCCCAGCCCCCCAACACACACCGAGGCATGAAAAGGGAGCCAGCCAGCAGGATTAGCGCAAGGCCACCATCAGCAGTTTGGGCAGCCTCTGAAAAGCATCCCCGCATTGTTGGACTCAGTGGACACCCGGCACAGACAAAAGGGAGCCCCCCCCCATGTCCCGTCTGCCCCTGGACGGGCCGCTCGGATGGGAGGGCAGTGAGCCAGAGGAAGCCGTCCGAGCGCCTGCCTCTTTGTCCCCTGCAAAGTCCAGCAAAGTCCCTGAGACCCAGACTCCTGGGCCACCCAGTGGAACAACAGTCCAGCCCCAGAGGTTTGGGCAAGTTATTTATTTGATTTAGAAATGTATACATTGCTTGACTTTAAGAAGAAACCCCAAAGAGCTTTGCGAAGAGACAAGAACATCAGGAGAGCCTGCTGGGTGGTGGGCTCTCCTTCCTTGGAGGTTCTGGAGCAGATCTGGGATGCTTTGTAGGGGGCTGGACTAGATGACCCTCGGGACGCCTTCCAATTCTACAATTCCATGATTCTGTGGACCAGGCCAGTGTTCTCAGCACCCTGTTCTCCCCGTGGCCAACCAGATACCCCCAATGGAGGAGTGTGCCTTTGGGGGTGAAGTCAAACCACTGGAGATTGTGGCGCTTGCTGTGACTGTAGAGACCGATAGGGGAGAGGTGTTTTGTTGCAGCCGGGGCAGAGGAAGGCGTCCGGTTGTGCAGCTGCAGATGCGCCAGGACCTTTCTTCTCTCTGCGCTCCTCCCAGCGTCATTCCTCCTCTGGTCACTGCTGCGGATACATGACCTGATTACGCCATGAATTTGTCCAAAAGCAAATTAGCTTCTAATACTTTAAAAATTCAGAGATCACAAACATGCATCAGAAACTGAACTTTTGGTATTCAGTAAAGGAGAGAGTAAGTGTGGTGTTTAAAAAATGTAGTATAAACAGCAACAATTGGGAAACAATGGCCTGCAAGCGCTCCAGTTGGAGAACAGCCTTTACCAAAGATGTCCTGGGCTTTGAAGACACTCGAACTCAGGACGCAAGGAAGAAGCGTGCCAAGAGGAAGCCTCGCTTGGCAAATCCACACCATGATCAACTCCCACCTGGAAACCAATGTCCCCACTGTGGAAGGACGTGGGGATCCAGAATTGGCCTCCACAGTCACTTACGGACTCATTGTTAAAACCGTGTTTATGGAAGACAATCTTACTCATCTATGAGGGATCGCTGAAGAAGAAGAAGAAGAGTATGTCAGATGAGGTCCTGGGAGACCTGGGTTCAAATCCCCACTCAGCCATGAAGCTCACTGGGTGACCTTGGGCCAGTCGCTCACTCTTAGCCTGCCCTACCTCGCAGGGGTGTTGTGAGGATAAAATGGGGAGGGGGAAATAATGTATGCTGTCCTTGGAGGAAAAGTGGGATATAAATGCAACATTTCATTCATTCACTCATGGAGGAGAAGGCTGCAGTGATGTTCCACTACCAGTTGCTGGCAATCCCAGGTGGGCAGGATTCTGCTTGTGGGCTTCTTCCCACTGGGGCATCTGGTGGGCTGCTGTGAGAAGAGGATGGTGGACTCCAGGGGCCTCCGGCCTGATCCAGCAGCCTCTGTTTCTGTTCTTGTGCAGCATTTTACAGCCCATCTCAATTGCCAGAAATGGACACTGGCAGAACTATGGACTAGCCACAGTGCAAGATTGGATTATTTGGAAAGGGGTGGCCACTGTACGCTAGTCACAGAATCTCTGCGACCCCCAGGGTCATCTAGGCCTTGCAAGGCAGGAATCGCAGCTAGTCAGCAAGGGAATTCTGGAAACTGGCAGCAACCACAGAAAAAGATGTAAGCTGGAAGGAGGGGTTGCAGGCCACCTTGCACCCCATGGGCTGGGCCTGGCCTCCCCACAGCAGTGATTTCTCCAGCACAAGGCACCCCCTGGACAGCTCCAGGACTTGGAGGGGGCTGAGTCCGTGTCTGCAGTTGGGAGCAGAGCGCAGGAAGAGGCCCCCGGACTCTCCGGGCCAAGTAGGCCTGTTCCCAAGATAGCACAGGGAGCCAGAGCTATATTTGAGCCCTGTTTGGAATCAGACTCCGGCGCTCCTTGCATCCGCCCGACCCCCTTTCATGGCAGCAGGTCAAGCACCAGGAGGATCCACAATAAACACCGGACGTCCTCATCAGAGAGGGGACTTCCTTGAGGTGGCGGGGAGAGCCAGGGGCCACGCCCACCCGCCCGCAGGAGAACGCAGGAGGATCCTGCTGGATCAGGCCATTGGCCCTTCCAGTCCAGCCTCCTCTTCTCCCAGGGGCCGACCAGAAGCCTCTTGTGGGAATGCAGCAAGCAGGATCCGGGCGCAAGAGCCACTCTCCCTTCCTCCGGTCTCCAGCCACTAGGATGCTGAAGCAGGACAGAGCCAGTGCTTTTTTCCTAGATAAATAGGCGTCAGTACTCAACACAAAGCCCTCAGCGGCCCTCTCCTCCTCCTCCTCCTCCTCCTCCTCCTCCATGAATTTGTTTCATCCTCTTTTAAAGCCATTCCCCACAGCCTCCTCAGGCATTCATGGATTTCCATTTGCGAGGGCATCCCAGGCTCTCTCAGTGCTGGGAAGCAGCAGCAGCAGTCATGGCTTTGTGGGGTAACTTAGACTCTCCCAACATGTTGCAGCAGAAAAGAGTAACTGTCTTGCAACCTCCTCTCTTCTGGTCCCAAAAGGCCTAAATCCCGCCTGCCTCATCCTGGCAACAACCCCCAAGCACATGGGTGAAAGTTTTGATCCATTTACTCTGCTTGTGATGGCCTGTCCTTCACAGTTTCAGAAACCCAAGAGGCATGTGGTTCTTTCTGTTAGAAGTGTGCATGCACACCAAAGCTCATACCAAGAACAAACTTAGTTGGTCTCGAAGGTGCTACTGGAAGGAATTTGTTTATTTTGTTTTGACTACGGCAGGCCAGACACGGCTACCTACCTATATCTAGGAAAAGCATGACCGTCTCCCACAATGGGTGGTTATTAGCAGTGCTGGATTTATGTATAAGCTCAACAAGCTCTAGCTCAGGGCCCCACTCTCTTGGGGGCCCCCCAAAAAATTAAGGAAAAAAACCTGGATGTACATTTCCAAAATATAAGATAAAAAACAAATAAAATAAGACCTAAATCCAGCAAGAGTGTTTTGTGTTGTGTAGGTGCCTATGATGTAAGTCCTGGGCCCTGCCTGCTTGTCTGCCCCCTAAAATATCACTGTCACTATTAATATACTTCAAGCCCCATGTTGGATACTACTACTACTAATAATAATAATAATAATAATAATAATAAATTTATTACTTATGCCCATCCATCTGGCTGGGCCTCCCCAGCCACTCTGGGCAGCTTCCAACAGACCACTGAAAACACAACAGAACACCCAACATTCAAACTTCCCTCAAGGGGGGGCTGCCTTCAGATTCCTGCCCGCAGGAGCTCGGCCAGGTGAGCCTCGTGGTCCCTTCCAGCTCAGCAACTCTGTGCATCTGACTTGGCCTCTGCACCGCTGTGACGTGTGTTGGAGAGAGATGGGTCATGTCCCCTTGCTCACTTGCAGCGCCCTTTGAAGAGCTAAGAAGAGCCTGCAGGATCAGGCCCCTGGCCCAGCTAGTCCCGCCTCCTGCTCTCGCGGGGGCCAACCAGATCCCTCCCTGGGAAACCAGCGAGCCGGGACCAGCTCTCAGCTGCTGCAATCCCAAGCAGCTGGTCTGGGAAGCAGGGCTGCCTCCGACTCCTGTGGCGTCAGTGCCGGGGTTTAACTCTGCACCGCATGAAGGAGGACTTTCTTTTATGGGCCCTGAAGATGTGAAGGGAGTGATGCTCCTTCTCGGGGCTTTTTTTTCCGGGGGGGACGCAGACCCCTAAACATTTTGTGAATCGTTGTATTTTTGTCCAAAGTATTTATGTTTCCCGATTTGAACTATCAAATGGCGGTGTGGTGTTTTTTTTAGTCAAAACGAGAGTACCCCTGAACATTTTTATTTTTTTAGGAAAAAAGCCCTGCTCCTTCTAGTCCAGCTGGAGCGCCGGCGGCCAGGAGGGCTCAGCCCTGACCCAGTACTGCCCTCTTGTGGCCGTTCCGGAGCTTGGCATCCCATCCCTCCGGTCTCTCTCTGGCTGCCCTTCTGTATTACTCCTCCATTCCTCTACTCCCGAGGAGCTCTGGAAGAAACAGGGGCCCCTCTTGCTCCTGGAAGAGGCTCTGAGCTTTTAACAGGGCCATAGCACTGCCCTAGGAAAGCGTTTGCACGACCCACGAAAGAAGACCATCGGAAGAATACTCGAAACAAACTGATTTATTCAAAATCCAGTTAAACCTATTCACTTTAATTAATTCCACCAAACGAATTGTCTTGATCTGGCGATGCCATCTTTGCAAAGTATGAGAGGCTGGGCAGAGAGGGCTCCGTTTTTGTTTTCAAATTGCTTTTATTTTTTATGTATGTCATTTTGAATTGTGATTGATATGAATGCTGTATTCTTAGTTTTAGATTTTATAATTTATGTGGAATTTGTTTTCCATTTGGTTGTGTACTTTTTGGTGTGTTTTATTTATTGTTTATGACTTTTGTTATGTTGGTAATTATGTAAATCTTGGCAGGTTGTAAGCCGCTTTGAGAATTCTTTTAACTATGAAAAGGCGGCGTACAAATACAATGATGAATGATGAATGAATGTACACCTCCAGCTCCCCCTCTGCCCCCCCCTTGCCTCTTAGCATCCCCCCAGGGAATCCCACCGCCCCCCAAGACCCCCCACAGCACATTCATCTTCCAGGTGCCCCAAGGAGGGGGCGGGATGGAGCAGCGGGGGCACTGGAAAGGGGGTCTGAAAAGTTGGGCAGCCGCTGAGCCCGCTCTGCCAGGCCTATGAAGGCGCCCTCCTTTTCCTTGTTTCCAGGTCCCGCCTCCATCCCGACGCGCTGCCTGCCCGCCTGCCCCCAAACCAGCGGGCGATTAAGGCAGGCGGAATCTAGGGCAATGGGGCAGGACCCATGGGGTGGGGGGGCAGATGCCAAGGGACATGAGTCAGGCCCGCAGAGCCGACGCATCATTTCCTCCCTCCGCTTCCTGCCCAGCCCCAGACTTCAAAACACCTGACCCAGGTACGGCTCCTTGCCGTTCAGCGCTGAAGTCTCCACCTGCCAGACAATCTTCAGCCTCAGCTTCACAAACAGGCAGCCCTGTTTAGGGAAGCTTTTAAAATTTGATAAATTCTTGTATTTCATATTCTGTTGGAAGCCGCCCAGAGTGGCTGGGGTATAAATAATAAATTATTAGTATTATTACCCCTTGAGAAGTGGACACTCCCCGCCCGCCCCCCACACGCCAGGGCTCACCTGACTCCGTGCTAAAACCCCTTGCTCAGCACAGCAGTTATGGCCCCCCAACCCCCACCACGTCCTCTTTCAGTCCACAGAATTGGGACCCGACCCTGGAAGGGCAGAGAGGCTTCCTCGTTCCCTGGTCTCCATCTCCCAGCGCCAGCGGGATGCGAAAGTGAGACCACCTTCAGCTGAAGCCCCATATATTGGGAGACCCCCCCCCCCAGGCGCAGAGGATAAGTGCATGGTTAGAAAGCAAAGTCTGGGGCGGAAAGAGACTTTCCCTTTCTTTGCACACCGCAGGATTCCCTCCCTGGTGGAACCCACCAAACCCATTGGAGGACTTCAGAAACTCCCTTATCCCCTGGCTTTTGATGGCTGATGATAATGGTTCTTAATTGCTGTGGTATTATTTCCAGCTATCGAAGGAGCAGCTCTCATGGAGGAGAGCACTATCAGTGGTTCCATGGCCATGCGCTGCCTCCATGGTCAGAGGCAGCACTTCTGAACCCGTGTGACTAGAGTCAGGAGAGCTGCTCTAGTGTTCGAATCCTGATTGCAGGTTTCCCATCACGGGAGTCTGGTCGGCCACTGTGAAAACAGGATGCTGGACTAGGTGGACCACTGACCTGATACCCCACCCATCTGGCTGGGTTTCCCCAGCTACTTTGGGCAGTTCCCAACAGAATAAAAACAGAATAAAACTTCAAACATTAAAAACTTCTCTAAACAGGGCTGCCTTCAGATGTCTTCTTATGGAACCTCCAGGCCCAGAGACAGTCTATCTTGATTCATAGTAGTATTGAGCCGCCGAGAACAGGATGTGAGACTGGGGGGGGGGTGCAATTTTGAATGCAGGATAGGAATGATTAAAGAAAGAGGGTGGCGTAATGGTCAGAGTGCCAGAGTAGCAGAACCTGGGAGACAAGGGTTTGAATCTCACTGGGTGACCTTGGGCCAGGCGCTGTGTCAGCCAAACCTCCCTCCCAGGGCTGTTCTGGGGGTTAAATGAGGAGGGGGAAAGCCACGTGTCCCCCCTTAAGTCCCTTGGAGAAAAAAGTGGGATAGAAATGCAACAGACACAATGATACACAAAACATAAAATGCTGACTGTGAATTCCAGCCGCCTGCATTGCACCAGCCCAGGCCAAAGTGAAGAGCGCCCCACAGGCTTGCGTTTGGCCCCATAAGGAGATTCCCTGGATGCAGAGAGCGCAAGGAGGGGGCTTTTCTGGGCTGAATCACGCATTTCCCCCTCTGCGGTGGTTGTCTAACGAACCAGGACTTCTGTGCTCAACATGGTCTCTGTCTGCTTGCAAGGCACTTTCTGTTGTTGTGTTGCCTACGGTGTTGTGTGTGTTGCCTACAAATGGGCCAGGCGTGTGCCCAGCCTTTGAGGGGCCCCTTCCCCAAAACCGCTCAGGGCTCTTTTGGAAAAAGACATTTAGTATGATGGGAGAAGGAGCTAAAGTTCTCTTTACCCAACTTTTGCCTCACCCCCCATGCCAACTGAACAGAGCCTTCACATACAGGGGTGATATACCTGCAAGTGCCAGACGTTGTGGGCAAATGCTGTGTTTGTAGCCTTGGTTGACTGGGGGCCTCCTGGCGGCAGCTGGCTGGCAATGGTGCAAAAGACATATTGGGGGGGTGGCACTGAGCTTGGTCTGACCCGACAGGGATTTTCTGACATTATTAAATTTAAATCAGTGTCAATGTGGTTTGAAATATGCCACCTACCTGCCTCCTGCCACTGTGGTTTCCCGCCTGCTAGTTGCGCCCCTCCCCTTCAACCAGTGGCTTTTAGGGGATAGATCCAGTCTGAAAGATCCCCTTCTGGTAAGACTTACGAGAATCACATGATAGTCAAGTAATTCTGGAGCAAGAGATTCTGGAGCAAACTTCCAATCAGCTGTTCCATCCCCCCCATCAAAGGATATCCAACAAGGAACACACCCCCTCTCAGTTTTCTTGCCAGACCACGAATGGAGGCAACACCTTGGGACCCTCACTGCTCAGATATAGCACCTCTGCCCCTGAGCCATGAAGGAGGCAGCAAGCTGCGATTCCTGCATTGCATGGGGTTGGACTAGATGACCCTCGGACCCCTTCCAGCTGCCCCATGGAAGACGGAGCCAGCTTGTTTTCTGCTGCCCCAGAGGGCCGGACAGGAACCAACGGCTTCCAATTGCAAGAAAGGAGATTCCAGCTGAACATTAGGGAGGTCTCCCTTGGAAGGCACTGGCCTTTCCTTCATAGGAGTCTTTAAAGCAGAGGCTGGGTGACCACTGGTCAGGGATTGCAGGGGGTCAGACTGGATGGCCCTCAGGGGTCCCTTCCTTCTATGGCTCTACCTTTTCAGGTCCCCCAAGTGAAACGCACACACACAGAGAAAGATAAATTTGGTCATTTAAAAAGTGATATGAGACATAAACAGTACATGGGATTGCCAAGCTCAAGTCCTCGGCACTCAGACAATAAATTACCCTCCCAGACTCACAACCGTTTGCCGCTGAGGGCAGCTCTCAATACACCAGACATCTGTGTGTGCAAGGATGCAGGGTGGCATTGCCCTTGCCACCCAGAGGAGTCAGCCGAGGGCGGAGGAGGAAATGGAGAAGGCGGGGCCAGCTCAGCAAACAGGCCCTTCAGGACAACCGAGACTCAGGTGCTGCTTCTTTGCAAACAAGTCGGTCAACACCTCAGTCAAAATCTGGCCCATGGGGGGGGGGGTTGGGGGGAAGCCCCCCACAAATGGGAAATCCCCCCCCCTGCCCCTGGGAAGCAGGAGCGCCATTCCTGCCTTTAAAAGCTGTTGCAGAACCTTGTCGTATCAGATACAGTGGGACATCGGTTTCCGAACTTAATCCATTCCGAACGTCCGTTCTTAAACCAAAACCATTCTTAAATCGAGGCGCGCTTTCCCTAACGAGGCCTCCTGCCACCGGTGCCCTTCCACCGTTCAGATTCCGTTCTTAGACCAAGGTAAAGTTCGCAATCCGAGACACTACTTCCAGTTTTGTGGAGTTTGTAAACCGAATCGTTCGTAAACAGGACTGTTCTTAAACCGAGGTACCACTGTAATCTGTTTGAGCCTCTTGGAGGTGCCCAGATTCTCACGGAAAGTAGGACTCTGACTTCCAGGAATGTCAAGGGGGCCGCAGAGCCCCTTCCTTTGTGGGATTATCTCATACAGGAAGTTGAGGAAACAGCTTCTCGGAAGATGTAAATGGGCCCGTTTTGCATCTTCACACAAGGCTCTGGCTGTTTCAATGCAGTCAGCAGAGACCTACAGAAATTAACCGACAGTCGGTCTACTTGGAGAAAAACCCTTGAGCTGAATACAACCTGATGCTAACTGCAACTCCCCCCTTTCCCTCCGTCGCCCACTTGCGACCCACCCACCAGAGGTGCCTCCACCCCAAGGTGAAACTCGGCTCCTACAGGAACGTCCACTCCCCCCCTTCCCCCCCCTGCCCAGGTCACAGCTCCTGAGCCTCCACCAGCATGTCCATGAGATAATCGAGGTCCGCCAAGCCTGGCCGCTCGTCCTCCGAGCTGGGAAAGGCCTCCTTGAAGCTGGGGAGACTGGTGGGCGACCACAGCTCACAGTCATACATGGAGGTGTCAATGTCTTCAAAGATGCCCTCCAGGCCGTCCTCCAGGAGGTAGGTGCTGGGGCCCTGGGTGTCCAGCGGGGCGGAGGAGCACGGCTGCGAAGTCCGTTCCGGCTCAGAGCAGAGCGGGCCCCCCTCGGGCTGGGCGGCGGAGGGGTGCACGGCATCCCCAAACCCTTCCAGGCCGCTGAGGTCCTCCAAGATGGTGGAGAAGACCGAGAGGTCCATGCTGGAGAGGAGCAGCTCGTCCGCGTGGGGGGCGAGAGAAGGCGGTGGCGGAGGCAGCCTCCTGCCAGGGTCCTGGAGGGCACAGGGCAGGGCGCCCCCAGAACTCTCCCTGCAGACGGAGCTGCCAGCGGGGGCCGCAGGAGGGTCCGGCTGCTGGAAGAGGGCCCCCGTGGCCGGCTGCATCTCGTCCTGGATCCGCCGCAGGGTGTTTGCCAGGAGCACCAGGTGCCGCAGGTTGGGCTCGACGTGCTGGAGGCTCTGGTGCAGCTTGGAGACCGAGAGGCTGAAGAGGGAGCTGGTGGGGGCCGCGGAGGGGGCGCCCTCGTCCCCCTCAATCCGCTTCCGCTTCGTGCCCTTGGCCAGCATCTTTCTGGGGAAGGGAAGAGAAGAGGGGGTCAGGGGGACTCTGTAGGGGAATACGCAAGGCCCAAGGCAGCAGCTGGCACAGTCACCCCAGGGTGGCGGCGGCAGCAGCAGCAGCCCCTCCCCACCTGGGGAGGGAGGCCCTGCCCCTTCCGTGCAAAGCCTCCCCCCACACACACACACCAGGCAAAAACTGGAGCAGGAGGAGCCTCACTAGAGAGGCGCCCAGACTCTAGGCCAGTGGTTCCCACCCGCAGGGGCCACTCAGCCTTTGCTAGCCAGCTGCCTTCCTGGTGCTCTGGACTACAACTCCCATCAGCCCCACCAGCCCAGCAGCATGACAGAGGGGCTGATGGGTAGGAAAAGTATCTGGAGGATCCCAGGGCTCTGGGGAGAGTCCTGCATACCCGATATTCCATTTTACTGCATTTTTTACAGGGCTGGTTTTTGGAAAACGTCATTTATTGTTTAAGTATCTGTACCAATCTATAATTTTTAAAAATAAAAAGTCTGTGTGAGATGCTTCAAGAGGCCTGAAAAGCGGGGATTAAATTAGGAAATGAAATAATTAAACACACACACACCCCCGCCCCAGCTGTGAGGCTATTTGGAAGCTGGCTGTTGATTTTGCCTCCCCCCCCCTCCAAAACAACAGCAGTGCAACACTATTTTTGGTTTCCGTGTGAAAATATCCAAGGCTCTGATCCAAAGAAGCGCCGCCCCCCCCCCCGCAGTTTATGGGGTGGATCTGATGCTAGCCCTACTCAGAGGAGACCCACTGACGTTTAATGAACACGGCCGAGTGAGGTCCGTTAACGTCAACGGGGCTACTCTGGAGTAAAGCTTACATACGACGCCCATTAAGAAGCAAGGTCTCTGAGTGAAGCTGTGAGCCGGGCAGGATCTCCAGCAGGGTCGGATCCTTCCCCGCAGCTGAGGTGGGGGCGGGGTTGCCGGAGGGATCCTCCTCCCGCGGCCGGGATGGGAGGGGGTCGCGGCGCCCAGGCCCCACCCGGCAGGGCTTCCGGTCTGGATCCGGCCGCTCTGCACGCTGCGCCCCGCCCAGCTGGGCTCCGGGATCCAGCTGCCCCGGAGGAGGGCGAGATCCCGAGCCCCTCCCCCCCCCGCTCTTGGGGATCGATCGGCTAAGGAGATCCCTCCTCCCAAGTAACCGGCCCCCCCAACTCTCTGGGGCGGGATCGGGCAAGTCTCGCCCGGCCCGGATCCCCGCCCCCGCATTTTGGGAAGCCCCCGCGGGTGTCCGTCCGGGCGGGGGCGCGCGCAGCTTCCTCCCCGTCGCGGGAGCGGAGAGTGACTCATGGCCAGGCCGGGCGGGCGGCGCAGTCCCGGGATCCAGCCGGGATCCTCCGGCGCGGCGGCCCCGCCAGGGACCCCCGAGACCCCCGATTTACATACCCGGCTCTTCAGGGGCCAATCAGCGGGGTCTGGAACGCGGCGCGCAGCCAATCAGGCGCCGGCATGCTTCCCCTCCGCGCTCCGGGCTGGACTCCCGCCGCCGCTGCCGGGAGGGAAGGAGACATTCGCCCGGCGGGGGCGGAGGGGGAGGCGCCGGCCAATGGCGGAGCACGCCAGGCCGCCTCATCTGCATACAAGGGGGCGGCGCCGGGACGACTCATCGTTGCGGGAAGGAAGGGGGCGGGGCGGGATGGAACAAACAAGCGGGAGTCCCCGCCCCCCTGCGCTGATTGGCTGCGGCGCGGAGGAGCCGCTCCGCAGTCGCTCCGGATGCGAGGCGTTCAGACGAGCGCGGAGAGGAAGGGCGGGAAGAGGCTTTGGAAACGGCCACCGAAATGTCCCCGCCTCATTTTTCCTTAAAAGATAAAGCTATATAATTATCACTTTGTAGACCCATGTGAAGGATCTTGTTTTACAGTCCAGCCGTGAATAAATTTTATGAACTAAATATTTCCAATTTAAAAATAGCGCCCCCCACGCCTTTTCCCCGGCGGCAGCTGTGGCTGTAAGGAAAGCTCTGAACCTGGTCCGCTACTCACTTGATCCGGAGAACCCAAGTCAAGGGGGTCCAAACACGTGAGGCTGCCCAGGCGACCAAGTACTTGAAGGATGCGAGCCTCACAAAGCAGTGTGTTCCCTTCCGTCGTTACAATGGTGGCGTGGGCAGGTGTGCCGGGCCAAAAAAGAGTGCTGAGTTCCTCCTGCACATGCTTAAAAGAGCAATGCTGAACTCAAGGGTCTGGGAGGGGACTCTCCTGTATCTGAGCACATTCAGGTTAACAAAGCTCCCAAAACGCGCAGGCCAACCTACAGGGCTCCTGCTCGCATTAACCCGGACGTGAGTTCTCCTCGCCACACTGAGATGATCAAATTGTCCCTAAGCCAGAAGAGGAAGTTGCTCTAAAGAAGAAGATACCTCAAAAGAAACTGAAGAAGCAGAAACTGAAGGCTCAGGAATAAACATCTATTCAGTTCACAAAGAAAAAACAAATTTTGTTTAATAATAATAAATAGTGCCCCCAAACCAAGAATGAATTGGAACGCAAAGCAAAGTTAGGAGTTATGGAAAGAAGCGCCAACTGTGCCCCGAAATCCCTTAAAAGCTCTAAACTGCAACTAAAAGCAACTCTGAACACGCCTGGAAGAAACTCTGCACATGCCTCGAGGCACCCTAAAGGAACCCCAGACTGCGGAGCAGCGCCAAGACGCCAAACCAAGGACACCTCTTGTCCTTGAACAAATCCAACCTTCTCTTCCAGGGGCAGGGAGCCCCCAAGGTCCTCCAGACGGCCCTGCAGCTGTGCTCCACCTCCCATCAGCTCCTTAGGACCTACTGAAGATTGAGCGACCCCAAAGGGTTTGGTTATGACCTCTTTGTGGGTTTGAAAGAGCTCCGGGCGATACCGGCTGCCCACTTCCTTTTTAGTCCGGGGGGCTGGACTAGATGACTCCTGGGGGACCCCTTCCAACTCTACAATTCTGTGGCTGGGGCCAAGATCTGCCATGGGGTTTTCCAGCTGAGAAGGGGTGCTGCAGACTGAACTCCCACCTCCCAAACTTTCTAGCCCATTCCACCGTTTGCAGCAAAGAAGTAGCAGCCAGCTAAGAGGAAAGGAGCCCCCTTCAAAAGCCAAAGATTGGGGGGGGGAGCTTTTGTCACAGGGCTTTATAAAAACACACAGGCAGAGTTCCTGGCATGATTAATGTCCATGTCACATTCTGCTAAACAAAAGTAAACAAGCAAATGTGACCTGAAGCACCTAAATCAGTGATTCCCAATTAACTAATTACTATTGTTTAGTCGTTTAGTCGTGTCCGCCTCTTGGTGACCCCCTGGACCAGAGCACGCCAGGCACTCCTGTCTTCCACTGCCTCCCGCAGTTTGGTCAAACTCATGCTGGTCGCTTTGAGAACACTGTCCCACCATGCCTTGCCATGGCGAAGGGGCTTGAATAACTCAGAGAAGCTATGAGCCATGCCGTGCAGGGCCACCAAAGATGGACAGGTCATAGTGGAGAGTTTTGACCAAACGTGATCCACCTGGAGCAGGAACCGGCAAGCCACTCCAGTATCCCTGCCAAGAAAACTCCATGGACAAAGACTAATTACTGAGGACCCCCTATTTTGCAAAAGCCAAGCCACAGACCCTCTACTTTTCAAAATTTTGATAACTCTATGGTAGTTCCTTCTGCAAAGCAATGTGGGGCAGCCCTAATAAGCAAAGGATTTTAGGTAGGTACTAAAAAACAGACTAGGGCTGAGCGATATCTGGCTTTCAACATTGTGATATATCAGCAGCTAAACATCACAATGTCCCGATATATTACAATGTCTGAAGTTAGAGACCAGGCGTGGGGCTGAAGGAAGCAGCAGCCGGGGAGATCAGGCAGGTGGGGGGGGGAGGAGAGAAAGTGGAGTCATCTCCATGGTTTGGGAGGGGACGGGGGCATCAGGGGGGCAGCCAGCAAAGATGCTCCTCCTCTGTGGCTGCCGCCGCCGCTGCTGCTTTCCTGCTGACGAAGAATAGCTGCTCTGCCTCCACGCCTTGAAGGGAAGGCGAATGACAGTGAGCTGGGGGGGGAGGCAAGGGATGGGGCCATGGACCCCCCTGGGTGCGTTCTGCAGACCCCCAGGGCTCCCCGGACCCTTAATGGGGAACCACTGATCTAAATCATCCCTCCTAACCTGTTTTCCCTCCCCCCCGGCTTTGTTGGGCTACTTGCAGTCCCAGCTGCATAAGTCATGCAATGCTGAGACAGGCAGACAGTGGGAGGCTGTACAGTGGTACCTCGGTTCTCAAACTTAATCCCTTCCGGAAGTTTGTTCCAAAACCAAGGCGTGCTTTCCCATAGAAAGTAATGCAAAACGGATTAATCCGTTCCAGACTTCTAAAAACAACCCCTAAAACAGCAATTTAACATTAATTTTCCTCTCTAACGAGACCATAGATCCATAAAATGAAAGCAATAATCAATGTACTGTACTATAAAATAAAGAAGACAGTATTGTAGATGATGAAAAAAAAATTCTTCCTTGCTCTGATGATAGTCATTGTTTGGAGGGGGGACTTTTATCCATTTCCACAGTCACACAATCAATCAATCAATCAATCAATCAATCAATCAATCAATCAGCTGAACTGGGTTCCACACAGTCACAAAAGTAAATTAACCGAAAAAGCCTCAAAAACAAAATAGCAAAATAAATAGCAAAACCAAAAGCGCCAGATGCAGTGGTATCTTGGTTCTCAAACTTAATCCGTTCCGGAAGTCCGTCCGACTTCCGAAATGTTCAAAAACCAAGGCGCGGCTTCTGATTGGTGCAGGCGCCCGGAAACAATAGCCAACAGCCGCACCGGACGTTTGGCTTTTGAAAAATGTTCGAAAACCAGAACACTTGCTTCTGGGTTTTGGGTGTTTGGGAAACAAGGTGTTTGAGAACCAAGTACCACTGTAGTCCAAAAAATCCTGGAGGGCACCAGTTTGAAGAAGGCTGTTCTGAAAAATACACAAATAGGACTTTATGACAGATTGGAAACAGTGCTTTTGATACATTCTGTGGCGGATCCTTCAATGCAGAGAGATGGTGAGAGGGGCAGAAATAATTTATTTTGTGTTCATCAACATGGCTTCTGTTCTGCCCCCTCTCCCTCTCGCTTGGGTCGTTCAGGAGCGGGCAATTTCTTCCCCTCTCGTTGCAGAGCTCTCAGGCTGGACAGGAAGCTTTGGCAACACCCGGAGGATCACGAGCGGAAAAAAGCGCGTGACGTAAAGGCAAGTTAAGAAATGAAACTGAATGGTTTGCTTGCCTAGGATCCAGGAAATGTCCTGGCAGCCAGCCTGCCTGCAAAAGCCCTTTTACCCATAAAACGTGCATGTGGCGGTTGGGTGACACCTCCAGAGTGAAAGGGGCATTCTGCAAGTGCTCAGAGGCACTGCTGTTGCTGCACATAGTTCAGGGCTTGGCTGGCGGAGTCTGAGAGCCCTTCTGTTCTCATTGAACCTAGTTGCTTTCATGGAATAACTGGAAAGTGTCGCTGTTAAGAAAGCCTGGTATATTGCAGCTGCCAGAGAAAACTCAGGGCTTCACCTTGAGCAGAGGCAGGAATTTCAGTCTCTCAAGACACAAGCTACCCTCACCTCCTGTCAACCCAGCAGTTTGAAAGCATGCCAGTGCAAGTAGATAAAGTTTACTCCAGCGGGAAGGTAAACGGCGTTTCCGTGCGCTGCTCTGGTGTCAGCGAAGTGTCTGAAGCGGCTTAGTCATGCTGGCCACGTGACCCGGAAAAAACAGTTTGCAGAGCGGACAAACGCCGGCTCCCTCGGCCTGTAAAGCGAGATGAGCGCCACAACCCCAGAGTCGTTCGTGACTGGACTTAATTGTCAGGGGTACACAGCCCCCGTTTCTGTCCTCAGGTGTTTCCTCCCCCTCCAGCCTGTCCCACAGAAAAAAATGATGGAGTTAACAAGAAATCAATCAACAGACAAAGTTAAAAAAAGAACGGGAATGTTTTAATAATTACTTAACAAAACAAGGTTTCAATAATAAGACTTGGCTGTGTATTGAATAATTTCACAGGTAGTAAAATATTTTCCTCTTCATTCCAAGATGAGGATAAACAATTAAATACAGGGCAAAAAATAGGAATACTCAAACTGAAACTATGAGGTAGAAGGAAGTCAACAACATAATAAATTGAAAAGGGATTCAATCCAAATCGAAGGTTATAATGTACAAAAAACACTATTATCGGTTTAAGTTATATTAAGTATTACTTTACAATAGATAGGTATTTTCATTGTCTAAGTTGTCATTTTGACAGTTTTTTCTTTCTTTTTTCTTAGATATCGTATAACTACAAGAGCATATAAATCTTAGATTTGTAAATAATTTCATTATATATAAGTCAAGATCTATATCAGTCCAAGAATAATTATTGTAAGATTGTTTTATTTTATTTTTTATGTATGCCTTTTTTGTTTGTTTGCTTTTATGTATGTTTTTGCGAAAGAAAAAATAAATTTTAAAAAAACAACCACTGTCCCACAGAAGGAGAGCTCTGCTCCTGCCCCACAGCCTGTGGGGTTTCTGCAAGATGAAGCCCCCAGCCTCCAACTCTGAATCCATCTGCTGGAAATGGCAGGAGGGCAGAGTCCCCACTGCCCTCCACTTCCCCTCATGGGCCTCTGGGAAAAGGCGATGCCGGACTTTGGCCTTGCCCAGCAGACTCCTGCCAGGGTCCTGTGCTGACTGGCTTTGGGCGAAGGTCCCGGAGGGGCTCAGGGGCAGCAAACGCTCTGAGCCACCGGCCAAGGCCAGGCTCTCCTCGCCACCCCCGCCTTCCTTGGCTGGAGGCGCTTTTGGGGAGGAGGAAAGCAGCTGCTCTGCAGAAAGCCTTCTGCCACCCAGCCTCCCAAGGTCTCTCTCAAGGACTCCAGGAAAGAGAGCCACAACAAGATTACTGGGGGGAAAGCAATTTATCTGCAGACAAAAACAGGAACTTTCAAAAATGTTACTTGCATAGACCTTGGCTCTGGGGCCAGAACCTCTTTCAGGGCTAAAACAAGCCAGGGACCAGGAGGGTGAAGGACGTCGAGTCTGGAGCTAGAGGAGATCTCTGGAGCCTGTATGCAGAATATCTCTCTCTTCCTGGCACATTCAGGGCACGAATTTAGGCACTAGGATAATCCAGAGGTGCCTTGAATTATACGTATTGCACTTAAGAGAATTTCATATCACATTTTCCAAAGAACTAGCAGTATAAATTCTTCTGGCACCATAGAAGTGAATGCATTTTAAAGCACTTTTGGCCCTCCAGATGTTGTTAAACCACCTCTCCCATCAACCCTAGCAAGCACAGCCAATGACTAGGGATTATGGGAGTTGTAGTCCTGCAATATCTAGAGCAGGCTTCTTCAACCACAGCCCTCCAGATGTTTTTAGCCTACAACTCCCATGATCCCTAGCTAGCAGGACCAGTGGTCAGGGATGATGGGAACTGTAGTCTCAAAACATCTGGAGGGCCGAGTTTGAGGAAGCCTGGTCTAGCAGGCCTACAGCTGATGCCAGAATGTGTTTGTCCTTAAGGCGGCATATGAGAGAAAGCCAGGCTGTTCCTCGTATCCACAGCTGGGGATGGGAGGAGAGGCACCTCACCCTGGAAGTTGCCCAGGAGCACGCACCCCAGTCCCTTGCCCTCCCCTTTAACATATCGGGCAATAATTTATAACATTTATAAATAACTTGTTACAGACATCAGCACTGACCTGAGAGCGTAACCTTTTTGGTTAGGTTTTAAAGAAGGAATGCAATATTGTGATATCTGCACTGCGGCGGGGTTGGGCTAGATGACCCTCGGGGTCCCTTCCAACCCGACAATTCTGTGATTCTATCCAAACAACACAACTTGTCTTCTTCAAGTATTCATCGAAGGCAGGTATTCAGAAGTCTAGAAGGGACATTTGCAGCCTGGGGTTGCCAGTTCACGTTGGGGCTCCCAACCCATGAGAAATTTTAATTTGCATCATGCTCCTTGGAACAGGACTAGCGAGCCAAAACTGTCCACTCAAGGGCACCATCAGAGGGTGGCAAATGGTCCAAATGTCTGCCAAGGCAGGAATGAGGAATGTGGCTCAAGAAGTTTCTTTCTGGGGTAGCACGAGAAATGCAGAGATTCACAGGTCACGGGTGCTCCCCAAATTCAAGATCCCAGGAAGAATGGCTCTGGCGAGAGGCTCTGCAACAGAGGAGCACCTGCCTTGGCACATCAGCAGTACATTTCCAGAGCAGACGACCACAATGCGCATGTGTCTGGGGAACCACCAAGCAGGTCTGGCCAACGTCAGGCGGCGGCGGCGGCAGCAGCCCCATTGCTGGGATGCAGAACCAGCTTGAAGAGGTAGTCAAGATGCAATTCCAGGGCTGCTTCAGCCAACTGGCCACATGCTTGGAAGAGGTAGCAAAGGAGTCCCCGTCCTCCGAACTGAGCTGGCAAAAGGCAAGGCTGGCAAAAGATGCCCTCCAGGGGTGGCAGCAGCAACTTTGCTTCAAGGAAAATGGGCTTGCGTACAGAAAGAGAGTTGGACTCCAACTCCCATCAGCCACAGCTAGCACAGCTAATGGTCAGGGAATGCTGGGAGTTGGAGTCCAACAATGTCTGGCGGGCCTGAAGTGCCCAGTCCCTGAACTAGGGAGAAGCCGCCCCAGCCCACCTGAGCCAACACCTGCCCTGCTCCTGCCCCGGCTCTGACCGTGTGGGGAGGAGGCAGGAGGCCAGGGCACTGGCCCAGGAGGGGGGTTTGGCAGTGCCCATGAGGCAGGAGCCAGAGACGGGCAGGCCAGACGTGTCAGAGGAAGAGGCTGTTAAGGTGAGGGATGGGCTCAACGGATCCCCACCATCCCCCACCCCGTGGCCTCCTAGAACCAGGAGGGGCTTGAGGAGCAAGAACGTCTTCCCTGTAGGAGAAGCTTCCGGTTGTGCCCACGGTTGCTGCTGCCACCTGGCAGGGCTCAGGCCTGGGGGGGGGGCTGCTGAAAGGGCACACTTTGTCCATAAAGAGTTAGCTCTCAGGCCTGGGGGTGCGGAGGACATTCCCAGAGCCCATGACAAACATTTCCACTACTCTAATAGACAGGATTTATTGCACTTGCAGCAAATGAGAGTTTAGTCACTTGTTTGCACCCTTTCAAGTAGAATGAAAAATGCCGGTATTGCAAGGTTTAAAGCTAGCTGATTTAGTCCTGCAAAACCCACGGTCCCTTTTCTTTGGCAAGTCGTGGTCAATTGACCTGTAAACTTTAATGACGGCAGAACCTTGAAATCCAAGGGATCCGGAGTGGAGCATTTCAGGAGCGCAGAAGGAGCTCCACGTAATGGTCGAGGCTCCCCGTCCTGCTGCTTGCATCCTGACCGGGAAGAGGGGGCGCTTCAGCCTGGGGGGCAATCTCAGCAGCAGCCTGGCCTGCCATGTCGATAACTGTGGGCTGCCCGTTGCTCGGTGAACCCCACAGAACGCTCTCAAACTCCGACACGTCGATGTCTGCAAAGAAATCCTCTGCAGGGATGTCGCTTGCATAGCTGGAGGCCAAGATCTCAAAGCTGTCAAACAAGGGGTCGCGGGGCTGCTCCTCAGGGCAGAGGGTACCCCAGGAACCAGCCTCCTGCCCTGGGCTGGCAGCTGCACTCTCGGAAGGCCAGGGGGAATCGGTTCTGGGGCCAGCCAGAGACGGGCAGGGGCCACTGCCACCTTCCTGTTGCTGCAGACTCTCCCAAAACTGCAGGACTTCACCAGCAGAGCAGAGGAAGGAATCCAGGAGCGGCTCAGGCCGGCTGTCTTCACTGGCCACCTGTCCTGCATCTTGGCAGGGGCTGGAGAAGGCAGGCGGTGCCCACATGCCTACGCCCATGTCTGCTGCTCTCACCTGGCCATTGCCCACGGCACTCGGAGGTTCTTCTGCTGGCTGCGCTGGCAGAGACACTGCGCCTTCGCTCTCTGCTGGGGGACCCTGGCTTGTCTCTTGCCAAGGTGGGGCACCCTGGGGTGCTGCCAGCCCGAGGCCCGTTTCCTGGCTCCCTCGGCTGGGGTCCTGGAGGTGCAGGATGGTGTTCTTGAGTAGGACGCTCTTGTGCAAGTCTCGCACGTAGGGCGTGATCAGCGTGGCGTATTTCCCCTGTGCCGCGCGCAGGAAAGAGCAGCGCTTGTGGTCTGGGATGCGGCAGCAGCGCCGCCGGCTCCTGGCAGAAGCCCCGTCCGGCTCGAGGCGCTGGCATCTCAAGCTGCTGGGAGCCATGGTCACCCTGGAGAGAGGGAGGAAGAAGGCGGCACAGGTCAGGATGGAGCCAAGCAAGGTCAGGGCTCGCAAGACGGGGAGGCAAACCACACTGGCCACAGCACAGAGGTGGCGACTGGGCCAAGTGGTGGATCTCGCGGCCAGAGAGGGCCCTCAGCAGAAAGGGTGGCTACCAGCCACGATGGAGGCAGCAAGGCTTCTGAATGCCAGCTGCTGGAAACCGCAGGAGGGCAGCGCTGCTCTCAGGCTCGGATCCAGCCTGCCCGTTTCCCAGAAAAGGCACCTGGCTGGCCACTGTGAGAACAGGATGCTGGGCTAGACAGGCCCTTGGTCTGATCCAGAGGGCACATTCTTCTGATGGAACCTCCAGGCCCAGAGGCAGTCTATCTAGATGCCCAGGCTGTGAGAACGGGTCCTGGGCTAGATGGCTGATCCAACAATCATGTTCTTTTCTTGTTCTCACAGTGGCCCCCCAGGTGCCCAATGGAAAGAAGCCCATAAGCAGACCATAAGTGCGACAGTGACCCCCCCCCTTTGGCTTTCCCCCAGCAAGTGGCACTCAAGAGGCATTTACGGCCTCCAGCAGTGGAGGGTCGCAGCACACAGCCATCCTGGCTAGTAGCCCTCAGAAGCCCCCCCCTCCTCCTCCTCCTCCATGAGTTTGTCCAATCCTCTTTGAAAGCCATCTGAGTTGATGGCCATCCCTGCCTCCTGTGGCAGGGAGTTCCAAAGTTTAATTCTGGGCTACGTGAAGAAGCCCTTACTTTTATCTGTCCTGAATCCTCCAACATTCAGCTTCACTGGAGGTCAACAAATCCCAACTTTTTACTGCAGTCCCCATTTTCTCCACAACCCTGCACCTTCCTGCCCCCACCAAGGAAACTGGGAGGCACAGACCAGGAGAGCCCAGTGTTTACTCCTCGGGTGCGGCTGGCCCAGTGTTGGATGGAGGCTTAGGGGTCTGGTTTCTTATTTGGGGCTCAGACTGAGTGGAGACCTTGCCCTCAGTTTCTCGGCGAAACTCCTGTTTTGGGTGACTAGGCAGGTCCCAAAAGGAGCAGAGGTTTCGAAGTGGGGTCTGGATGGGTCGCTGCAGTTCCTAAAGGAGCCCTGGACTCAAAAAGGGGGCCAATTCCTGCAGGCCTAAACTGTGCCCCCACCCCACTGCCAGGTAGCTGCCCAGGGTTCCCTCTCCATTGCAAAGTTGCTCCCTGGAGAATGACCCTCCCCTGCCCGCTCCCGAGCCTCTGGCCATGACTCACCCCCGAGCCATTCAAGCGCCCAGGACGGAGTTTTCGCCCCCTCCCCCCTCGGCGGGCAGGAAATGGACGCGCAACCTCCAGAGAGCAGGATGGGTGCAGGGCGCGCAAAGGACCCGCTGCTCTCCCTGCAGAGGTGGGGGCGCGAGACGGAAAATTGGGGAGCGGGGGGGGGCTGCCTCGGGGAAGAAGCCCCAGCTCAGCCCAAATCCGAAGTCAGCGAGCCTCACCGCGGACTAGAGAACTGCCCCGGATTAAGTCCTGGGAAAACCACGGGCGCACTCCGGGGCTGCGAGGCGAGCCCTTTCGGGGGTCTCCTCGCCAAGGTCATCTTGCCCCGGAGTCAGCGAGCCAAAGGTTGCAGGTCCCCCCGCTCTTTGCACAGGAGGAGAAGAAAGGGCTGCTTACCTGGCCGGGGCCGCTCACCTGGCCGGGAGCTGCGGAAGCGCCGATAGAAAACGCGGCACGTTTCTGGCTTCTGATCCCCGGCGATCGGCGTTCCCAGCAGCGGGGGGGGGGGGGGGCAGCTCCGCGCCCATTGGTGGGCTGGTCGGGAAGCAGGCCCTCTCATTGGCCGGGGAGAGACCCTCACCTGGCAAGGTCCAGGTGCCGCCCCTTGCGCTCCAGCGGCGCTGCTTCGCTTCGGCCTCCAGGTGGCGCCGCAGCCTCCCTCCTAGGTCTCAAGTCCAGCGCCTACGCCACCCGGACGCCTGGGTTCTTTGGAGCCCTGTGAGCAGTGCTGGATTTACGTATAAGCTAAAAAAGCTCTAGCTTAGGGCCCCATTCTCTTGGGGGCCCCCAAAAATTTAAAGGGAGGAAAAAACCTGGATGTACATTTCCAAAACAGAAGATAAAAAACAAATAAAATAAAACCTACATACACCAAGCGCTCTGAGCCCGGCTTCGGCTGGGGAGGGCGGGATATAAATAAATTTTTATTTTATTATTATTATTTGGTGTTGTGTAGGCTCCTATGATGTAAGTCATGGGCTCCGCCTGCTTGCCTACTCCCTAAAATATCCCTGGTTTGCTCCTTTCTATATATAGGGTGCCTACATTCTGCATGGACTGGTTGCAGGGCAACATGGGCAAATGGCTTCAGAGGTATGAAGTTTACGGCATGGAATGCCTTAAAAGAGAATTTAATGAAAATGATTTACAGGTGGTACATAACACCAGTCAAGCTTGCAAAAATCTACCATTTGCCCGATAATAAATGCTGGAAATGTAATGAGACTGAAGGTACTTTCTTCCACCTTTGGTGGACATGCCCAAGGATTAAGAATTTCTGGGAGATGATTTATAATGAAATGAAAAAGGAATTTAAATATACCTTCCTGAAGAAACCAGAGGCCTTTCTCCTGGGCATGGTCGGCCAATTGGTGCCAAAGAAGGATAGAACTTTTTATATGTATGCTACAACAGCAGCAAGAATACTTATCGCAAAGCATTGGAAGACACAAGATCTACCCACCCGGGAAGAATGGCAGATGAAGGTGATGGACTACATGGAACTGGCGGAAATGACCGGCAGAATCCGAGACCAGGGAGAAGAGTCGGTGGAAGAAGACTGGAAAAAAATTCAAAGTATATTTACAGAAACTTTGCAAAATTAATGAATGTTAGAAGGATGCTGGAATAAAGTTATATGGCTTTAGCAGAAATGTAATAAAGAATTAAGTAAAAGCTGATTGTTAATGGGCCAAAGTGGAAAATTTAAGGTTAGATTGTGTTAAGATAAATTATAGAACAAAAATTGAGAAAGATGGAAAGGATTTGCTGAAATAGATAATTGAACTAGAATACAAAAAAGGGAGGTGTGAGGAGGTCGATGAAACAAGTAAATGAAAGGTAAAGATACGGAAATATTGGATGTGTTTTTAAATGTTTTTGTTTTTATTGTTGTTTTGTTGTATTGTTTTTTGTTCATTTTATTTTTGAGGTATTGTAAGGTATTGTTTTGTTTTGTTTAACTTTTTATTGTTTCTTTCTTCTTTTTTCTGTAACCATTAAACCTCTAATAAATATCATTAAAAAAAAATGTGCAAATGGCTTCAGATACCTATGAGGTCCATCAATTACCACCTAGCATATATTCAACACCAAAAACAGCAACGATTTGTCATTGGCAAAGGACAGTTGGACATATCAAGGGCCCCATTCCCTTCAGTAGCTTAGGGCCTCATAAAACCTAAATCGGGCCCTGCCTGTGAGGGCAGGGGGAATCTAGTAGCAGGGAGTTCCACACGTTTAACAGGCTGCTTGGAATTCCAGAGGGGCCGTGGGATAGGAATGACCATAATAAAAAGGGGAGAGATCTTACCACGGTGCAAATTAAATTAAATCTCCACCATGAGAGGCGAATTGCAGTTGATCAAAATGTCTGTGCATTTGGGGTTGAATAAAGACAATGGCCAAAACACGTATTTAAACCCAACCTGCACACTTTCCCGCTTACACCTCTGTGTCCTGCAGTGGGATAGACCCTTCAGCTCTACAGTTCTGATTCTAGGCACCTGCTGGCAGAAACCAGCCCTTTCATGCACAGGTAGTGTCTCCTAGCTCAGGGACTCAGTTTAGCCTTCCCGGGTCTTCAGCCCAAACCCGTAAGAGGAAGGGATGCGGGCACAGCTAGGCTGCCCTTGCTTGGTCCTTGTGACAGAAGAGCATGAAAGTGCCAGGTGAGGAAGGGAGGACAATGGCTGGGTCTAAATCACTCGCCCCGCGGCCCAGGCAGGAAAGAAGGAAGTCTCTCTCCCTCCCCCCCCCATAAGCCCCAGCACCGGGGCCTCAGGTGCCCCTGTGTGTTTGTGTACTTATGTGGATCCAGCCGAAAGGCAGGGGATCCTCCAGGGCAGGCAGCCCCCCCACCTCCCCGCCCCAAACTCTGCCCACCCCTCCTCTGGGTAATGGCCAAGAGACATGCTTGACCAGGAAGCAGGAGGCTCAGGTGGGGAGCAAGAATGGTAGGGTTCTTGAGCTGGAAGAGACCCAAAGGGGCATCTCGCCCAACTCCCTGCAATGCTAAGTTCATTCTCCCAAATACGTTCTACAGTGGCACCTTGGTTCTCAAACTTAATCCGTTCCGGAAGTCTGTTTCAAAACCAAAGCGTTCCAAAACCAAGTCGTGCTTTCCCATAGAAAGTAATGCAAAACAGATTAATCTGTTCCAGACTTCTAAAAACCACCCCTAAAACAGAAATTTGACATGAATTTTACCATCTAACAAGACCACTGATCCACAAAACGAAAGCAATAAACAATGTACTGCAGTCACACAATCAATCAATCAATCAATCAATCAGTAGCTGACCTGGGTTCCACACAGTCCCAAAAACAAAACAAAAAGAGCAGCAAATACCAAAACACAAAATAAATAGCAAAAACAGAGAGACCTCTGCATAACACTCAAATCGGAAGCGTAACACTCAAAATGGACCACTGTAGTTGCTGACAACTGCAGGAGGGAGAGCTGCCCTTGTGCTCAGCTCCTGCGATGGGCATGGGGCTGGCCACTTTGAGAACAGAATGCTCAACCACAGTCGCATCCATACAACTCTCAACTGGCTCCAAGTGGTGACATCAGGACCCGAAAGATTGAAATAGGTCAAAATATACTTTTTATTTGATTAACTTTTGTTAACAAGTATGTAAGCTTTCCCGTTACACAGAACTCTTCAGCAAGGAAGAGGGAAGGATGTTCCATAGCCATAGAGAGAGAGCAAGGTTACCCATTAACATTAATGCAAATACTTTATGATTTAGCCACTCCCATTCCAGACTGCTTTGTAACGACTAGTAATCTTACCATTTAATACATCTATCAATCCCTTTTCAGCTAAATAATGTCTTACAATACAAAAACCTCACTCCCTTCCGATGGGTCCTGGCCACTCAGGCTGCTATTCTGCCCAATAGTTCTGTGTCCTCCTGAAGCTGACACATTCCTGACCCCAATAAGAGACTTCTTGGACCAAGCAAGCAGCGCCTCGTTCCCCAGGGACCCCCTAGCCTCGCTCCCTTCTCTTGGGATGTGGCGGGGAGAACATAGCGGCTCAAATCACTGCACAAGGACACTGGCGGGGGAGAGCGGGACAAGCACAGCCGCTGTTGAACACAGGAAAACACAGGCATGCAGCAACCCAGTCAAGGAGCCTTTGTGGCACGGAGGGCGCGGGGTGGGCAGCTCACCCCCCCATGGCTCATGTTAAGGGGAGAAAGGCACTCATAGCACACGAGGCAGAGAGGGGCGGGTGGAGGGGGCGGCATCAGCGATGGAGAATTTCCCTTTTGTCAATGGGACAAGGCTTCATCCTTGACCTCCGCAGAGGCAGAGAGAGGCCATCAGGGCGGTGGTGGCCGGCCGGCCTCATTCCTTGGGGTAGTGCCTGGAGAGGTAGACGTTCTTCCCGTCGTACTCGGAGGTGGCCAGGCACTTGAGGAAAAAATGCCCGAGGTCGTGCTTGGAGATGACTCTGGAGCCGCTGGACGTGTCCACGGTCACCGTGTAGTCGCCGGTGAGCGGCTGGTCACCTGGAGGAGGAGGAGGAAGAGAGCCCAGGTGAGCTGGTCCAGGGAATGGAGCCTGTGAGGGATCTCCCCCAAAAGACCCAACAGCTGAGACAGAAATCCCCCCCCCAACGCAAATTCTCCTTCCCCTCCTGAGCCTTCCTAGCTTCTTGGATGAATAAAAACAGGCGTGTAGTTTAAACGGTAATGGTGTTTGGGATTTCATCTGTGTCTCATGCTGCCATGTTTTTCAGGGTTTCCCTGGTTTTTAAAATCATTGAGGGGGTCAACCTTCCTTGGTTGGGAACACAGAACCAGGGTGGTGCAGTGGTTAGAGTGCCGGAGCAGGACCTGGGAGAGGAGGGTTCAACGTCCCCCCCCCTTGGCCATGAACAGAGCTCTCTGGGTGACCTTGAGGCCCAGTTGCTGCATCTCTCAGCTGAGCCAGCCTCGCAGGGTTGTGGGGGGGATTGTGAGATGCAAACCACCTTGAGCTCCTTGGAGGGGAAATGGTGGGATAGAAATGGAAGAAAGAAAAGAAAGGCCGATGAGCCGAGGTGTGTCTTAGACAGACACCCGCCCACACCAAGGAGGAAGAGCTGCTCTCCCCCCACTGCAGAGCCCTCCCCACAGCCCAGAGGCGCACCTGCGATGTGGGGGGGCATGACGTAGACGCAGTCCAGCCCCGACTCCTTGAGGATCTGCTGCATCCGGATGTGGTCCTCGGTCACTGGGCGCAGCTTGGCCGGCACCTTGTCCAGGTCCCACATCAGGAAGGCTGCAAGCAAGGCCAGAAAAGGAGAGTGGAGAGCTGGGCGGCAGGATCAGACCCTGCAGCAGGCGCCCCACCCGTCTCTTTCCCAGGGCGGGGGGCAGAGGCCAAGGGTGCTCCCCACCCCACACCCCCGGTCAAGGAAGGCTCAAGAGCTGCGGGCAGAGACCTGATCTTGGGCACCCAAGTTCAAGCCCCGCCTGGGCCAGAGTCATCTGCAAAATGCGAAGAAGGGCAGACGTGTGACGGTAAGGATTTGTAAGAGGCTTTGAAAATCTAAGTAATATTTTATGCTTTGGGGATCTTTATGGGGATCGTAAGAGACCCTAACCCAGCCGTTCCCAAACTGCAACATTGGTCTTGGTGAAGGTTTTTCTGCCTCTCAAAGTGTTTGTAATGAGCTGTGCCAGATGCTGGTGAACTGTCTGCCTACAGACCACCCGGCCACTGTTAGGGAGCCCCAACCTTCCGCACAGTCACCGCATCTTATTTCAACGTATTGCGACTCAACTGCTGGCCCCGCCTCCTGCCCCTTGCACCCCGTTCCCACTTCAGCTCTCACGGAAGAGTTGCAAGTTGCTGGCAACCGCGCCTGGCTCTAACTATTAGGCACACTTGGCTCTTCTCCTCTCTGTGGCCCACCAGCCCACAGGAAGACCATGCCAAGCTGCCTTTGGGCCTTTCCCCTGCAGCGCTTGGGGGTCCAAGCGGAGAAAGGCGCCCCCCCCATAAGCAACATGCACCTGCGTGGAGAGCCTCATCAGAGCGCGGGACGAGGGTGATTTAAGAGGTATCAGAAATACCTTTGCCTCCAGAGCACCAGAAAGGGCAGAGCCCACGGCAAGACAGCTTCCAAACCAACAGCTGCTGAGTGAGGCAGTGAGACAGCAGCGAGAGATCCCAGGGGCCATTTCGGAGCCCATTATTTCTTTTTTCTTTTAAACCTTTATTTCTGGACTTTTGGCTCACTGATGGCCTCTTTCCAGCTCTCTCCCACCATTTGAATTGATTTCCTGTGCGGTCACATGCAAAAGTGGGAGGGGGGTGGTTGCCCGTATTTTAAAATTTGGTTTTTAAAATATTGCTTTAATTCCTTTTAAACAATTGCCTTTTATGCATGCTTAACTTCCTGTATCTCCTCTCTGTTGTTTTAATTTGCCTAAGCCACTAATCCAGGAAAAAGCCAGGAGATAAATAAACATCCTATTGGTATTTGTAATATTTTGGGCCCCATCTCCAGCTCCTCAAAAGATTCCATCAACAGTGTCTCCGAAAAATTTTACACATCACTTGGGAAGACAGGCAAACTAATGCCAGTGTACTGGAAGAAGCAAAGAGCACCAGTGTGGAAGCAATGATTCTTCAACTTTGTTGGACTGGTCATGTTGTGCGGATGCCTGATGATCGTCTTCCAAAGCAACTACTCTATTCCGAACTTAAGAATGGAAAGCATAATGCTGGCAGTCAACAAAAGAGGTTTAAAGACTCTCTCAAGGCAAATCTCTAAAAATGTAGTATAAACACCGACAATTGGGAAACACTGGCCTGCAAGCACTCCAGTTGGAGAACAGCCTTCGTCAAAGGTGTCCTGGGCTTTGAAGACACTTGAACTCAGGACGCAAGGAAGAAACGTGCTAAGAGGAAGGCATGCTTGGCAAACCCTCACTGGGATCAACTCCTGCCCGGAAACAAATATCCCCACTGTGGAAGGACGTGGGGATGCAGAATTGGCCTCCATGGTCACTTACGGACTCACTGTGAAGACCATGTTCACATGGAAGACAATCTTACTCAGCTTCCTCTACACACCAAGAGAATAGCCCTGTTGGCTTAGAGAAGTTCTGCCTGGAGCAGCTGACCTGAGAGACAAACCACGACTTTGCGGATGCCGTGGGATTTCATGGCCGCCACAATGTTCCGGGTGCCTTCAGACATCATGGTGGTAGGACCTGGCGGGATGGAGAGAGAAGGAGGAGAAGATCAGCCAAGGGTCACGGGAGGGGGCAGGGCAGGCGGGGGGAGGGAGGGAGGGGGCAGCTTTGCCTACTGAGGTCATTGCGGGTGCCCAGGATGACGATCACGGCGTCCTGCCCCTTCACGGCTCGGTCGACGTCCGCCGGGTTCAGGACGTCCCCCACCACCACCTGCGCCGGGTGGGGCTCTGGCGGCAGCCGGACTGGGTCCCGCACCAGCACCGTCACCTGGTAGCCTGGAAAGAGAGGCAGGATGAGGCCTGGGGGTCGGAGGCAGCCAGCAAGGGGGCAGGAGGAGCCCAGGACTCCCGGCCTCCACTGTCAAGCTCTGGAGGGCCAGCGGGAAGGAGGAACAGAAGGAAAATCATAGAATCAGAGAACTGTAGAGTCGGAGGAGACCCTGAGGAGCATACAGTCCAGGCACGTCCAGCTCTCTAGAGATCTACTTCCAGTAGAATAAAACTGGCAGTGATCTACCCATTGTCAAGCTTTTGGTGGGGAGGGTTGCCCAGGGTTGCTGAGCTTTTTTTGGGAAGGATTGGCAAAACCTGTTCAGCTTTTTTGGGGGGGGGTTATAAAATCGCTCATGCCCACGGCCCTCCCTGATTCCCCCACTCTGACCCGGCCCCTGGGAATACAAGCTTTCTCAGCTGCAGCAGTGATGCGACATAGGGCAGCGATCCATCAGGAGAACCCAGGAGATCACTTTTTAATTGCCGCAATCGACCTGGAACACACCCGTGATCTACCTGTCGATTGCGGTCAACCAGTTGAACACGTCTGGTCTACTCTAACCCCCTGCTAAGCAGGAATATGCAGCAGCTCTCCCCCACAAGGATCGAACCAGAACCTTAGTCTTATCAGCACCACACTCAGTCCAAGGGGAGAGACTTCACCAGGCAAGGCCTTGCCCCCCCCCCCAGTCTCGGCTTCTCAATTTGTATTGCATTATTTTATGCACTGCAACTTGCCATTGTTTTTATTGATTATAGTTTAGAAATTCAGGTAGGCAGCCGTGTTGGTCTGATGCAGTAGAAATATATATAAAAATATTAAAATGTCCCATAGCACCTTAGGTATCTGAAGAAGTGTGCATGCACACGAAAGCTCATACGAAGAACAAACTTAGTCGGTCTCTAAGGTGCTACTGGACAATTTTTTTAGTTTAGAAATTATTTATTGTAACTGTTAAGAGTGAATTTCTGTTTAATTTTTATATGCTTATATTATTCTATACTATTCTAATGGATTGTTGAATATTACTTTTTTATATAAGTTGCTTATTTTAAAGTTATGTTTTATTATTGCATTTTTGTATTGGATTAGCTGGTTATAAGGTGTACATTCTTTGCTTCTGCAGCTTGTAAACCACCTTGGGGATTGTAAAATAGAAAGGCGGTATACAAATTAAAAGTGAAATGAAATGAAATCCAGTCCTGCTGAATCAGGCCAGTCCTGCCCCCTGCCCTGCCCAGTCCTGCCTCCTGTTCTCACGGGGGGGGGGCAGGTCCCTCTGGGGCACCTGCAAGCAGGGCCAGGTTGAGGTTTGATGCGGCCCTCAGCTCCTGAAGGCAATGGGGCCCTTGATATGTCCAGCTGTCCTTTGTCCACAACAAATCATCACTTTTTTGTGTTGAATAGATGCTAGATGGTAATTTATGGACTTAATAGGTATCTCAAGCCATTTGCCCATGTTGCCTTGCAGGTGGGGCCCATGACTTACATCCTAGGAGCCTACACAACACACAGTTGCTGTAAGTAGGTTTTATTTGATTTTTTTAAAACTTATATTTTGGAAATCTACATCCAGTCCCCCCCTTTAAATTTCTGGGGGGCTCCCAAGAGAGTGGGGCCCTAAGCTATTGCTTGTTTCGCTTATATGCCAATCCGGCACTGCAAGATTCGAGCACCGGAGGCCTCTCTCCTTCCAGCAGCTGGGACTGAGCAGCCCTGCAGCCTCCCTCTCTGGCAGGGAGCCCTGGCAAGGCAGCCTCCTCCACTTCTGCCCGCCCTCAGCTGATCCAGTGCAAGATGCAGGAGAAAGGAAGAGGCGATTCTCCTCTTTCTCCCTCTCATTTCCCTTTTTCTGCCTTCCAGGGCTGGCTCTGTTTCTGAACTGCTCAGGCAGGAAGTTGCTCCGTCCAGGGGTGTAGTGTGGAGGGGCACACAATTTTTGAGGGCGAACCAGCCGCCCCCAGTCCGGTGCTCCTCTCTGCCCGCCAAGCATGGGAGTAACCAGGGGGCAGCTGCTCCCCGGATCAAATAAAACAATAGAAATACTTAACTGACCAGTCATGTTGGCTATGCCTCCCCCCAACAAAAATCCCGGCTGTGCCCATGTCCCCAATGGCCATGTTGACCAGCCGGACTCCCTGTACATGGCCTGGCAGGCAGCTCAGGGTGGCCCCGTTTTGCTCCGGTGGGGGTGGGGTCACTCTGGCGGCAAGGGGTGGGCTGGTGCCCCCCCCCGCCCTGCACACACATGCCCCCCCACTCAGCACCAGCCCCCCCACCCCGGGCACCAGAAACTAACGCTATGCCACTAGCTCCACCCTCCATTTCGTTCCTTGTCCACTTTTCTTTTAAACGCCCTCAGGAGAGACTGAGCGATATCCTCTTTGAATCAGCAGAAGCATTTTCTCTGCCCCTCCCCTGCACTGCTCCTTTTGCCTTTTGGCACCAGGTGCCCCCCCCCCCCGGTAGTCTCACTAAAAGCAGGAAGGCAGCAGCCGGGGATTTAACAGACAGTCAGAAAGAACCACACGCCCCACCTTTAAGCTATTCGCTCCTCAAATCCCTTCTTGCTTAAAACTCTGGTTGGGAATTGGTCCATGGATTGTAAAACAAAAAACAAATATTGCACCTATGCACCTAGTTTTAATATTGCTTGTGCTATTTTTAAAGTAGTATGTCCTTATTGCTCTGCTTGGTCCTACTTCCTTGACTTTGCTATTGAACCATGCTGGCATCTTCCCCCAGGCTTCCTTCGCCCCTTCGCACTATGCGCTTCAGACAGGTTTTCCCGGTTGAATTTTGCCCCTCTTTCCACACGCCACCTCTCAACTTTCTTTCAGCTAATCCTCTTATTTATTTTCTGAGAATTTCCTCCTTTCCTAAGGCTGAATTCAACAGCGGCGTCACATCTCAGCCGCGCTCCCTTGAGTATTCAGTCGGGAGTCCCTGCCTCGCCTCTCCCTGGTCCACAGGAATATTGATTGCAAAGAGCCATTGCGATTTGTGTGTCAGCATTTTGGAAAGCAGCCGAGGGCAAAGGCCGAATCCTGCGGCACGTGCTGCACCAGGCCAAAGAGGAAGGCCCTTGCCCCAGGGTGACCCCACAGGCTGTGCTGGTGGGGCAGAGCTTCCAAGGGGAAGTGGGAAAGGGAACAGGAAGGTGGGAGGGGAGGGCGGCAGGACGGGATCTGAACCAAGGGAAGACCTTTCTGAGGGCTGGATGGCCCTCCGTCAGGGATTTGTGGCTGAGATTGCTGCATTGCATTGGGGTCCCTTTCACTGGCCCCACGAGGGGAAGCAAGAGGATAAGGGGTTTGGAAAGTGGGGTTGGGGGATGAGTGTTCAGACCCCTGGGCCCTCACTTGTGGGGTGCCTCAGGTTTCCATCCTCTCCCCCATGCTTTTCAACATCTACATGCAGCCGCTGGGAGAGATCATCAGGGGATTTGGGCTGGGTGTTCATCAGTATGCAGATGACACCCAGCTCTACCTCTCCTTTAAATCAGAACCAGTGAAGGCGGTGAAGGTCCTGTGTGAGTGCCTGGAGGTGGTTGGAGGATGGATGGCGGCTAACAGATTGAGGTTGAATCCTGACAAGACAGAAGTACTGTTTTTGGGGGACAGGGGGCGGGCTGGTGTGGAGGACTCCCTGGTCCTGAATGGGGTAACTGTGCCCCTGAAGGACCAAGTGGGACTCATTCTGGCCTCACAGCTGTCCATGGAGGTGCAGGTCAATTCTGTGTCCAGGGCAGCTGTCTACCAGCTCCACCTGGTGAGCAGGAGGAGACCCTACCTGCCCGCGGACTGTCTCACCAGAGTGGTGCATGCTTTGGTTATCTCCCGCTTGGACTACTGCAATACACTCTACGTGGGGCTACCTTTGAAGGTGACCCAGAAACTACAATTAATCCAGAATGCGGCAGCCAGACTGGTGACAGGGAGCGGCCGCTGGGACCACATAACACCGGTCCTGAGAGATCTGCATTGGCTCCCAGTACATTTCCAAGCACAATTCAAAGTGTTGGTGCTGACATTTAAAGCCCTAAATGGTCTCAAAGGCCCAGTAGACCTGAGGGAGCGTCTCCACCTCCATTGCTCAGCCCGGACACTGAGGTCCAGCTCCGAGGGCCTTCTGGTGGTTCCCTCATTGTGAGAAGTGAGGTTACAGGGAACCAGGCAGAGGGCCTTCTTGGTGGTGGTGCCCGCCCTGTGGAACGCCCTCCCACCAGATGTGAAGGAAACAAGCAGCTATCCTATCTTTAAAAGACATCTGAAGGCAGCCCTGTTTAGGGAAGTTTTTAATACTTAATGCTGTATTGTTTTAACACTCGATTGGGAGCCACCCAGAGTGGCTGGGGAAACTCAGCCAGATGGCCGGGGTATAAATAATAAATTATTATTATTATTTGGAAACTAAGTCCTATTTGTGAGGAATAGTTGAGGGCCTGGGGATATTCAGACTGGAGAACAGAAGATGGAGAGGAGCTTGTTTTCTCCTGCACTGGAGGGGAGGAGCGAAACCAATGACTCGAATGACAGGCAGGAAGACTCCAACTCAACATCAGGAAGAACTTTCTGACAGGAAGGGCTGACAGCAGAACAGACTCCCAGCAGAAGCGGTGGACTCTCCTTCCTTGGAGGTTTTCAAGCAGAGGTTGGGGGCCACACGTCACTGAGACCCCTGCATTGCAGGGGGTTGGGCTAGATGACCCTGGGGCCCCTTCCGACTCGACCATTCTATGATTCTTGGGCCACCTGATCACCCCAAGCATTACCTTCTCGGAGATGCGTTCCTCCCCAAAATAGTTCCCACCAATGTGGCAACCCCGGCTGGCCAGAGGAGCTTCCCTGGCTGTCCTGGCACGAGCGTTGGCACTGCGGCAGCAGGACACCCAGCCTGGCACCCACCCAGAGGATGAGAGTGAGACCTGCCTGAGGGTTTCTGTCAGGAGAATCTCAGGTGGAGCAAGATCCGATCAAGTCTGGGCAAGGTCTCCCCACCCACCTGCTGCTGCTGTTTGGGCTGTTGCTGAGCTGCAAAGGGAGCTTTGGCAGAACCCCAAGTTCTTTTGGGTCCTTTTGGGCTGTGTGGCCCCTGAAGGCCAAAAGGAGCAAAGCAGTGGCGGTGGCCCAGTTGGTCAGCCCAGGTGGCCAAAGGAAGGGGACTTAAGCTGGACACTGTCCTGGCCCCGGACACAAGGCTCTGCTCTGCAGGGTTGTCGTTGCTGCACAAAGGAGCTCAGCCTTGTCTGGACACACAAGTTCGCCCGCAAAGGCCCAGGCTCCTCTTGCGGCAGGGGCCAAATCTGCTCCTCCACCCGGCCCTCCAGTAACACCAACAGCAGCAACCGTCTCCTGGCCACTTCTGATAACAGCCCCACCTTCTCTTTATCTCTCAGTGCACAAGGTGGGAGGGAACAGCTGGCTGGTTAAGGGGGCAGGGAGAAAAAAGAATTCTATTAAGAATACTGGGAAGCAGTGTGGCCTAGTGGTTAGTGTGTCAGACGAGGACCTGGGAGATCCCAGAGTCCAGCTCCCTCCCACCTCCTGCTCAGCCATGAAGCTCAACTGGCACCCAGCCCCTGCCTCTCTCCGCCTTCGCCTACCTCACAGGCTGCTTGTGGGGATTAAAGGAGGGCTGGGAGAATCCTGCGCACCACACTGCGCTCCTTGGAGGAATAAGCGGGGATATAAATGCAGCAAGGAAAGGATTAGGTCCTGGGGGCACAGAGGCACCTTTCCTTGCTTATTCCTGCACTGAAATGGGTCCAAGCCACCCAGTGGGTGCGCAAGGGGCAGCGACGGCCTCGCATCTCAGCCAGGAGGGAGCTTCTCTCTCCCTCTGACGGCGCCTTCCCTGCCGGGCTCTCGCCAGGAGGACGAAAGCGGCGCAGCAATTGGGAAATCATTAACAACAGGTTGGGGAGCTTCTCGCTCTCCGCCCCCGGCCAGGAAAGCCGCCCCGGCGCGAGGGGGCGGCAGCTGCGCTCCGACCAGCGGGGGCCGTGGACGGCAGGGTCCCCCCACGGGCGCCCGAGGGGCGGCAGCCGGGCCGCGTCGCCAGGCTGGGGGGCTGTGCGGGACGGGGTTCCCTCTCTCCGCCGCCCTCCCCCGCCTCTCACCAGCCTCGACGGCTTGCGCCAGGGTGGCCAGGCCAGTCATGCCGGTGGCGCCGAAGATGGCGATCCTTTTGCAGGCTGCGGCCATGCCGGACTCCTTCCCTTCTCCGCCCGTCGGCCGCCCGCCTCCGCCCGCCAGCGGCCAGCCCTTCCGCCCGGAGCTCCGCCCGGGAAGGCAGGACCGGAGAGGCCGGGGGCGGCGCGTCGCTCGCTCGCGCGCTCAGCCGGGGCTCCCTCGACGGGCGCCACGGGAGGAGGAGAAAAGGGGGCTCCCTGGACAAGCCCCCGCCTCGGCGCTGCTCCCGTGCCTTCAGACGGCTTTCATAAGGAATGCCAAGCAAGGCGGAGAAGCCCGCCTCCCTCTCCCGCGCGCAGCCGGAGCGCAAAGCACAGGAGCGCAGCTGGAGGGGGGACGTTGGCGACCCTCTGCTCGCCCCCCAAATGCGGGGGTGAGGGGGGAGCGGGAGCCCCCGCGAGGGCTGCTGGGAGATCCGCCCCGCCATGCAAAGCGAGCCTGGCGCCGGTGGGTGGGGCGCCTGTCGCCAGCTTGCGGGTTCGGCGCTCGTGTGAAGCGTGCCAGGCGCGGCTGGCGGGGCTGGGCGCCGGCCTCTCGGCGGCGGGGCGGCGGGCGCGCCCTCCTCCGCTGCCCGCTGCTCCCCAAAGGGCCTCCGGGCTCCCTGGTCGCAAACCACTCCGACAAAGACCCCCAGCAGCCGCCCCCTCCCATCGACGACCCTCCGGTACCTGCCTCTCCGCCAGCGCCGGGGCGAAGCAGCCCTGGACGAGGAGGATCCCCGGCTGAATCAGACACTCCGCCCTCCCCGCCGGCCCTCTCTCCATCCAAGACCCCCTTCTTCCCCCCCCCACTCCGGGAGGAGGGGCCGCCATGCGCGCCGGTGCCCGGCTGGAGGGAGCGGGAGCCGCTCGGCCGGCGAGCCGAAGGACGGGCCCAAGGTGACCGCTCGCCCGGGCGCGCCCTCCTTTGTGCCTTGCTCCCCCCGGGGCGCGCGCCCCCCGCCAGCCTCCTTGGGTCCGCGCCCGCGTGCGCGCCCGTCTCCCTGCCTGCCTGCCTGCCTGGAAAGCGCTCCGGGCAGCGGCGGGGCGAGGCGGGCGCGGGACCGGGACGGAGCGGAGCCCCGGGATTGGCTGCGGCGGATGATGCTGCGGGGCTGCGCCGGGGGCCTCCGCCGCCGGCCTCCGCTCGCCTCCCGCAGCCACTGAGCAGCGCCGCCGCCACCACCACCACCGGGCGGGGCGAGGCCGTGGGACGCTTCTCCGCGCCGTCGGGGCACTTGGGGAGGTAAGTCGCGGGGGTCCTGGTCATGCAAAGCGCTTCCATGCGAAGGGGATCCAGAAAAGGAGTTGGACACCCGACCCCGCCACCCCAAAACCCCCGAATCGCTCAGTTTCGGTGGATGGGGGGGGGCTGGCCCTATATTTGGGGTTGGCCTTATCTTTGGGGACGGAGGGGGGTCTGGTCCTACGTTTGGAGACGGGAAGGGACTTGCTTAGGGAGCTGTCCATGGTGTGATGCTTTTGGTCTGCCCAGAGGAGGGCAGGGGCTGCAGGCTCTCTCCCCCACTCCAATATCCCACCCCCCAGTTTTCTTCTCCCGGCGGCGGAGGACAGGCCGCCCCGGCTGGACCAGCGCGTGCTTGGCGACATGTCCTTTCGCCTCGGAATGGCACCGGAGTCCCCAAAAAGCTGTGGCCGGGAATGGTCAGCGGACGCCTCTCCATCCCTGCCAGGCAGAAGGGCAAGGCCGGAGGAGAAGGGCCTGCTCAGTCCTTGCCCCCCTCGCTCCACCCCAGCAGGATCGGGGCCCAGCAGCACCTGCAGTCCTCGGGTCAGTGCCCAAAGATGGTGCCGGGATGGAGGCGCGCCTGCAGCGCTGCAGAAGGCGGGGAGACAAGCTGCCCTTCCCTCTTGCCTCCCCTTTCTAGGGATTGTTCAGGTGCCCCCCCCCATCCTCCAAGAAGCCCAAGCCCCACTGGGGGGCTCCCCAAGGGTCGTGCAAGAGGATCATGGACCAGCCCCCCCTCTTGGGCCCAGACAATTCTGAGGCTTCAGCCTTTTAAAAAGCTGAGCTTTAAGTTCCTGGAAATAGCAGGGCTTAGACGCTGGGCTTTCTATTATTCCGGAAATATATGGGGTTTTTTAATAGCTAAATGGGTGAGCAGGCTGCATCCAACCCGCCAATTTCCCACAGGGATCTGGTTGGCCACTGTGAGTGCAGGATCCTGGAGTAAGGGGCCTGATCCAGCAGGCAGGCTCTTCTCCTCATGGGTGGAGCCAGGATTTTTGTTGGGGGGGCAGGACTTTGTTGGGAGGCAGAACCAACATGATGGGTCAGTCAGTTTAAGTATTTCTATTGTTTTACTTGACGGGGAGAGCTGCCGCCCCCTTGGCTATGCCAGTACTTTCCCTGTTCTTACAATTATTTACTTGCATCAACTGTTTGGTTAGATAAGTTATTAACTGAAGTCAACACCATTAGATCTGGACTTTGGTCAACCTGGGGGGCCTCCAGATTCTTTGGACTACAATTCCCATCAGCCCCAGCCAGTGCATGTCCTGCATGATGGGAGTTGTAGTCCAAAGCATATCGGGTCTGCTTGAAGGCAGGCCAGGCCATTTTCCCTTCACCCAAGATGCCTGGAGCCTTTCAATGGGCAATTGTTGTGTGTGTGTGTGTGTGTGTATATATACAATACAATACAATACAGTATAATTTGAAAACAAAAACAGCTTAATGTACAGTCAAGCAGTATATAATGTAATGTACAATCAAGCAGTACTGTATAGAAATTTTGCTAATTAGGACTCCCAGTCATACTGCCAATTATTACCCGAGACAAATTATGATTCTTTACGACTTTAGACCAGCTTCAGACTGGTCTACCTTGCAGAGCTGTTGTGAAGGCCTCTTTCTGCCCTGTTCCCCGCTTGCCAGGAGGGATCCCATTGCCTTCCCCTCCTGCCTCGGGATCCCAGTTGCTGGAAACGGGGGAGGGGAGAGGGATCTTGGGCTTGGATCCTGCTTGCAGGTTTCTGGCTGGCCGCTGTGAGAAGAGGTTGCTGGACTAGGTGGCCACTGGCCAGAGTCATCCCTGTTGCCTTTGAGGCTTCCCTCATGTTGGACACAGTCTTCTAGGTGTGGTCTGGCTAAGGCAGAATAGAGTGGGGCTCTTCCTTCCCTTGATCTGGACACTTCTGTTGTTGCAGCCTAGAATAGCGTTAGCCTTTTTTTGCAGCTGCATCACACTGTTGACTAATAATAATAATAATAATAATAATAATAATAATAATTTATTATTTATACCCTGGCCATCTGGCTGGGTTTCCCCAGCTGCTCTGGGTGGCTTCCAACAAAGTATTAAAATACATTAAACATTAAAAGCTTCCCTAAACAGGACTGCCTTCAAATGTCTTCTAAAAGTCTGGTAGTTGTTCTTCTCTTTGACATCTGGTGGGAGGGCGTTCCACAGGGTGGGTGCCACCACCGAGAAGGCCCTCTGCCTGGTTCCCTGTAACTTGGCTTCTCGCAGGAAGGGAACCACCAGAAGGCCCTCAGTGTCTGGGCAGAACGATGGGGGTGGAGACGCTCCTTCAGGTATACAGGACTGAGGCCGTTTAGGGCTTTCAAGGTCAGCACCAACACTTTGTGTTGTGCTCAGAAATGCACTGGGAGCCAATGCAGGTCTTTCAAGACCGGTGTTATGTGGTCTCAGTGGCTGCTCCCAGTCATCAGTCTAGCTGCCGCATTCTGGATTAGTTGTAGTTTCCGGGTCACCTTCAAAGGGAGCCCTACATAGAGCGTGTGGCAGTAGTCCAAGCAGGAGATAACCAGAGCATGCACCACTCGGGCGAGGCTGTCCGCAGGCAGATACGGTCTCAGCCTTCATACCACATGGAGCTGGGAGACAGCTGCCCTAGACACAGAATTGACCTGCACCTCCATGGACAGCTGTGAGTCCAAAATGACTCCCAGGCTGCACACCTGGTCCTTCAGGGGCACAGTTACCCCGTTTAGGACCAGGGAATCCTCCACACCTGCCCACCTTCTGTTCCCCCAAAACAGTACTTCTGTCTTGCCAGGATTCAACTTCAATCTGTTAGCCGCCATCCATCCTCCAACTGCCTCCAGAAACTCACACAGGACCTTCACTGCCTTCACTGGTTCTGATTTGAAAAAGAGGTAGAGCTGGGTATCATCCGCATACTGATGAACACCCAGCCTAAATCCCCTGATGATCTCTCCCAGCGGCTTCATGTAGATGTTGAAAAGCATGGGGGAGAGGACAGAACCCTGAGGCACCCCACAAGTGAGAGCCCAGGGGTCTGAACACTCATCCCCCCCCACTTTCTGGACACAGCCCAGGAGGAAGGAGCGGAACCACTGTATAACAGTGCCTCCAGCTCCCAGCCCCCCAAGACGGTCCAGAAGGATGTTCAGCTTGTGGTCCACCAAGACCCAGAGATCCTTTCCACATGTCCTGCTAGTAAGCCAGGTGCCCCCCCCATCCTATATTTGTGCATCTGGTTCTTCCTGCCTAACTGCAGAACCTGACATTTGTCCCTATGGAAATTCATTTTGTTAGCTTGCACCCAGTTCTCCAATCTGTTTTTTTTTTCTTCAAATTTTTTTATTGCTTTTCCAGATTTATAACAAAAAGAATAACACTACATAACAAACAACTAAAGAAAACACACTACATTACAAAAAAGAAAAAAAACAATTAGTACTTCTATTACGTAATTTAACTTTCATTGTTAACTGACTTCCTCAAATCCCCCCCAACTGAATTTCATTATATCACCTTGTAACAGTTCTCCAAGATCTTATTTCTAATAAAATTAACTCCTTTTATTTACTATCTTCTTCCTTCTTCTCTTTTATTACTTCTAGTCCTTAGTGTTTTACAACCCATTATTATTATAATCTTATACCTATTTGTAACTTCCAAGTGACTCCAGTTCTCCAATCTGTTAAGGTCATTTTGAATTCTGATTCTGTCTTCTGCAGCATTAGCTACCCCTCCCAGTTTGGCGTCATCTGCAAATTTGATGAGCATCCCCTCAGTTCCTTCATCCAAGTCATTTATAAAGGTGTTGAACAACAACGGGCCCAGCACAGAACCCTGCAGCCCCCCACTGGTCACTTTTCCCCAGGATGAGGAGGAACCATTAATGAGTCCTCTTTGGGTTCAATCAGTCAACCAGCTACAAATCCACCTAACAGTTGCCTCATTCAACCCACATTTTACCAGCTTCCTCACAAAAATATCATTGGGGACTTTGTCAAACACCTTAATGAAATCAAGATACACTATGTCCAAGGCATTTCCCTGATCCACGAAGTTTGTAATTTCATCGGGGGGGGGGGGGAGAAATGAGATTGGTCTGGCATGACTTATTTTGAGAAACCCATGCTGGGTCTTAGTCATCACAGCATCCTTTTCTAAATGCTCACAGACCAATCGTTGTATTATCTGCTATTGGACCTTCCCTGTTATCGATGTCAAGCTCACTGGTCAATAGTTGCCTGGGTTTTCCTTGCCCCCCTTTTTGAAGATGGGGACAACGTTTGCCCGCCTCTCGTCTGTAGGGACTACACCTATTCTCCAAGAATTCTCAAAGATCGCAGACAAAGGCTCTGAAATTCCACCCACAAGCTCCTTTAGTGCGCTTGGGTGCAGATCATCAGGCCCTGGAGATTTGAATTCATTGGGGTCACGAGGAGTCGGACATGACTAAATGACTAAACAACAACAAACAAGTAGCTAGGTGTTCCCTTACTATCTACCGTATTTTTCACCCCATAGGGCGCCGGCCCATAAGGCGCACCTAGTTTTTTGGAGGGGAAATAAAGAAGAAAATATTTATTTCCCCCCCCAGGCGTGGGGCTGGGGCGGGGGAAGCCCAAGCTTCCCCGACCCAGCCCCCAGAACAGGCTGCTATCCACAAGCCGTGGGAGAGCTGCACAAAACCCGAAGCCTGGGGCGTGCTGAGCTCAGCGCGCCCCAAGCTTCTGGATGCAGGCAAGCTCTCCACAAGTCATGGGAGAGCTTCGCGACTGAAACCACGAAGAAACCTTTACCGTGGTACCTCGGGATGCGAACGGGATCCATTCCAGAGCCCTGTTTGTATCCTGAAGTGAACATAACCCGTGTCTGCGTGTGTGCAGGTTGTGTTTCGGCACTTCCACGCATGCGTGTGACGTCATTTTGAGCATCTGCGCATGCGTGCGCGGTGAAACCCGGAAGTAACGCTCTCCATTACTTCCGGGTTGCTGCAGAGCGCAACCCGAAAATATTCATCCCGAAGCGTATTTATCCCAAGGTATGAGTGTACAGTATTATTATTATTTACCTCTCTTGCAAGCCTGGGCTCCTTCTGAGCTTTAGCCAGCCTGACTTCCCCCTGCAGCTCATGAATATTCCTCCTTTGTGATTTCCACTTTCTTCCATTTCTTATACATGCCTGTCTTAAGTCTCAGCTCATCTGTAAGCTGCTTATGCAGCCTCAGCGGTTTCCTTAGACGCCTCCCGCTTTTCTTCCTTCCTTTTCTTCCTTTGGATTCCTGGGTGCCCCCCATGAAATATCCCCCCAGTCTCTTCTGGGGTTCCCCTGCACACGCTGCCTGTCCAGCCCTCCTCCCTCTGGCTGGGGAAGGGGGGGCAATCCGGACCCCGACTTGCCAGGAGGGCGAGGGAGGAAGCAGGCCTTCTCAGCCCCAAGCAAGGGAGCAGGAAGGGGCTTCCCTGCAGACAGAACCAGCCCTGCAGAACCCTTGGGAAACAGTAACGGGCGACCATTCACTTTCTGGGGCAAAAGCTCCCCCCCCCATTTCATTTCTTCTATTTCTATGCTGGTTTTCATTCAAACAAAGGGACTTACAAATAATCAGAACAGAACATCACAGCTATTGCATGCGTCATATTATATGATTAACAAATCATCCATAAAACCAGGGCTTTTTTTTAGCCAAAACTCCCCATTCCGGCACCTCTCCTGCCATTGCAGAGGTGTTCATGGTGAGTTCTGGTTCTTCTTTTTCTAGAAAAATAGTCCTGCATAAAACATAATCTATAAAAGAGTATTAACAAAATAACAACTAAAAGTTAAGCGAAATCCTATTATGTTCGCATACTCCTCTCTCTTAGAACTCTTCCACCACTTCAGTTTCTCCAGTTCGTTAAAATACACCTGCCCAGGGTCCAAGGAGGAAATACCTACAACAGGCATGGCCAAACTTGGTCCTCCAGATGTTTTGGGACTACAGTTCCCATCATCCCTGACCACAGGTCCTGCTAGCTAGGGCTCATGGGAGTTGTAGGCCAGAAACATCTGGAGGGCCGAGTTTGCCTATGCCTGACCTACAGCAACAGAGCAATACTTTAACTTATTAGTTAAAAAGCAGGATTTATGTCTCATGGGGTGCTGGGAGGAGCTGCTGCTTTGTACAGAGTTAGGCCCTGGAGGCTCCATCTGGCTCACTGTTGCTTACACTGACTGGCAGCAGCTGCCTGGCATTTCAGAACTGTCCTCTCCTTGACTCCCAAACTCCGCCTTTGCATTGCGTCCTCTCAGCTGGTCTCCTGCGCCATCTCCACAGGAGGGCTGGCCGGGGCTCCAGGCGCCCATGAGCTCCTTCTGCGCAGATCCGTGAAGGAGCCAGGGGCAAGATGGCAAATGTCACGCCAGCCAAGCTGGACAACCTGGAGGCTCAGCAGCAGCAGCAGCAGCAGAACAACAACACCCGGTGGGAGAGCACTGAGCACCACCACCAGCACCGGCCCTGGGATGAGGCCACCGCCACAGCCAAGCTCTTTGAGTGCTCCCGGATCAAGGCCTTGGCCGGTATGTCTTGCATGGCTCTTGCCGGCCTGCAGGGATAGAAAGGGTTGGACAAGGGGAGGCTGAATTGCAGGCAGCAGGCACAACCTGGGTGAGCTGGGCTGGGCTTTCAGATGCCCAGGGTTGGAAGGGACCCAGTGGACATCTAGTCCAACCCCCTGCAATGCACAGGGATATGGTCTGGACCCCCCCCCCGATCCCGCAGGATTGCTCTGAGACGGAGGCCCAACTGCAGGGAACGGGGGGGGCAGCTTTGTCAGAGTCAGGGGTCCTAAAAACTGCTTAGGCCCCCACCCTCTCAGCTCCCTAAACTCATCGCCAGCAACCGCTTCCCTCCCCTACAAAGCACATTATTCAGAGTAGCGCCTTGCACAACCCGCTAAGGAAGATAACTGTGGTGAAATTCAAAATGGGAGCAATTAATTGCACATTAATTCCAAATCCAATCAAGGCTGCTTAATTAATTCCGCAAGATGTGTTCCCAATCTAGCGTGCCAATGGGGCTGGCAGCGGAATCTGACTTTGGTACTGACTTTGCTTGGGGGGCAGCAGGCCAGCTTGCCTGGGGGGTGGAGGGAGAGCAGAATCCTCTTGGCGATTCCTCCAGCGCCAAGGGGTCTCCCTGTAGCCTCTGAAGAGTGAGGGGCTCCTGCCCCCCTGCCCTGCCTTACTCTGCCAACCCTGAGCCCCTCTGGCACCCAGGAGCCTCCCTCTCCCCCGCTTTGAAAATGGCTTGTGGGGCTCATTTCAAAGACAGCTGCAAATTAGCCGGGGGATGAATAAAGAGGGAGGTGAGCTGACCGTGGGTTCCACCCAGTTCAGCATTGTCTACACTGACTGGCAGCAGTAATGCACATAGGGGCAGCTTCCTTCAGCCACGAGAGGCTGCCTGCCTGGGGGTGGGAGGGGCTCTCTCTAGGAGAGGTGAGGGGGCTTAAGCTCGCTTTGCTGGTGGTGCTGGAGGTTGGGGTTAGGAATCGGCCCCTGCACGTCATGGGAGACAGCCCCTTGCTGGGGGTTGGGCTAGATGACCACTTGGGTCCCTTCCAAGTTCTTCTTCTTATTTTTATTTTCTTTATTTACACATTTTAAATTATACAAATCAAACACATTTTTCTGTTATAAAAGAAAAGAAGGGGGAAATAGAAAAAATAGAAAAAAAGTTAAATGAAAAATCTTATTAAAGACATACAGTTTTTTAAGAAATACAAACCATCATTGGCATTATTATAAACATATATTTCCAGTAAGAGGTTGTTTTATCAATTTCTCCTCGCTACTCTTAATTTCTTACTTATGCCTAATCTCTGGTTTTATTCCCTGACTTGTTAATGACTTCCTTCTACCTCTATGCCATGGGTAGGCAAATTAAGGCCCGGGGGCCGGATCCGGCCCAATCGCCTTCTAAATCTGGCCCACGGACGGTCTGGGAATCAGCGTGTTTTTACATGAGTAGAATGCGTGCTTTTATTTAAAATGCATCTCTGGGTTATTTGTGGGGCATAGGAATTCATTCATTTCACACACACCCCAAAAATATGGTCCGCCCTCGGCAAGGTCTGAGGGACAGTGGACCGGCCCCCTGCTGAAAAAGTTTGCTGACCCCTGGTCTATGCAGTTCATAATTTCTCATTTATAAAAATTCCTGCCTCTGTTCTTGTTCTACGAAAGACCATTCTTTTAACTCTGTGGAATTTAGTCTATGCTCAACCAAGAGTCATCGTTGGAAACGTATTTCATCATGTCATTTATAAAAACATCCCATCCCATTTAAAAACATCCCAGTGATTTTCTGTTGGTTTTGCTAGTTCAAGACATTCACATAGCCTTTTTGACTCGGGTCCCTTCCAAGTTCTGTGGTTCTGCAGCTGGCAGCGCTGGTGGACCCTGGGCAGAGCCCTGTGGGTGCTTTGGGGGTGGCTTCCCTGGGGGCAGAGGGGGGACCCTGGGGGGCTCCGCCTACTGAGCTTGACCCCCTCTTCCTGCCAGACGAGCGCGAAGCCGTGCAGAAGAAGACCTTCACCAAGTGGGTCAACTCGCACCTGAGCCAGGCCTCCTGCCGGATCAGCGACCTCTACACCGACCTGCGGGACGGATTCATGCTGACCAAGCTGCTGGAGGTGCTTTCCGGGGAGCAGCTGGTGAGGAGGGGCTTTGGGCCAGGGAGGCGGGGAGCGTCTTGGGGGGCTCCGTCTGCAGCAGGAGTTGGCTTCAAAAGAGGAAAACATGGGCCAGACCTGTGGATTTCTGTGTTGCACTGATGAACGCACTCTGCACATGGTCAGGGGCGTTTCCTTCTTCGCTCCGATGCTGCTGACTCCTGGGTTTCTGAGGTTTTGCTCTGTGGGGGCAGCAGAAGGGCCTGGTGCGAGATGCATTCTCAATACAGAATGCACTCGGCACATGGTCAGAGGCATTTCCCTCTTCGTTCTGAGTTTCTTTTGTTCAGAGCAGGCTCTGGGGTTTTGCTCCATGGGGGGAGGAGAAGGGTGCGATGTGGGATGCGTTCTGTGTTGCAAAAGAGAGAGCACTCTGCACATGGTCAGAGAAATACCCTCCTTTGCTCTAACATTGCCGGCTCCAGAGTTTCTGGCACTCGGAGCGGATTCTGAGGTTGAGTTCTGTGAGGGGAGGAGAAGGGCCTGAGGTGGGGTGTGGGTGGCTTTTTGGGGGAAAGAGAGTCTCCCCCCCACGCCTGTCCACTTTCTCCCCCGTCAGCCCAAGCCCACCCGCGGCCGAATGCGGATCCACTCCCTGGAGAACGTGGACAAGGCCCTGCAGTTCCTGAAGGAGCAGCGCGTCCACCTGGAGAACGTGGGCTCCCACGACATCGTGGACGGAAACCACCGCCTGACGCTCGGACTCATCTGGACCATCATCCTGCGCTTCCAGGTGGGGCCCAGGGGGGTGAAGTGGGGAGCTGGGGGTCAGTGTGGCTTGGGCTTCCTGTCCAAAATATATAAGAACAAGAACAAGAACCCTGAACTGCCCTGTGCCTTTTGACTGAAGGGCGGTGTTACGGCTAAATCTGGGTGCAGGGCTACCCTGCCACCCAGCTCGTCGGACTAAGTAAGTCCGCGCGTCCCTGCGGAAGAAAATGAGCTCAGCCGGACAGGAGCAAACTGCAGAAGATCCAAGTTTATTGCGCAACAGGTTCAAGACCAGATTGAACAGCGAGAAAGGGGTGGCATGAACTTTTGAATCTCCCTCCATGTCCCAGAATACAGTGCAAAATACATCCCAGTTACATCATGAATACATTAAGGAAAGGTTGGGTTACACAGGTTACATCATGAATACATTAAGGAGAGGTTGGGTTAAACCAGATTAACATATGGAGGAGGGAGGGGGGAATATGCAGAGCTGGAGATATGCGCAGATAAGCGCTTCCTGAGTGCCTTGATGGGAAGACAATGGTCCATGTATGCATAGTCTGTCACCTGGCATTGCCCAGAGGAAAGGTTTGGCAGGGTGATTTTGACAGGATTAGGGTCTTGACACCTTACTTGAGGCATTATGGAGGACAGGGGAGGGGTGATGGAGTCCTAGAGAAATTGAGCAAATATATTGTAGTGAAGAAGACATGCCCCCCTTCCGTAACAGTCCCCCATTCGGAGATAGATTTGCATTAAAGTTCTGTAAGAACTTGCAAATCTTTTCTCCGCACCCTAAAGAACATCTGTTGTATTTTGTTCCTAAATTACTTGTGGCATTTTAGCTCTTGGGAAAAACATTTTCAATAGTGGTGTATGCTTTACATTTAGTAGGAAGGTCCACTACTGACTGAAAAAAAATGCAGTTTGCTTTTTAGCCCCACCGTTTTTGTGTTTTCAGGTGCCAAGCTAGCTCTTCTGTGGTCTCACACCGGCATAGTGGTACAGTAACACATCCTGTTGAATCCCCTCAGGGCTTTCATTTAACCATGTCGCCTGGCACTCACCATAGCTGGCACAGGCTTGGGCATATCATGAGGGATATGTCTGCGCCTTGGCCTTTCTATGGTGGTTTTATTTTATTTTTTCAGGCTCTGGTCTTGCACTCATGGAAAGTTGCTCACTTGCTCTTAAAGGACCAAAAGCTAGTTGCAGCCTGGATACACGTGCCCAATTCCAGCAGAGTCCAATTTGAATTTATCTTCCCCCATGGTTCTCAACTTTTCAAAACCAATATGTTAAAACCAAAGCCATTTTTTAAGGGGGCATTTGTCCAAATGAGTCAATTTAACTCTATAAGGGATCATTCCTGCTAAACCAAAGCATATCCACCTTCATGTATCTTAGAAGCTTCTCCTTGGTAAAGCAAGTTTTAGCACATTTTTTAAATGGGTAGGGAAGGTTGGCATAGTGCCAGGTGGGACAATCTAAACATTGGGCTACACAATAGCCTGGTCTATTAGAACGCATAAAATGTATGAGAATCCTCCACTGGGGTGTAAGGAATAAGACATTAAACATAAAAACAATTACACACAAAAATAGCCCCCCCCTTTGTGGAAATAACACACTGTCAGCCACATTTCAACATTCCTACGTAATAATACATAATACAAAACAAACTAATTAAGTATCAGTTGCATATCTTGAGATAATTGTGATATTTTTACACATGTATCTTCTCAATGCACAGTCTTGAGGTTCAAAAGTGAAAATGTCCTTGTAATTCAACTCCTCCCCCCTTTGTCAGCCCCACTCCCCGTCAGTCGATATCCTTTGAAAGAGATAGCTGTGGGCACTTTGAAAACTCAGGTCTTGTGATGGTGAAGAACTGAGTTGAGGGGTTGTTGCTGCTTTTTCATCATCGCACATCTCTAGAAGTGATATCCTGTGAGGGGGGCAGGGTTTTTGGGGGACTTAAAGACAGAGTTAGGAAAAGGAAGGAGCAAAAGCCCCCTCCCCAAGAAAATCTCCTTGAGTTATTAGCTGCAAATAATAAAATCTTAGCATGTTAAGCATTTTACTCATTTTAATATTATTATCACATTTCCATATAATTACTGTTATTATCTGCTAAGTTTGTTTGCTTTCCTTCATTTAGTTTTTCCATATTATTAAATAAAAAAATCACTCCATGTGTAGAGAAAGAGAACTGTAAGAAAAATACAAGAAAGTTTAAAAAATAAATAAAAGAAAGCAAGAAATTAGATTACCATTCAGATGAAAACGAACTTGACACAAGGACATCAGATTAGGAAAGAATTATTATTAAATAATACAAAGATATTATCAAAACCACAGATTACTACTGGACTAAAAAATGGGAAAACAATGGGAAAGGCTTCAAATTTAGCATGTGCTATCTTGATAAGTAGAACTTGATGAAAATGACTTTCAACATGTGATGGACATGTCCCAAGAGTAACACACACACACACACACACACACACACACACACAATGGCCTATGATGAACCAAAAAATAAATAAATGCTAAGACACACAATTTTAAGAAATTTGAAAGTAACAATGAAAATAAAAGAGTGTTTCTTGAACTAGCCAAAATGACAGAATTAATAAGAAATGCTCAGACAAAGGTAAACAAATACTATCCCACAAACAATGTTTGGTTGTGCTTCGATTAACTTCATAGACATCATGGAAAAACGGATAAAATAAATGAAAACAGATTATTTGTAACTCAAAAAGTGTCAAAGCCACAAAGAGATGGAAGTCACTAATATAACAAGGATTCAGACTTGTTTCACAGAACAGAAAGAAAGTTGCTGTGGGAGGAAAAAAGGGACAAACACTTTGTTATCGGGGTTCACATATCCTGTTAAAAGGGAAAATTATTTCATGTGAGAAGCTTGTCAGGAAATGCTGTTCCTAAAATGCACACAAACAAAGTCTGTGATTTAAATCCCATTGAGGGGGGGAATGCTTTGATATTTACCTGTGGAAAGAATTTGGCATGTTAAGATTTGGAACCTGGAAAGCTCTTGACTTTTGATGGGCTAGTGGTTTTTTTTTTTTACCCTTTTGTCTTACATAGCCCCTGGAGCAAAGACACATTAAGGGTGATTTCCCTCAATGGTTCTAAGTTTTTACATAAGGAAATTTGGATAAGTTTTCTCCCTGCAGTACACACCCTCCAAACCTCCTCTCTCCCCCTACAGTTCCCCCCTCCTTCCTCTCTCTCTCTCTCTCTCTCTCTCTCTCTCTTTTGACTGATCTAGCCTCTGTGCATGTGCAGAGTTCATGTCTCAGCAAACCTTTTATACTATTGAAATGTTGCATCTTTTGGCTAAATTACCATTTGAATAAAGGAAATGAAGGGTAAGGAGTAGATTTAAAAAATAGGGTTAGATTTTAAAGCAAAAAAGAGAAACTCAGCAATTCAAGTATTCACCAAAGCTAGCAATTTCAGCCCAAGCAAAGGGACTGCTTCCTTTATGTACAGGGAAGGGCTAATATCCCTCTGGCCATTCGCGGAACACTGCCACGCCCTTATATATGGGGGAAATGGCCAGAGAGTCAGAATTCATAGGATTTATTATTTTTTTTAACATTCTCAATCATTTCAACCTTACCATTTGCAGACAAAAAAATCCTGCCCTTTATTTACAGGATTGGTCAAGGCTGATATGTGCTTAACTTTGAATTGACTTTGAAGTCTGATTTTTATTTTTTATTTTTAAATAGTAGACAAATGATAAACACTGTAATCACTCAAATGTTTGATATTACCCGTTGTGCTTCAAAACATCACGGCTTCATCTCTCACCTTTTAAAACTAAAGAGCAAAGCTAGGCTGAATTTCAACTCCATCACCACACCAGAATTTAAGAATTACCCTCAAATGCTTGCAGACACATGTTCCTTCCACACAGCCACAAATTGGGAGAGTTGAAAGAGACCCTGGGGTCATCTAGTCCAACCCTCCAAAATATAGGGTTCACAGCAAGATTTCACAGCAAGATTTGTACTATCAAAAGAGATACACATTTAAGTACAGATTTACAACTGGGAAAGGAAACATCTATGCTCCTATCATGTACTAAGGAAGAGGAAAATAAAAGTACCCAGCTTTATACAGAACCCTTTTAGCAGATCTTGAAGCTAGTTCGAGTGAGAGTTTACTTCCTTAGACTAAGAGTGCAGTCTTAAAGGAAGAACAGTTTTCCTAAGATAAGATAGGAAGAGAATCTGGGAGAGAATATTTTATAAGCATAGGGTTATTTCAGTTGATATAACCACTCAAATAATAAAACCAGTCCTGGATTTGATTCAAAAGGGGTACAAAAGTTAATAATGTTTCCGAACTTGCATAGGAATTAAGATTTTTAAATAACGATACATAGGAAAGTGAGATGCCGGGTACTTTTAGTAAAGAATGTGCCCCCCCTCCTGCGGAAGAAAATGAGCTCAGCCGGACAGGAGCAAACTGCAGAAGATCCAGGTTTATTGCGCAACAGGTTCAAGACCAGATTGAACAGCGAGAAAGGGGTGGCATGAACTTTTGAATCTCCCTCCATGTCCCAGAATACAGTGCAAAATACATCCCAGTTACATCATGAATACATTAAGGAAAGGTTGGGTTACACAGGTTACATCATGAATACATTAAGGAGAGGTTGGGTTAAACCAGATTAACATATGGAGGAGGGAGGGGGGAATATGCAGAGCTGGAGATATGCGCAGATAAGCGCTTCCTGAGTGCCTTGATGGGAAGACAATGGTCCATGTATGCATAGTCTGTCACCTGGCATTGCCCAGAGGAAAGGTTTGGCAGGGTGATTTTGACAGGATTAGGGTCTTGACACCTTACTTGAGGCATTATGGAGGACAGGGGAGGGGTGATGGAGTCCTAGAGAAATTGAGCAAATATATTGTAGTGAAGAAGACATGCCCCCCCCTTTCCGTAACAGGCGGTATACAGATTTGGTAGATAATATAACAATAGCACGTCCCCAGATTTATTTATTTTAGTTCATATAATTTATACGCCGCTGGTTGCCAAAATGAATGAATGAAAGAAAGAAACCTCAAATTCGAACTATGAGCCACAGAAGGGATGAGAGGTGATGGTCTGGTGGTTGTGATACGAGAGAGAGAGAAGACGGGGTTCCGCAAGGGGGAGAAATTAGAAACCCCCCAGGAAACGGGAGGTGAAGTTTTGGAGTGCATATGTGAAATTTTTGAAATTTAATAAAATAGGGAGGAAGGAAGCTGAACGTGGTTTGCAAAGAGATAAAACAAGAAACTCCAACGGCAACATGTTGCAAAAACGTAAAATGCTAAAATGTTGAAATTTGCAGATCCAGGTGATCAAAATAGAAACGGAGGACAACCGGGAGACTCGCTCCGCCAAGGACGCCTTGCTCCTCTGGTGCCAGATGAAGACGGCCGGGTGAGCAGCCAGGGAGAGGGCAGCGCCCCCGCTCTCTTTATTTTATTTTATTGAGTTTATTTACAACACACATACACACACACTGGTCAAACTAAACATGAAAATAATAGTACAAAATCAAAAGAAAAACAAATAGCAACAAAACACAAAAATACAAATAAGACATGATAACGCACGAAAACTTAGACAAAACAAATAATTAATAATACACACACACACACACCATATTTCAGTTCTTCTTTTCTTCTAATTGACTTCCTTCATCCTCAACATGGTTCTTTTTTCATTTTTGGTAAACTGTCTCCTTTTTAATTCATTATTACCCCTTTTTCTTTCTGTTCCATGAATTATTCTGCAGAAGTTAATTTAAACAAGTCCAATTATTAATTTGAGGGCACTGCTATTTAAGATATTCTCTGTATTTTACCCATTCTTTCTGGAATTTTTGCTTGGTTTGACCCTAATTGCCTCTGTCAATCTAGCCAATTCAATATAATCAAATAGTTTGTCTTGCCATTCTTTTTATTATTTTTTTGTCGGAATCATCACACCTACATCACAGAAAAGGCGGTCTAAAACAGAAATTTGAATATTGTTTTTCTCCTGTCCTTGTTTATCTCCTGTCTGGCAGGTTACTTGATTGGATTTCCTGGGGAGCCTGGCCATTCTTTTGTAGTGATAAATACTTAGTTCCTGGGCCAGGTCACAGGCTCACGCCCTATTCAAACACAGACATACCCTTAAGACAGGATTTGTCAAGGAAAGAGACAATGGGGAGGCTTTTCCAGTTTGACCTTGCAGAGAAAAGATTTGGTCAGTTTAGGAATCAAAATGGTTCCAGGTTGGCCTTCCTGTGCTGATCTATGTACATGCTTGGTTGATACACTTATGAACATTATCATATATCTAAGACCATAAAATTCCTATCACAGATAGTAAGTTAAATAACATGGAGAAAGTAAAGTCTAAGCACTTATTTAAGGAATTTAATTCCGGAACACGAGGGGAAGATCAGCGGTCTTGTCCAATTTAACCACAAATGGATGTACAAAGCAAGTATTAGTTAAAGAATGAATAATTGTTTATTGTTTATTTTGCTTATAATGTCTATTGTATGTTTCTGTTACAAAGTTTTCAACCAATAAAGCATTTAGAAACTGGGGTGGCGGGGGGTGGGGTGGCGAAAGGCCGTTTCCGGTCTCCCCACCTGGCCAGGTCTGCCAGGTGTCCTCCGCTTGCTTCTTGCCAGATGTGGGGCGGGAGGGGCAGAACGGCCTGCGCCCGCTGACTCTCCTCCCTGCGCAGGTACCCCGAGGTCAACATCCAGAACTTCACCACCAGCTGGCGGGACGGACTGGCCTTCAACGCGCTCATCCACAAGCACAGGTGCGAGGGGCTGCCGGGCGCTGCACCCCCTGCAGCAGAGGGACCCAAGGGGATTGTGGCCCCCCCCAGTGCCCGGACTGATCTCTTGCACCCATTCTCTTGGCCAGGCCAGATATCATAGATTTCAAGAAGCTGACCAAGTCCAATGCCGCCTACAACCTCCAGCAGGCTTTCAATACGGCCGAACAGCAGCTGGGACTGGCCAAACTCCTCGACCCGGAAGGTAAGAGATCCCGGAATGATCCCAGGAAGATTCAGATCCGTGGCAGAGGACATGCTCTGCGTCCCTGACCGCCCCTCCCCTTAAGAGGAAGGCTTTGCTCTGAGCCATTGGAGGGAGCACCAACTTTTGCCCACCTGGTGCCTGCTGGGGGGGGGCAGGTGGGAGTTTCAGTCCAAGAGAGGTGAGAGGCAATAGTGGAGGAAGCCTCTCTGGCACCAGGGGTGGCGCAACCGCCCACAGGGAGGGACGGGACGGGGAGCTCAGCGCCAATCTGCCCCCCTCCATTTTTGCTCGCCTGCCTCCTTCCCTCTTTTGGGGAGTGCGATCCAGCGCGGTGGCCCAGTTGGGGGTTGCGCTATGCCATGGCAGCCAAGCTGGGAGGGGGGCACAATCCGGCCTGGCTGGGATTTTGTCACCCCCCTCTCAGGGATGGCACCTGGGGCAGACTGCACCCACCGCACCCACCTGGCTCCGCCTCTGGTGGACGGGGGCGCAGGTTGTGGCGGACGATGGAGAGAGCCCTGGACAAATTCATTACTTGTTTAATTTCATATATTTTATACACTCCTTGAGTGTTGAAAACCCCTTGGAGCGGTTTATAAAAAGATAAACCGATAAAATTGCCACTAAAAAAGATTAACAACAATAATTCAATACTTTTGAAATGTTCAAATAACAGACAAAAAACAGATTAAGGCTTGCACCAACTTTCTAAGCATCTAGAGCGGCTTCAAAAATGTTTTCAGTAGGCGCCGAAAAGAATACAGTGATGTCAAGAGGCAGGGAGTTCCAAAGTGTCAGTGCTGCCACACTAAAAGACTGATTTCCTACAAATGCAGAAGAACCCAGGAGTCCGGGCTCCGGGACACAAGCTCTGCCAATAATCCATTGTTTCCTCTGTGGCCTTCCAGATCCTGTCGCCTCTCCTGTGCTTTGCAGCCTAAGCCCATTTTGAGCTGCTTACTGTAATCAGATCTCCCTGATCTAATTTGTTTTAATCTGAAATCATTCCAATTGGGCCTCTCTTTAACGTTGCGCGTGGCTGCATTTAATTCCTGCCCCTCGCAGCCGCTTTGCTCACAAGCCTTCCTTTCCAGAGGCCTCCCCGGCAGAGATTTCCCTTTCTGCTTGCTCTGCAAAATGCTGAATCCAGTTATTCACCATGAACTCAATGCATTATTCACCATGAACTCAATTGGTCCCCTTCCTGGTGGCTCTCGGGTGCATCTCTCCACATCTCCATTCGCAGCCACCTCTTCAGCCCATCCTTCCCCATTTGGCAGGGGAAAATGTCCTCTCCCACCTTAGCTGATCCCCATTTTGGGGGGGGGGTGTTGCTCAGTTCTCCAGCGTGACCTGTCCTTCCTTTCCTTGGTTCCCACTTCAAATCATAGAACTGTCAAGTTGGAAGGTCCCCCAAAACATCATCTAGCCCACCCCCAGCCCTGCCACTGCGGGGATTACCTCCCGGAAAGCTGGCTTAGATGGAGAGGAGGAGGTGAAGGCGGAAGATGTTTGGTGGGAGCGATGCCTTTGTGCTGGCCATGTGAGGAACCAGGGATCCCGCTTCCTATCTGACAGCAGACACCCCCCCCCCATTTTCTCAGGTTTCTCACCCAATGCACCCCACCCTGTCCTTCATTTTGTGATTTCCCTGGAAGGTTGCCCCCCAACACAGCCCCTGGCTTCCCTGCATCCTCCATCCCAGCTTCCCCATTCGTGGTGCAGCAGAATTCCTGCTTCTTTCTTTCCATTCATCACCATATTTTATTTACCGCCCCCCACTCCCCAAAAGAACTCCCTGTGCGCTAATCCTCACCAGAGACTCGATCCCAAATAGCCTGGGATCTGTTGGCCACTGATCAGCTGCTTTGAAAATAATATTTTCTCCTGCTAGCCTCACCAACCCAAACTATGTCCCTAAAGAAAATTAAATTTTAAAAAAATCTAGCCCACCCCGAGCAGGACAGGAATCTCAGCTAAAGAATCCCTAGCCCCCACAACCTCTGCTTAGAAAGAACCATCAAACATCTCTTACTGTCAAGTTTTTCCATATGTTTAGTCAGAATCTCCTTTCTTGTAACTTGAAGCCATAGGTTCGAGTCCTATCCAGCAGCAGAGCTCCCTCTTCCATGTGACAGCCCTTGAGATAGCTGAAGATGGCTCTCCTATCTCCTCTCAGTCTCCTCTTCTCCAGGAGAAAATGCCCAACTCTTTCTACCGTTCCTCATCAGGCTTGGTTCCCAGACCCTTCACCATCATCTTGGTTGCCCTCCTCTGCACACCTTCCGGCTTGTCAATACCCGTCTTAAACTGGGGTGTCCAGAACTGGGCAGGGACCTCCACTTGCTCCTCTTCCTGCCCTCTCTCCTTCCCTTGGCAGATGTCAACATGGAGCACCCAGACGAAAAGTCCATCATCACCTACGTTGTCTCCTTCTACCACTACTTCTCCAAGATGAAGGCCCTGGCTGTGGAGGGGAAGCGGATTGGGAAGGTGAGCGGGGGAGGAAGGAAGGTGGGTCGGGTGCCACCTTTTTTTTATATATAAAATTTTTTATTGGTTTTTCACAGTTTTTATAAACACAAACAATACACAACACAGACACACAAGCACACAAACAAACATGTATAGTTTCATATCCTTATTTCTTAAACCTTACTTCATCGACTTCCCCATACCTCCCCTTTCTACATCCCAATTTCCAAATTTGTTTCAGCAAATCCTAAACCTTGGTTTTTTCAAATTTTCCCCTTATTCTTTTCTTTTACTTAATCTTTTACAGCTGCAATCCCTTTTTTCTCTAAAACCTCAACATTTTAACATTCATTAATTTTACAATATTTCTTAAGATAAGTTTTAAATTTCTTCCAATCTTCATCCGCCGTCTCTTTCCCCTAGTCACGGATTCTGCCGGTCATTTCAGCCAGTCCCATATTGTCTATCACCTTCATCTGCCATTCTTCCAGAGTGGGTAGATCTTGTGTCTTCCAATACTTTGCGATGAGTATTCTTGCTGCTGTTGTGGCATACATGAAAAAAGTTCTGTCTTTCTTTAGCACCGATTGGCCGACAATGCCCAAGAGAAAGGCCTCTGGTTTCTTAGGGAAAGTACATTTAAGTACCTTTTTCATTTCATTATATATCATTTCCCAGAAAGCCTTAATCTTCGGGCGCCACCTTGCCCCAATGGCAGGCAGGGCTAAGGGCTGGATCTGTGGGCCATTTTTAAACTCCCCACGTCTGAAACATTCACACTGGACCTGGAGGAGATGGTTAAACAAGGGGGGGAGCACACAGCTTCCAAAGAAAGGCAGGGGGGTTATTTTCATTTTCTTTTTGTATATAGTTTCATTCATTTTCAAAAATAACTGGTACACCAAGATAGAAAACAACTGTTGTTGAAGAAGCACAGGTATTGGTCACGGTCATTTCATGGGAAGTAAAATCATAGCAGTAAGACAGATAACCGTTTATCTCTAACACACACAAAGGGCGAAATCACCTTTTATTAGAAATTCAAAAGCAGTGACAGTCTATTTTCCATGGAAGACAGAGAGACCAGATGGGACTGAGATATCATATGAAAACAGGATGGGAGTCAAATTAGGTTGACCCCATGCCAAATACCCCTAGGACCTGGGAATCCACAAGCACATCAGAAGATCCTGGCTGCTGGATTGGGCCAGGGGGAGCCCATTTAGTCCAGCATCCTGGTCTCACAGGGGCCAAATGTCCCTAAGGTCCTCGGAATCTAGATAGACTGCCTCTGGACCTGGGGGCTCCGTAAGAACATGGGAAGAGCCATGCTGCTGGATCAGGTCGTCTAGTCCAGCATCCAGTTCTCACTCTGGCAACCAGATGCCTGTGGGAAACTAGCAAGCAGGATTTGAACACGGAGCTCTCTCCCCTCCTGTGGCGTCCAGCAAATGGGATTCAGAAGCACTGCTGCCTCTGACCCTGCAAGCAGGAGCGTACCCAGTGTGGCTACTCTTCTCCAGTAGTAGTCAGTAGTGTCCTCCTCTTTTAAAGACCCCTGAGTTGGGGCCATCGCTGCCTCCTGTGGGAGCCCCAGGCGAGGGGAGTCTGCTTGCGCTCTGCACCCGACCTCCCCCCCCCGTGTGGGAATGTTCAGGGTGGCAGGAGAGGATATATTGTTTATTAATATCCTTCCTATCTTGTGCTAGCAAGTTTCTTTACTTAGCAGAGTTTACATTCCCCTTTTTACATGCACAGCAGGTGGCTGGTTGCAGGCTCGTGTGAGCCTCTCACTATTATACAATTCAGCCTGTCTCAGATTGAATTGCACGTTCCTGGTAAGTTCCCTTGAATCCCTCTTAAAAGAATAAAGACGCCACAATCTTATTCAAAGTCAATAAGAGAAGTTTACTCACATCAGTTCACAGTTGGATTCCTTAAGGCAGACTTAGTTACAACTATGTACATGTGCATCTACGCCATATGGGGGAATAATCCCAGTGCTTCTGCTAGCTGAGAGCTAGCAGAGCAGTCCTAGCTAGAAGCTGGTCAAACGTAGAAGGAAGTCAAAAAGAAGGAAGTGCTGCGTGACTCGTCCTTTTGTTACCTGGACAGGTGAGGTCACGTGCACCTCTAGTCACATGCAAAGGAAGGATGCTCCAGCCAGGGTAGGCAAACTACCCAGACCATGGGTAGGCAAACTAAGACCCAGCTGCCAGATCCGGCCCAATCGCCTTCTCAATCCGGCCCGTGGACGGTCCAGGAATCAGTGTCTTTTTACATGAGTAGAATGTGTGCATTTCTTTAAAACGCATCTCTGGGTTATTTTTGGGGCATAGGAATTCGTTCTCCCCCCCCCAAAAAAATATAGTCCGCCCCCCCAAGGTCTGAGGGACAGTGGACCGGCCCCCTGCTGAAAACGTTTGCTGACCCTGGGCTGGGCCACCATCCCCCTGCATGTCCATTCCAGGAAAACAAGGGATGTTGTTCGGTGTTTGATGCTCCCAGTGGATCACATCCCACAGCCTGGTCCTTTTCTGCAGGTGCTGGACCAGGTGCTGGAGATTGAGAAGATCATTGAGCGCTACGAGTCTCTGGCCAGTGAGCTCCTGGAGTGGATCGAGCTCACCATCGCCATCATCAGCAACCAGAAGTTTGCCAACTCCCTGGTGGGCGTCCAGCAGCAGCTGCAGGCCTTCACCGCCTTCTGCACCCTGGAGAAGCCAGTCAAGTGAGTGGGGGGCATGGGGGGGGGAGCAGAGGGCAAGGAGGCTCCTGCGGCCGGAGGGGGGTCTTCACTTGGGCAAAGGGGGCCGGAGGGCAGGGACTGGCGTGGGGGACAGCGCTTGCCAACTCAAGCCAGAGGTTTTTTCTGGCCACCACTCCCTTGATTCCGTAAAATAAATAAAACCTTCTGGGGGGAAAAGTATTTCTGAGGTTTGGGGATGCATAGCCCTAAACATTTTGTGAATTTAATGGGAGAAGAAATTCACTGTATTTGGAAGAACTATGCGTGGGGGGAAATTACCGATGGAACTTGCATGCCCAGGCAACCCTGCCCAAACAAGAGTGTTTTCTGTGGGCCCTGGAAGCGTAGCTCAGGCAGTCCTCAAGTCAATGGGCCGGGAGTTCAAAGGGGGGAAAGAAAAAAAGACAATACCCAAATATCAGCCGCTCCCTTAAAATTCTGCAGGCACTCACACCCTTGAATGGTCAATGCAGAAGAAAATCCCCCGGGTACTAGGGAGGACCCGCAAAAGGGTTTAACACCTGTTCATAGCACCATAAATGCAAATAAAAAAGCAATACTACACTGTAAAATATGTGGAAAGCGATGAAGGATATTAGAATTAATTGCACAACAGTCTCAAGCTCGCAGATCGGCAATAAAACATTGTTTTGTTCTGTTTTACCGTATGTCTGTTTCTGCAGCGATATCGTAAAAGCTGATTTTTGTAAGGTTGCTGAATTTAAGCCACACTTTAACTTTTCACAGTCGGGATTTGGGGGGAAATTGCGGCTTATATTCTGGCCAATATGGTAGGCAGGTCAGGTGGTCCTTCTTGTAAACTGGTCTGGAGCTGTTGAGGCTTTTATATACTAAAAGGAACACCTCATTTGCAAAATACTGCGCAGTGACTTGGTTTTGTGCCTCTGGGAAGCATAAAATAATAATAATAACAACAATATTCATTCATTCATTCATTCCCCGCCCATCTGGCTGGGTTTCCCCAACCACTGTGTGCTGCTTCCAGGAAAATATTAAAATACAATAATTCATCAGATATTAAAATCTTCCCTAAACAGGGCTGCCTTCAGATGTCTTCTAAAAGTCAGATCGCATCCTTAGTGAGGCAGGACAGAGCAGGTGCCCTCTAGAGCCTCTTTTGGCCTTCAGCCCCCCACTCCTCGTCTCCCTTTCTTGCATTTCTGTTCCACCTTTGTTCTCTCCCCCCCTCTTCATCCCCACAACAACAGCCCTGCGAGGCAGGCCAGGCGGAGAGGCAGCGGCTGGCTCCCAGTGAACTTTGGGGTTGAGGGGGGATTTGAACCCTGATCTCTCGAGGGTCCTGGGAGGCTGATGCCCTGGGAGCCGTGTCCCTGTCGAGGGGCAGCTGACGTGGTCCCTGCTCCCTTGCGGGGGGGGGGATGTGGTCCCTGCTCTCTGGGGCTGGAGGCTGATCCCTCTGTCCTTGGCCTGCAGGTTTCAGGAGAAGGGCAACTTGGAGGTCCTCCTCTTCTCCATCCAGAGCAAGCTCCGGGCCAATAACCGGAAGCTCTACATCCCCAAGGAAGGCAAGAGCATCTCCGACATCAACAAGGTGGGTCCCAAGAGGGTCTGCGAGGGGAAGTAAAGCAAAGAGTCCCATTTGTCAGCGCCTAAATGATATCGAGTGCCAGAACAGCTTGGCCAAAATCAGGAAATTCTGCCCATGGTGTGGCTATTTTCCACCTTCCCATTTCGACTCTCTGGTACCCTATCTGCATAATCAAGCAATCCTAAAATATAGACGTGCTTTTACTCTCGCAAGATTGAATGTCTTGCCCTTGGCTGGACTTGGGGGATGATTCCAACAGATTCCACACGAAAAACACTTATGTCCCTGTCCAAATCGGTGGCACATGCCCTTCTGGCTTGCACTCTTTATAAAGACTTGAGAAATGAGGCCATCACCCCTCTTTTATTGTCCACTCTGGGTCGCCCAGCCACTGCCCCAGGGTCCTTTCTCTTGGCAGGTCAAGATGAGCAGGTGACAGCAAAGGTGGCAAGGTTTTTAGCTGGGGCAATCAGAATAAGATCCACTATTTGACTATTGATTCAAAACCCTAAAATGTATTTGATACAATTTTTATTCTTTGTATATCGTATTGTTTTATTGCTGATACAAATAAAGATTCACTCATTCTGCGGTGGGCAGGGCGGCCTGGGGGAGTGTCGAACCTGGAGGGGGGGACCTAGGGGGTCTCAGAGCTTGCAGACCATGTGCAGAGGAAGGAGACCAAGATGGTCAAGGACCTGGAAATGGTTGAGAGAGTTGGGGAGGCTGAGCTGGGGGGAGAGCCATCTTCCAATCTCTCTGTCCCACGGAAGGCGGAGCAAGCTGGTTTTCTCCTGCTCTGGAGGGCAGGATTCGAAGCCATGGCTGCAAGTTACATGAAAGTCGATTCTGACTCAACGTCTTGGGGGCTGGAGTTGAGATTCCCGCTTTGCAGGTGGTTGGACCACGTGATCCTGGGGATCCCTTCCAAGTCGACCATTCTATGACGCTCTGTCGAGAGTCCCAGCTTCTATAAACCTTTCTGAGGGGAACGGACTCTGTGGGAAGCTGGCGGGATCTCCTTGGCCGGAGGCTTTAAGCCGAGGTCGGAGTGCCCTCCTCCGTCTGGGATGCTTGGCCGTTTGGTCCTGCATTGCAGGGGGGCTGGAGTGGATGACTTTTGGGGGACCCCTCCCGCTCTGTGACTCTGTGCCCTTCCTCCTCTCGGCAGGCCTGGACCCGGCTGGAGAAGGCAGAGCACGAGCGGGAGGTGGCGCTGCGCAATGAGCTGATTCGCCAGGAGAAGCTGGAGCTGCTGGCCCAGCGCTTTGACCACAAGGCCGTCATGCGGGAGACCTGGCTGAATGAGAACCAGCGCCTGGTCTCCCAGGTAAGGCGGGCAGAGAGATGGGGGACTCGGGTCAGGGGAGGGGGAGGAAGGATCGCCGATGATAGAGGGATCCGCTCCTGTGTTGCGTTGTAAGAAAGAGGAAGGGCTCTGCTTCCTCTATACCCTTGGTCCCTTGGTTCTCAAACTTAGTCCGTTCTGGAAATCCGTTCCAAAACCAAAGCGTTCCAAAACCAAGGCGCACTTTCCCATAGAAAGTCATGCAAAACGGATTAATCCATTCCAGACTTTTAAAAACATCTAAAACATGAATTTTACTCTCTAATGAGACCATTGATCCATAAAATGAAAGCAAGAATCAATATACTGTACTATAAAATAAAGAAGACAGTATTGTAGATGATAAAAATTAAAATTATTATTTTTCCTTCCCTGCACTGATGATAGTCATTGTTTGGATGGGGGGCTTTTAGCTGAACTGGGTTCCACACAGTCACGAAAACAAATGAACCGAAAAAGCCACAAAAACAAAAAAATGCAAAATAAATAGCAAACACAAAAGCGCCAAACTTAATCCATTGCAGAAGTCCGCCTGACTTCCGAAATGTTCAAAAATCAAGGCGCAGCTTCTGATTGGTGCAGCCACCCCTGAAACAATACCCGACAGCCGCATCGGACATTTGGCTTCTGAAAAACATTCAAAAACCAGAACACTTACTTCCGGGTTTTGGTGTTTGGGAATCAAGGCATTTGGGAACCAAGGTACCACTGTATTCCAAACTGAGAAAGTGGGGGAGGGCTTGTGGTTTCCTGGTGCGTGAAAAACACTCTGCCCATGGGCAGATGCCTGACTGTTCTCCCTCACTACCTGGTCCCTCCCTCCCTCTCGCCAGGACAACTTTGGCTACGACCTCCCTGCGGTGGAGGCCGCCATGAAGAAGCACGAGGCCATTGAGGCGGACATCTCCTCCTACCAGGAGCGCATCCAGGTGGTGGTGGAGCTGGCCCAGGAGATGGAGTCGGAGGGCTACTACGACAGCAAGCGCATCAGCGCCCAGAAGGAGAACATCCTGCGCCAGTGGGGCCTCCTGACGGAGCTGGTCAGCGGCCGCCGAGCCCGGCTGGAGCAGAACGTGGCCCTGCAGAAGGTCTTCCAGGAGATGGTCTACATGATCGACTGGATGGACGACATGCAGGTGCCGGGGGGGGGGCACATGGAGTGACAGGCCCCCTTTGGCCTGGTCTGGCAGGCTCTTCTCAGGTTCTTCCCCTTGCTCCATCTTCAACAGAGGTTGGGTGGCCCCCCCCCCGCCAGAAATTCTTCAGCAGGGGGTTGGGCTGGATGACCCTCGGGGGTCCTTTTCAACTCTGCAATTATTTTTTAAAAAATATATCTTTCTTACAAAGGTAAGAAAAAATTAAAAACAAACAATAACAAATACAACAACAAGAAAGAAAGAAGAAAGAAAGAAAGAAAGAAGAAGAAAGAAAGAAAGAAGTATCAAATCCATAAAATGGGATTCTCCGAACCCCATGACTCCCCTCCGCCCCTGGTTCCCTGAGTTTTCACCTGCATATCATTTCTACTCCAAATTATTTTTTTAATCTCAGATTGGCTGTACTATTTCTAAAATTATGTGTTTTTAAAATCCTGCCAATATATTAACCTGTTTACAAGACTTTTGCAAATACATGATAAACATTTCCCTTTCTTTTTTAAATTTCTTGTCGTCTTGATTTCTGAGCTTTCCAGTTAGTTTTGCCACTTCAGCCTAGTCCGTTAACTTGGTTGGCCAGTCTTCTTTGGCCGGGACTGCTTCCTCTTTCCATCTTTGGGCTAACAGTCTCCGGGTGGCTGTTGTAGCATCCAGAAACAATTTCTTCTGATCTTTTGGAATCTCCGCTCCTACAATACCTAATAAAAAGGTTTCAGGTTATTCTACAATACCTAATAAAAAGGTTTCAGGTTATAACAAAGGTTATTCTAAATATTTTTTTCGTTTCATTATAAATCATCCAACAATTTTTTTAAGCCACCTTGCATTTCCACCACATATGATAGAAAGTACCCTCTGTTTCTTTACATTTCCAACACTTATTAGTGTCACCCATGGAAGGGGGGGAGCAGGAAAAAACTTAAACATGTACCAGAGTTCAGCAGAGTTCCCAAAAAGGAGACCAGAGGCAATTGAATCCAGCAGAGTTTACTGAGTTTACTGATACGGAAGGCAAATGAGCATAATAGTCACAAATCCAATACAATCAGGATTGGCCCTGTCCATAAGAAATCCAGTTGCAGCACTTATAATAATATTTAACCTTAACACTAAGCATACAGAAGACCAGAACAAAGTGAGAGTGAGAGGGAGACCCAGGCTCCTCCTGGCCTGACTATATAGTCACCACGACCTAGACAGAAGAGATAATAGGACCAGTTTAAACCAGCTGTACTCCGCTTCCCAGTAGAAATGACCAAAAACATCAGAAACCTTCTTCCTGTTTCTCACACATAGAAATAAACCTTGTAGAACTGTCCTGATTCTGAATAGCAAAGATCTCTACGCATCAGATTAATACTTTCTGTACTAAGAAGTGAAAACTGCCCATTGGATCTTGTAATTTAACCAAGGTTAGATACCACCAGCCCAAACGTTTAATCAATTCTACAATTCTGTGATTTGTTTGTAACCGCAGCTTTAGGCGCAAGCGAGAAACAGGTTCTGCTGCTTCTCCCTGATCTCCTGACTTTACAACAGGCCCCTGGGTCCTTCCTTGAGAAGACCCCTTGCCCCCCCCCAGCATCCTCTCCCAGCTTGACCAAATGCTCAAGCCCCCCAGCCACATCCCAGACACAACCCCACAGTTTTGACAGCCTTCTTGATCCAGCACCGGACGCCCCCCAAGCCCACCCCATGATCCTTTCAGATCTTAGAATCATAGAAGAGTGGCCTGGGAAGGGGACACCCAAGGATCCTCTAGTCTAGCCCCTGCAATACAGGAATCACAGCTCAGGAAGAAAGAAGACGGGCAAGTTGAAGTAATGGAATCTGCTGAAATGGCAAAATTGACTATGAAACTGAGAGGAAGAGATGACAACGAATTTAAGGAAGAATGGAAGATGTTTATTGCATATATTCAGAAGCACTGTACATAGGTTAATACATTAGCAGAGTTTTAAGAATACTTGTAATTTTGTTATGAATGGATAATAGGTGATTTAAATAGGTTAAAAATTTAACAATGAACATTCAGTATCTTGATAAATAATGGAACCAAGGAAGGGATTAGGGGGAAGTCAGTTTGTTCTGTTTTTGCAATGTTGTTGGTTTTTATTTTTGTTATTTTTGGAAAATCAATAAAATATCGTTTTTTTTAAAAAAAGGAATCTCTGACAGATGGCCACCCAACCTCTCTGGAAAAGCCTCCCAGGACGGAGAGCCCATCGCCTCCTGAAGGAGACTGGTCCCCCGACTGGGTCATGCGGGGGCCCTGTAGGCTGCCAGGCTGCCCGCCTGAGTGAGCCAAGGGATGCTCTTGCCCTCCGCAGGGCAGCCTGGGCACATGCCAGGACCCTTCTCTCTCATGCATCCTGTTCTTTGGGGACCTGGCCTGGCCTGTGCTTGCTGCATTTCGGGGGGGTTGGACTTGACAAGCCCTGGGAGCCTCTTCCAAGCCTGTGACTCTAAGCCCTGCTGCTGCCCTTTGCCCTGCGGCAGGAGAGGCTGGACCAAACATCCCCCTGCATGGCCACTCTAGGAAAACGAGGAATGTTGTACTTGACTGCTACTTGTGCATCACACCCCCCCCCCTTCCCGGCAGGCCCAGCTGTCGTCCAAGGAGTGTGGGAAGCACCTGCGGGAGGTGGAGGACTTGCTGCAGAAGCATGCACTGCTGGAGGCCGACGTCTCCGCCCAGAGCGAGCGCGTGCAGGCGCTCAACGTGGCCGCCCTCAAGTTCTCGGAGCTGACAGGTAAGCCGACTGGGCAGGGACTCCCTCCTGCTGCTGCTGTCAGGGGCTGGAGCGAAGGGGAATGGGGGAGACCCCCTTCCCGAGAAGAGGAGGACAGGAGAGATTGACAACACTGGTTTGCAGAAGGTCATAGTTCAGAGGCTGCAGAGGGGAGAACCTGGAAAATATTGGGAGAGCAGCAGGAGGAAGAAGCAGCACCAGGGGAGAGACAGCTGACAGACTCTGTTTCTTCAGAAAGCATTCCTGACCCTCCTTCTCCCAGGACCCGCCATCAGTGCCAGATTCACATATAAGCTGAACAAGCTCTAGCTTAGGGCTCCACTCTCTTGGGGGTCCCCAAAAAATGAAAGGAAAAAAAACCTGGATGTACATTTCCAAAATATAAGATAAAAAACAAATCAAAACTACATCCAGCAATAGGGACGCGGGTGGCACTGTGGGTTAAACCATAGAGCCTAGGACTTGCCAATCAGAAGGTCGGCGGTTCAAATCCCCACGACAGGGTGGGCTCCCGTTGCTCAGTCCCTGCTCCTGCCCACCTAGCAGTTCGAAAGCACGTCAAGTGCAAGTAGATAAATAGATACCACTCTGGCGGGAAGGTAAACGGCGTTTTCATGCTCTTCTCTGGTTTGCCAGAAGCGGCTTAGTCCTGCTGGCCACATGACCCGGAAGCTCCCTCGGCCAGTAAAGCAAGATGAGCTCCGCAACCCCAGAGTCGCCCACAACTGGACCTAATGGTCTGGGGTCCCTTTACCTTTACATCCAGCAACAGTGTTTAGTGTTGTGTCGGCTCATATGGTGTAAGTCATGGGCCCCGCCTGCTAGCCTGCTCCCTAAAATATCCCTGGTTTGCTCCTTTCTATATATAGGGTGCCTACATTCTGCATTCACTGGTTGCATGGAAACATGTGCAAAGGGCTTGAGATACCGATGAGGTCCATCAATCACCATCTAGCATATATTCAACACAAAAACCAGCGACCATTTGTTCCTGACAAAGGACAGCTGGACATATCAAGGGCCCCATTGCCTTCAGGAGCTGAGGGCCGCATCAAACCTCAATCCGGCCCTGCCCAGTGTGCATTGAGAGTAGGAGAACAGAAAGTATTGGAGGTTCCCGTCCACACACTTTTGCTGCACAGACGCTGGTGGCTAGCTAAAGACTCTTTTAAACCGTTTAGCAGAGTTTATCTTCTTTCTCTGGCAGAAGTGGTGAACAAAGACAAAGCTGTTGTCTTAAAGATGACTCACAAACTCTGTGAAGTCTCGGTCAAGAGGTTTTATTCCCAGACCAGGTTCATGCATTACAGTAGCATAGATATTTTCAGTTGTTAATATAAACAGCAATTAACAGTACACTATCAAACAAAAGTCTCATCTCCCACACATTGTAAATGACAGGAACAGTCATTCAGCAGAATTTACAGGCAATACTCTTTGGACAGACATCTGCAAAAACGAAGCCCAGTGGAACACCCTCCTTTCATTTGTGAAGGAAATAAGTAGCTATCCTATCTTTGAAAGACATCTTAAGGCTGCCCTGTTCAGGGAAGTTTTTAATATTTAACACTGTATTGTTTTTAATACTTGATTGGGAGCCGCCCGGAGTGGCTGGGGAAACTCAGCCAGATGGGCGGGGTACAAGTAAGAAATTATTATTATTATTATTATTATTATTATTATTATTATTATTATTATTATTATTATTATTATCACTTCCAGCTGATGCTAATAAGCTCAGAGTGCCACTCCCAAATTTAAAGCAAAACTCTGGAAAACTGCTAGAAACTTTCTACTCGTTTCTGGCAGAATGATTCCCGCCTAACAGAAAGCTCAGAGGCAGAAAGGACAGGTTAGCCGACAAAGGAATGATCTAGAATAGGAGAGACGGGGGTGGGGGGGCTTCATCTGGAGCAACGCCATTATTTTAGGGAGGCTGCCTTCCTTTGTGTCTCTCTGTGAACGATGGAATAAATTACTTGGTAAGAACTCCTCTTGTTGATCCGCTTCCTGGCTGCCACCGGGGGACGGATTGGGTTCCCAGACGCCGGGCACCGGCCTGCTTTGGCCTAGTGGGGGCGGGAGTGGAGTCTGGGGAGTCCCTGACCCAAGACGGGCTCCCTGACCCCTGGGCCAGGAACACCCCAAGACCCACAGTAGCAGAGACGAGAGAGAGAGAGAGAGAGAGAGAGAGAGAGAGAGTCCTTCCTTCTTCCCCTCGTCTTCCTCCTGCTGCTTTGACTCTCTCTTTTTAAAAAAACACTTTTTGTTAAATGTTATCAGTCACAATCAACATTATTTCAAAAACAAAATACAGTACAATTCCTCCACCCCCCTCCACCCAACCCCCAAGACTTCCCTCAACTTCCTTTTCTGGTTCTTAAATATTTGCTTCCCCTGCTTGTTTCAATTTACCTTAATATTACAATCTTTAATTTAAATATTATTATATTCTTAACCTTTTTATAGCACACCTCTAACACTTTATTATTTTCCAGTTTTCACCTCTTAATTTCTATGTTATTAATTGTAAGTTGTTAGTCAAACCCTGCTAGTGAGTCCATTTCTTTATAGTTTTTCTGTAAGTATGACATAAATGGTTCCCAGTCTTTTTTAAGAGCTCTGTTCTCCTTGTCTCTAAGTTTTCTGGTTAACCTTGCCATATTCCATCAGTTTTTCCTGCCATTCTTCATTAGTTGGCGTCTTGTTGTCTTTCCATTTCTGGGCTAGTAAAATCCTAGCTGCTGTTGTTGCACACAATAAATAACTTCTTCTTTTCTTTCAGCAAGTCTTGAGCTGTAACGCCGAACAAAAATGTTTCTGGCTTTTTAACAAATGTGGTCTTCAACATTTTTTTCATTTCATTCTGATTCATTTCCCCAAAACTTTTGATGATTTTGCAGTTCCACCACATATGAAAAAGTGCCTTCTTTTGCTTTGCGCTTTCAACACTCACCCGCCCCTTCCTGCTTCCCCCTCCTTCCCCTGCAGGCTACCAGCCCTGCGACCCGCAGGTCATCTGCAACCGGGTCAGCCACGTCCAGAGCTGCCTGGAGCAGCTGCAGGAGCTGGCCTCCAAGCGGCGCCAGGAGCTGGAAGCGTCCCGCCAGCTGTGGTCCTTCTTCCAGGAGATGGAGGAGGCGGAGGCCTGGGTGCGCGAGAAGGAGCGCATCCTGTCCTCCCCTTGTGGCTACGGCAAGGACCTCAACAGCGTGGCCAAGCTGCTCAGCAAGCACAGCATCCTCCTGGGCGAGCTGGGCGGGCGCCGCTCCCTGCTGCAGACGGCCATGCGCCGGGGAGAGCAGGTGCTGCTCCGCAGGCAGGGCGCGCCGGGCGCCATCCAGGAGAAGACCCGCGAGGTGCGCCAGCACTGGAAGAAGCTGGAGGAGCTGGCGGCCGCCCACCTGCGGAAGCTGCAGGAGGCCCTCGCCTTCCACCAGTTCAGCGCCGACACAGAGGACCTGGTGGTGTGGCTGCAGGATGCCTACCGCCTGGTCTCCAGCGACGACTTTGGCCACGACGAGTACTCCACCCAGTCGCTGGTCAAGAAGCACAAGGGTGTGGCTGAGGAGATCGACCAGCACCGGGGGACCGTCCTGGCGCTGCGCACCCAGCTGGCCGCCCTGGCGCCCGAGTACCACGAGCTGGTGGACGTCCAGGTGCGCATCGTGGAGGTGGAGCAGCTGTATGGGGAGGTGGCCGAGGTGGCCGTCCTGCGGCGCCAGTGGCTCCAGGACGCCCTGGCCGTCTACCGCATGTTTGGCGAGGTCAACGCCTGTGAGGTCTGGATCGACGAGAAGGAGCAGTGGCTCAACCGCATGGAGGTGCCCCAGAAGCTGGAGGACGTGGAGGTGGTGCAGCACCGGTAAGGGCAGCGGAAGGGGTCGGATCCTGGCACCACAGCTGGTGGGGGGGAACGGGGTGGGAGGGCAGGTTGTGCAGAGAAAAGCAGGCTGGGGCTCAGGGGGCGGCACCTGCCTGGCAGCCAGAAAGACCCTGGTTCCATCCTCTGGCATCGCCCCGGCTGCTGCCCTTCGCCCTGTGGGAATGTTCAGGGAGGCAGGAGAGGATATATTGCTTATTAATATCCTTCCTAACTTGCGCTAGCAAGTTCCTTAACTTAGCAGAGTTTTACATTTCCCTTTTAAATGCATGGCGGGTAGCTGGTTGCAGGTTGTGTAAGCCTCTCACTATTAAGTTGTTGGCAAGTTCCCTTATTTCCCTCTTAAAAGAATAAACACACCACAATCTTGTGTAAAGTATATAAAAGTTGTTTACTCACATCATCAGTTCCCAGTTGGATCCCTGAAGGCAGACTTAGTTACAAAGGATATACATGTGGATCTATCCCATTTGGGGATAATCCCAGTGTCCTCTGGTGGCTGGAAGCCAACAGAGCATCTCTAGCTAAAAAGCTGCTCCAACGACAGAGGAAGTCAAAGAGAGAGAGAGTGCTGCATGACTTGTACTTTTGTTACCTGGACAGGTAAGGCCACACCCACCTCTAGTCACATGCAAAGGACGTATGTCCCAGCCAGGAGGAAACAGGAAGCTTTTGACTGGCTGGTCCAAACATCCCCTTGCATGTCCACTCTAGGAAAACAAGGAATGTTGTACTTTCTCCGATTGCATGGAGCCCTGACAGCCCCGTGGTTTTCTTTGGAGCTGAGGGCGATGAAACAATCGCTGAGACGGCTAGAGCGTCGGTGGCAGAAAACTCACTCCGAATCTGACCGGACACAGGTTAGAGCTCAACGTCGAGCCTACCAAGTGGCGATAGCGACGGCAAAGAAGACTTTCTTCACCGCCTCTATTTCATCTGCAGAAAATAGTAGCAGGAGACTCTTTCAGGTGGTCCGCAATTTAACGGAACCACCTTTAACACTGGGGCCTTGTAAAGACCCCAAGATCTCCTGCAACGATTTTGCAAAGTTTTTTGCAGATAAAATCACTCATATTCGGAAGGAGCTAGACACCACCGTGGGAGCAGGGCTGGGGCGGGAGAGTGCTGGAGCTCTGTCTGGTCAAGTTGCGTGGGATCAATTCCAATCCGTTACCCCCGAGGATGTGGACAGGCTGCTTGGACGCGTGAAACCAACCACCTGTCTCCTTGATCCTTGCCCATCCTGGCTAATAAAAGCAAGCCGGGAAGGGCTGGGCGATGGGCTCTGCGGGGTGGTGAATGCTTCCCTCTGTGAGGGAACATTCCCAGATCCGCTGAAAGAGGCGGTCATTAAACCGCTTCTTAAAAAACCATCTTTAGACCCGGCCAGTATGGCCAACTATCGCCCAGTCTCAAATCTTCCATTCTTGGGCAAGGTGATTGAGCGTGTGGTTGCTGAACAACTCCAGGCACGCCTGGAGGATGCGGACCATTTGGATCCCTTCCAGTCGGGATTCAGGCCTCATCATGGGACTGAAACTGCCTTGGTCAGGCTGGTTGATGATCTCCGGCGGACTAGGGACAAAGGTGAGAGTTGTTTCCTAGTTCTGATGGATCTCTCAGCGGCCTTTGATACAATCGACCATAACATCCTTCTGGACCGTCTAGAGGGGTTGGGAGCTGGGGGCACTGTCATACAGTGGTTCCGCTCCTTCCTCCTGGGCCGTGTTCAGAAAGTGGTGGTGGGGGATGAGTGTTCAGACCCTTGGGCCCTCACTTGTGGGGTGCCTCAGGGTTCTGTCCTCTCCCCCATGCTTTTTAATATCTATATGAAGCCGCTGGGAGAGATCATCAGGGGGTTTGGACTGGGTGTTCATCAGTATGCAGATGATACCCAGCTCTACCTCTCTTTCAAATCAGAGCCAGTGAAGGCGGTGAAGGTCCTGTGTGAGTGCCTGAAGGCGGTTGGAGGATGGATGGCGGCTAATGGGTTGAAGTTGAATCCTGACAAGACAGAAGTACTGTTTTTGGGGGACAGGGGGCGGGCTGGTGTGGAGGACTCCCTGGTCCTGAATGGGGTAACTGTGCCCCTGAAGGACCAGGTGCGTAGCCTGGGAGTCATTTTGGACTCACAGCTGTCCATGGAGGCGCAGGTCAATTCTGTATCCAGGGCAGCTGTCTACCAACTCCACCTGGTACGCAGGCTGAGACCCTACCTGCCTGCGGACTGTCTCACCAGAGTGGTGCATGCTCTAGTTATCTCCCGCTTGGACTACTGCAATGCGCTCTACGTGGGGCTACCTTTGAAGGTGACTCGGAAACTACAGCTAATCCAGAATGCAGCAGCTAGACTGGTGACTGGGGGCGGCCGCCGAGACCACATAACACCGGTCTTGAAAGACCTACATTGGCTCCCAGTACGTTTCCGAGCACAATTCAAAGTGCTGGTGTTGACCTTTAAAGCCCTAAATGGCCTCGGCCCAGTATACCTGAAGGAGCGTCTCCACCCCCATCGTTCTGCCCGGACGCTGAGGTCCAGCGCCGAGGGCCTTCTGGCGGTTCCCTCATTGCGAGAAGCAAAGCTACAGGGAACCAGGCAGAGGGCCTTTTCGGTAGTGGCGCCCGCCCTGTGGAATGCCCTCCCATCAGATGTCAAAACGATAAACAACTACCTGACATTCAGAAGACATCTTAAGGCAGCCCTGTTCAGGGAAGTTTTTAATGTATGATATTTTAGTGGGGTTTTTGGTTTCTATGGAAGCCGCCCAGAGTGGCTGGGGAAACCCAGCCAGATGGGCGGGGTACAAATAATAAATTATTATTATTATTATTATTATTATTGACTGCTATTTATGCATCACATCCCACAAGTGGATGGATATGGGGCAAGGCCCCTCACAGATAGACTGGTCCCGAGCGGTTATGGGCTTTGTATCTCAGTGGGATTCTGGAGAGAAGGAGAGCCAGTAAATGGCCCGATGGGATGGAGGAAGAGAGCTGGCCTCTGGGAAGGATGCCCGGCCACCGCCTGGGATAGAGTGGAAGGCCAGAGCTCCTGAGCTGGGGGCTGCCCGGCTGCCCTCCTTCTGCCCCCCTTTCTGCCCTGATGGGTCTCCCTCTGTCTTCCTCCGCAGGTTTGAAAGCCTTGACCAAGAGATGAACAGCCTGATGGGCCGCATCCTGGACGTCAACCAGATAGTGCAGCAGCTGGTGGACGGGGGCCACCCCAGCTCCTCCGAGGTCCGCTCCTGCCAGGACCACCTGAACAGCAGGTACAAAGCATCCCTTGCGCTGCAGGGCGAGGGCAGCTCACTGGAGCATGCACAGAGTGCTTTGCTCAGAGGAGGCTCAGCCAGCCACAGAGATCTGAGCGTAGGGCTTTCCTGACTGGGGGGGCGGGCAGTGGGCTTCCTGTAGCCCAGATGTGGGCTGGCAGTAAGCAGGGCACACTGGCCCCATTAAGTGAGGTGGACTGCCTTCCTTCACCCAGCTGGACCCCTGAGATGGCAGAGTCCCCTCCCGCTCCCCCCGCAAGCAGAGTGCAGAAGGGACGAGGGAGGCCTGTCCTCGGAGAGCCCCCCGCCTGCCTCTGCTCTCTTTAGAGGACTGTCCCCTGTCCCCTTTGCCACCTCCACCCTGGGGGGCCTCAAAAGCAGCCACCTCTCATTTGGCTCATTGCTGCTTCTCGTTTGGCTGCAGCCCTGAGGGGCTCGTTGTCCTACGAGGATAATTGGACGTCCATCCACCCCCCACCCCACCCCCTTCGCTGCAGCAAAATGTCACAGCGCCACTGTGCGCAAAAGGGCACATGGGACCCCTGAGGGAGCCATCTCTCTCTGCCACCCGCCTCTCCCCTCGCGAGGACCCTGCTGCGTGTGTTGCCTTTGCAAGCACCTCCCCAGGCCCCAATCCCCCCTTCCTCTCTCTTTCCCCTTTCTCCTGAGTGGGGCTTAAATCAAAGACCTGTGCACAAAGCTGCGCACAGGTCCCCCCAAGCCCCCAGCCCACAGAGGCATTGACTTTTGTGGACTGAAAAATGAGGGGGGAGAGAGAGAGACGGAATGCATTTTTGCCAGGCTTCCCTGCTCTGGTCACTTAGAGGCCATTTCAACTCGCCAGAGGCGACCAGGTGAGAGTCTGCTGCCCAGCTTTGCCTGCTGCCCCTGCGCTTGACCCCCTTCTTGATCAAGGGGTGGGAAGAATGGTTGGCGCTTTTGAGTTTGGAGAAAAGTCGAGCCCGAGAGACGTTTGCAAAATGATGCCCAGCCTGGAGAAAGCGGAGAGAGGAAGTTTTTCTCTTAACACTAGAACTCAGGGACCATCCCATGAATGAATGAATGAATGAATGAATGAATGAATGAATCTTTATTTGTGTCAGCCATTGGTCATAGCAATAGAACAGCAATACAATACACAAAGAATAGAAATAAAAAGTCAATACATTTTAGGGTTTTGAATCAGCAGTCAAATAGTGGCTCTTATTCTGATTGCCCCAGCTAAAAACCTTGCCACCTTTGTTGTCACCTGCTCATCTTGATCTGCCAAGAGAAAGGACACTGTGGCAGTGGTTGGGTGACCCAGAATGGACAATAAAAGAGGGGTGATAATCTCATTCCTCAAGTCTTTATAAAGAGGGCAGGCCAGAAGGGCATGCGCCACCGATTTGCAACTGCCATCTCCACAGGGACATAAGCGTTTCTCGTGTGGAATCTGTTGGAATCGTCCCCCAAGTCCAGCCAAGGGCAAGACATTCAATCTTGCGAGAGTAAAAGCATGTCTATATTTTAGGGTTGCTCAGTTATGCAGATAGGGTGCCAGAGAGTCGAAATGGGAAGGTGGAAAATAGCCACACCATGGGCAGAATTTCCTGATTGTGGCCAAGCTGTTCTGACGCTTGATATCATTTAGGCGCTTTTGCTTTACTAAAACTCTGAGTGAGTAGCTGTTGTGGAGATAAACCACAAGGGTGAAGTTTTTGATAGACAATTTTAGTCCAAGCGCTCTTGTGACCATCTTGCAGCACTAGGGATATCAGACCGGGGGGATTTGAGTTTAGGCGAAGCCAAGAGTTAAGTGTCCTACGCCAGATCCGTAATTCTACCGAGGGAAGAGTAGCCTCTAGGCGCAATGATGCGTTTGGGACACGGGGGGGGGGGACAGACAGAGAGAATTTGCCTGAAGAACTTTGATAGGACAGCTTCCCATGAAGGTGGATTTTGGAGGAATAGTTTATTCCAGGCTTCCTCAAACTCGGCCCTCCAGGTGTTTTGAGACTACAATTCCCAGCATCCCTGACCGCTGGTACTGCTAGCTAGGGATCATGGGAGTTGTAGGCCAAAAACATCTGGAGGGCTGAGGTTGGGGAAGCCTGGTTTATTCACACAGCGTAGAGTTAAACTGTGGATGGTTTTAAAAGAGGATTAATCCAATTAATGGAGGAGGAGAGGGCTTTGCTCCACCTCCAGCCGTTGGGGCAGCCCTGCTTTCTGTGCTGGAAGCCCCGGGAGAGCTGCTTGCAGAAAGCCCCATGGTTTGGCCCCTGTGGGTCCGATGGGCCCCCTTTGGCCCCATCAGCAGGCTCTTCTTTCCAGGTGGAACCGGGTGGTGGAGCTGGTGGAGCACCGCAAAGACCACCTCAACTCCATCCTGAAGATCCAGAACTACCTTCTGGAGTGCAACGAGATCAAGTCGCAGATCCGGGAGAAGCGGCGAGCCGTCGAGTCCACGCAGTACAACAGCGGTGACCTGGGCAGCGTCCTCTCCCTGCAGCGCCGCCTCTCCACCATGGAGGCCGCCCTGGTGGTCCTCGAACCCAGGCTCATTGAGCTGCAGCAGGAGGGGGAGCTGCTGGCCAACACCCACCCGGGCCAAGCCATGGAGATCCTCCTGCAGTTCGAGGAGATCAGCGAGGAGTGGGAGGCTCTCAAGAGGACCCTGCAGGGCTGCGAGGACTCGCTCACGGTGGCCAGCAGGTCAGCCAGGCTCAGAGCAGGGAGAAGGGAGGGTCTCCTGCCTAAGTGGGCAGAGGGGTTGAGCCCCAGGGGGGGGGAGTTATCAGGAGCAGGGGGAACTGAGGCCTCTGGAGAACATCTCAACCTACCAGGACCCTGAGGTCATCTTCTGGGCCCCTTCTTCCTGTACCTTCTCCTTGAGAGGTGCGGAGGGTGGCAACACAAGAGCAGGGCCTTCTCTGCAGTGGCTCCCCATCTGTGGAATGCTCTCCCCAGGGAAGTTTGCCTGGTGCCTTCATTACACAACTTTAGGTTGGACCAAACATTCCCTCACACATCTTCTCTTGCATTACAAGGAATGTTGCCCTTGACAGCCTCTCACGGATCACGTTCCCCACCAGCCCAGGTGTCCCCTGACCCCCTCCTGCCCCTCTCCTTCCTTCCAGGCTGCAGCAGTTCATCCAGGACCTGGACAGCTTCCTGACGTGGCTGGTGAAGACGCAGGCGGCCGTGGCCTCGGAGGAGCTGCCGGGCAACCTGGCGGAGGCCGAGCGGCTGCTGAACCACCACGCCTCCCTCAAGGAGGAGATCAACCGCTACGAGGAGGACTACGCCAAGATCCAGGCCGTCAATGACGTGCTGGCGCTGGAGGAGGCTGACCTGCCCTACCTCTCCCTCCAGCAGTGGCTGCAGAAGCTGGACGTGGGCTGGAACAAGCTGCTGGACATGTGGGAGAACCGGCGGGAGGTCCTGGTCCAAGCCCACATCTTCTTCCTCTTCCTGCGGGACGCCAGGCAGGCCGAGGTCTGCCTCTACAACCAGGTAGCGCTGGGCTCCCAAACTCACAGCGCCTGGGGCTTTGCAAACAGATCAACCAGAAGAAATGTTATTGCGTTTAGTTGCGGCATTTAAATCCCGCCTTTTTCTCCGGGAGCACAAGCTGCTGTGCCCCCGTGGCTTTCCCCCCGTCCTCATGAAATCCCCACAACAACCCTGTGAGGTAGGCTAGGCTACGAGAGGCAGTTGCTGGCCCCCAAGGTCAGACCTTGGGGGCCATGTGTGGGGATTTGAACCCAGGTCTCCTAGGCCCTAGTCCGGCACTCTTACCGCTACAACACCCCTGTCTCTCCTTGCCCATGAGCTGCAGCTCAGTGGTAGACCTTGCCTTTCGTGCAGAAGGTGCCAGGATCCGTCCCCTCTGGCGATTCCAGGGAGGGCTGAGAGAGAGATCCCTATTCGAGACCCCAGACCGCCATGGCTGCCAGTTGGCATTGAGATAATACGGGGCCTGCGGCCTGACTCTGCGCAAGACAGCTTCCTATGATCTGACTGCCCAGTGGTTCCTCTCAAAAAAACCAAGCAGTTCTGGGCACCGCAATTTAAGGAGATTGGAGGGAGCATAAGAACCTAAGAAAATCATCACCTTTACCTTTACCTTTACGTACATACCCCGCCCATCCAGCTGGGTTTCACCAGATGCTGGGTGGCTTCCAGCAAAAGATTAAAAATACATTAAAACATCAGTCATTAAAAACTTCCCCAAACAGGGCTGCCTTCAGATGTCTTCTAAAAGTCAGATAGTTGTTTATTTCCTTGACATCTGGTGGGAGGGCGTTCCACAGGGCGGGCACCACTACCAAGAAGGCCCTCTGCCTGGTTCCCTGTAGCTTTGCTTCTCGCAATGAGGGAACCGCCAGAAGGCCCTCGGCGCTGGATCTCAGTGTCCGGTTAGAACGATGGAGGTGGAGATGCTCCTTCAGGTCTCCTGGGCCTTTGAGGCCGTTTAGGGCTTTCAAGGTCAGCACCAACACTTTGAATTGTGCTTGGAAACATCCTGGGAGCCAATGTAGGTCTTTCAAGACCGGTGTTATGTGGTCTCGGTGGCCGCTCTCAGTCACCAGTCTAACCACCACATTCTGGATTACTGGTAATTGTGGTTTCTGAGTCAGCTTCAAAGGTAGCCCCACGGAGAGCGCATTGCAGTAGTCCAAGCGAGAGATAACCAGGGCATGCACCACTCTGGCAAGACAGTCTGCAGGCAGGTAGGGTCTCATCCTGCGTACCAGATGGAGCTGATAAACAGCTGCCCTGGACACAGAATGGACCTGCACCTCCATGGACAGCTGTGAGTCCAAAATGACTCCCAGGCTGCGCACCTGGTCCTTCAGGGGCACAGTTGCCCATTCAGGACCAGGGAAGAGCTTGGCTGCTGGATGCCAGCAAACCTCCTAGTCCAGCATGCTGTTCTTGCAGGGGTCAAATACCACCAAGAACCTAGGAAGTGAGGTAGACTGCCTCTGGACCTGCAGGTTCCACGAGGGCCTAAGAAGAGCCTGGCTGCTGGACCAGGCCGGTGGCCCATCGGGTCCAACCTCCTGTCCTTGCTGGGGTTCTTCCCTCCTCCTGGGACAGCTGCTTCCCTCCAGAAGTCTGTTTAGGGAAGCTTTTAATACTGGATGAATTATTGTATTTTAATATTTTGCTGGGAGCCACCCAGAGTGGCTGGGGAAACCCAGCCAGATGGGAAGGGTATAAATAATAATAATAATAATAATAATAATAATAATAATAATAATAATAGTAATAATTAGACTGCAGCCCCACCAGCTGCAGCCACAAGGTCTGTGCTCCTCCTGGCGTTGTATGCCTGGAGCTGATGGGAGTCCAAGACGTCCAGAGAGGACCAGGTTGGCCAAGCCTCTTCTGGGGCATTGGGAACGGACGACCGCGAACTAAAGCCCTCCCGAGTTGAAGCCACTGGAGAGGGATGATTCTGGCTCAGCTTTTCTGAGCAGCAAAAGCTCCTTTGGCAGAGATTTAGCAGGCGGCTTTCGAGTCGGCTTTCAGGCCCAAGTAGCAAGATTTAGCTGGCTGCTCAGGCTTGCGGTGTGCAAGGAGGCCATTTATCAATCAGTTGCTAATTGCTGGCGGGTAATTGTTCGCCTTTTCATTCCCATTAATTAGGCGTTTGGGTCGGATGATGACCAGCAATTACAGTTAGTCGTACGTTCTTTGTACAGAGGCTGTTAACTGTCAAATCACAAAGTGTCACAAAGGGGGAAGTTCTCCTCCGGAGCAGCCCCTTGGAGAGGAGTTTTGCAAGAACTTTGCCGCCTCCATTTTTCAGAGAGGTTTGCACAGGAGAATGTCTGAGCTTGGAGGTTTTTGATCAGAGGTCGGATGGCCATCTGTCAGGGTTGCTTTAGGTGAGATTCCTGCATTGCAAGAGGGGGTGGACTGGATGACCCCTGGGGTCCCTTCCAACTTGTAAGGTTCTGTGGTTCTATGACCTTTGGTTACTAGAACAGAAGTCGGCTGGGTGGGCGTCTTAGCAGTCATCTAGGGATGGATCTACACACAGGGGGGGAAACGCTATAAATAAACCATAAATTAAATTGTTATAGCAAAAGAAAAAAATACTCTGTGTAAAATCACATAGAGCCCTATGCTCAGTGGTTTAGCCCACAGCGCCACCTGCGTCCCTGTCTTGCTGTATGTAGGTTTTCTCTTATTTGCTTTTTATCTTATATTTTGGAAATGTACATCCAGTTTTCTGTTTCCTTTCCAAGAGACTGGGACCCTAAGCTAGAGCTTGTTGAGCTTATACGTAACTCCGGCACTGGGGTGGCCCTTCTGGAGCCTCGGCTGCCCCCTCTCCTCCTGCCCCTGGCCCCTCCGGCCGTCTCTGGCTTTGCAAAGCGGAGCTAAATGGCGCATCCTTCCGCCCGGGCGCATCTCAAAGGCTCGTGGCTCCTGCAGCCGCCTTGCTGGCCGCACTCGCTCTCATGCACCATTGAGTCGGTCTGGCTGTCACTTTGCAGCTGGGGCTCAGTGGGAGCTGGCGCCAAACGCCAGGAAGCCACCCAGGGAGGCAGGCGGTCAGGGGGAAGCGGAGAGCGCCTGGGGGGTCGCCCGTCCCTCCGTTGTCTGGGGCTCAAGGGGCCCCCTCCCCCATCTCCACCTTTAGCCCAGACACCTTCCTATTGAAAATTTAGCCTCTTCCACCCCCACCCCCGCCCTAGAGGCCCAAAGGGGCTCTGCCAGTCCATTAGCTGCCACTGATGCATTAACCAGTAGGAGCCCGGGGGGCAGCAGCATCCCAAGACCCCCTTAGGGGCAGAAGGGGATTCAAGCAGCAAGGAAGAGATTCCGACTGAAGCTCCGGGAGAAATTTCTGGTGGTGAGAGCGGCGGATCTCCCTCTCCTTCCTTGGAGGTTTTTAAGCAGAGGTTGGAGGGCCATCTGCCAAGGATCTTTTAAGAATAAATAAGAATAATAATTTTTTATTTCTATCCTGTGCTCCCTGGCCAGAGCCGGGCTCAGGTTAGCTAACACCAGTAAAATTACAATAAAGACATAATAGAGTGGGGGGAATCCATTTCATTTCACTTTGAATTTGTATTCTGCCTTTCTATATCACTTTACGCAAGGCAGCAAAACAGACAGCAAAGGTCACACACCTATTTATCCGATCCGGTAATAGGAAGTATTTAAAATAAACAACTTATATCAAATAAAGCAATGTTCAATAATCCATTAGCATATAATAGCGAACAGTAAAATTAAATATCAGCAAATAATAATGAAGCAGCTTACACTTAAGAGTTACAAGAGTGACTAAACTATACTCAAGAAAAAGAACCGCATAAAATATCACAAAACGTACAAAACCATGCAAAGGGATCAAACTGAGAAACAAGGACCCACAGCTTGTCAAATTGTTTTTAGTTGTGATTCCTGCATTGTAGCAGGTTGGACTAGATGGCTCTTGGAGGTCCCTTCCAACTCTCTGGTTCTCGGAGTGCCATCTAGAATCCTTTATATCTGCATCTCCAGGTCTTTCTCCCGTGTACCTGAAAGCCTCCCAGCAGACTTGCAGGACCCCAACATGGCCAGCCCTGCAGGAGGCTTGCCCTGGGAGGGGGGCGAGATGGGAGTCTGGGCCCCTGCTCTCCTGCTGCCTTGCTTACAAGGGTTCCCACCCCAGGGGCTGTAGGCAGAAGTGGGGGGCAGCTTCTTTCCCCCTTGGGGTAAGCGGGCCGAGACGTGGGCGTCCAAGTGCCCCTCGCCTTCCTCACTGCCGCTCGCCTCCCTCGGCACAGATGGCCTCTGCATGCGCACGAGAAGCGGGGAGGGGGCCAGGCTGCCAGGGGGCCCCTGGGATCTTGCCGGGGGGGGGGGAAGGAGGCAAAGAGGGTCACGGCCAGGGCAAGAGCTGGGGGGAGGGGACTCCTGGGTTCTCTTGCCGTGGGACTTTTCAGCTGAGAGAAAGGGCAAGTCAGAGGTGGCATGGCAGGAGTTAGTGATGCACAGCCTAGAAAAGGGGGGAGAAGGAACACTCATGGATGTCCAAGGAAGGTGAAGACTGGGAGGTCCAGGACAGAGGAAAGGAAGTCCGCCTTCACCCAGAGTTAAACTCTGGAACTCCCTCCCACAGAAGACAGCAATGGTGTCTCCTGTGGGAGGGAGTTCCAGAGTTCCCCGGGGTGGCTTGAAAAGAGGGTGGGAGAAATTCATGGAGGCGGAGGGGGCACCTGAGGGCTCCTAGCCAGGATGGCTCTGCTTCGGAGGCAGGAAAGTTTCCAAATCCCAGTTTCTGGAAGCCACAGGAGAGGAGAGTTGTGGTTGAGCTGAAATCCTTCCAGGCTTCCCATAGTGGGCATCTGGTCACCCACTGGGAGAGCTGGACTGGATGGGCTCCTATTGCGCTCTTACATTCTTAGGTTGGCCTTGGAGCAGGAGGTTTCGGGACGTGATTCTTCCTCATTGCCGGATTTACGTATCACCTAACAAGCTCTAGCTTAGGGCCCCACTCTCTTGTGGGCCCCCCAAAACATTCAAAGAAATTGGCTCCTGGGGTGTAAGTCATGGGCCCCGCCTGCTCGCCTGCCCCCTAAAATATCCCTGCTTTGCTCCTTTCTATATATAGGGTGCCGACATTCTCCGTGAACTGGTTGCAGCTCAACATGTGCAAAGGGCTTGAGATACCTATTCAGTCCATCAATTACCACATAGCATATGTTCCAACACCAGGGCTGTCTTAAGCATATGCGGCGCCGGGGTGCAAAGATCCGTCTGCCCCCCCCCAGTTGCCCATTCCCAGGTGTGCAGGAGGGTGGAGCCGGCTGGCCGCCTCAATGTCTCGCTAGCTCAGTCGCCCCCAAACTCGCGGCTCGGAAGAGCCCACTGCAGCGCTCTGACCAACGGGCTGGCTCTTCCCCACACTCTTGGCCTGGCGCCCCTGAGAGCCCGGTGCCCGGGTGCCCCACACCCCTAGCGCCTATGGGTAAGACAGTCCTGTTCAACACAAAAAACAGGGACTATTTGTTATTGACAAAGGACAGCTGGACATATAAAGGGCCCCATTACCTTCAGGAGCTGAGGGCCGCATCAAACCTCAACCCGGCCCTGGCCCACAGTCTGTTTTTGTCACAGGACCCTCTCCTATTGCCTTTCCCCCTCTGCTCACAGCCTTGGGTCTGGGGGTCGGTGGGTGGGAATGGCAACTGAGAGGCCGTCTCCAGCAGTCGGAAGCCCCAGAGACCCTCCTGCTGCTCTCTCAACAGCTCCCCTTGATCTGAGCTCCTGCCCCCAAAAGACGGACTCTCCTGGCTCTCTGTTCCAAGCCTTTGCCCCCCAAGCAGCTTGCTCTTATTTACCTGGCACTGCTTTCATCCTCGTTTCCGACTTTTCTTCATTTCATAAAAGTTTTATGCTGCTCAATTGCGGAGAGAACTTTGAAGCCATTCGTGGGAAAGACAAAGCAATAAAATGTTGAGTACGGAAAAGCGAGCAGCGATGGTTTCGGACGTTTGGCCGAAATAGCAGCAGAGTCGGGGCCGATGGAAACTCTCGTCTCCTTTCTTTCAGGAGACCACCCTGGCGCACACCGAGCTGCCCACGACGGTGGAAGGGGTGGAGAAGGCCATCAAGAAGCACAAGGACTTCATGACCACCATGGACCTCAACATGCAGAAGACCACCACGGCCCTCAAGGCGGGCGAGAGCCTCATCCGCCAGGGCAACATCTATGGCCAGAGGGTGAAGGAGAAGATGGACGCCCTCCGGGCAAAGTAAGGAACCGGGGGGGGTCCGGGGGGGTGCTGAGAGCATTAGATATATGTATAGTTTAAGATTAGAGTGACAAGTGCACAACTGCTGGTTGCTGCAGATCTCTTGGAGCACAAAATACGTCTGCCTGAAAGTGGCTGCAGGAGCAGGGGCAGAATTAGTTAAACTGTGGAACTCACTGCTGCAGGAGGCGCCGAAAAGAGGGTGAGACAAATTCAGGGAGGAGAGGAGGATCCGTGGCTCCAAGCCAGGATGGCTCTGCTCTGCCGCCACCTCCAGAGGAAGCACTGCTGCTCTGGGGCTCAGATCCTGCGTGTGGGTTTTCCCTAAGGGGGAAGAAAAGGGTGCCAGACTAGGTGGGAGCCCTTTTGCCTGATCCACCAGCCTCTTCTGTGCGCTGAATTCACTTAAGAGGCAGAGAATAGGACTGGCATACACTGCAGGATTTCTTGTAAGCAGTTTATTTCTTTATTTCTTTATTTATATTTAATTTCTATACCGCCCTATGCCCAAAGGTCTCAGGGCGGTTCACATAAGATCAAATACATAAAATTAAAAACAACCCAATAACCCTCCTCCAAGAGCCAGAATTTTAAAAAGGATATAGGATGTCGTCGTCGTCGTCTTCTTTCTCTTCTCTTCTTTGGCAATCCTTCATAGCTGAGTAAGATTGTCTTCCATGAACACGGCCTTAACAGTGAGTCCGTAACTGACTGTGGAGGCCAGTTCTGGATCCACACCTCCTTCCACAGTGGGAACATGGGTTTCTGGGTGGGAGTTGATCATGGTGAGGATTTGCCAAGCCTGCCTTCCTCTTAGCACGTTTCTCCCTTGCGTCCTGAGTTCGAGTGTCTTCAAAGCCCAGGACACCTTTGGTCAAGGCTGTTCTCCAACTGGAGCGCTCGCAGGCCAGTGTTTCCCAATTGTTGGTGTTTATCTACATTTTAAAAGATTTGCCTTGAGAGAGTCTTTAAACCGCTTTTGTTGACCACCAGCATTGCGCTTTCCATTTTTAAGTTTGGAATAGAGCAGTTGCTTTGGAAGACGATCATCAGGCATCCGCACAACATGACCAGTCCAACAAAGTTGAAGAATCATTGCTTTGACACTGGTGATCTTTGCTGCTTCCAGTACACTGGCATTAGTTTGCCTGCCTTCCCAAGTGATGTGTAGAATTTTTCAGAGACACCATTGATGGAATCTTTTGAGGAGTTGTATAGGATGTAGATCAAGTCAGGCAAAGGCCTGGTTGAAAAGGAATGTTTTTGTCTGGCACCTAACGGTGTATAATGAAGACACCAGGCGAACTTCCCTGGGGAGAGCATTCCACAGCTGGGGAGCCACTGCAGAGAAGGCCCCGTTCTCGTGTTGCCACCCTCCGGACCTCCCAAGGAGGAGGCACACGAAGGAGGGCCTCAGAAGATGATCTCAGGGTCCATATGGGAAGAGGCGGTCCTGGAGGTGTTGTGTCTCTGGGCCTCAGAACACACACTGGCCTAGCCCAGTCTGCCGGGGGGGAGGGGGGTCATAAGACCCTTTCTTTCTGCATTAGTCTCCCTACACTCCCCAGAGAAGCAGCCTCAGGATAACCGCATGACAGGTTTGCCCCCATCAGCCACCTTCCTTCCCAGTGTTGACCTCGCATCTGTTGGCCTCACTTCCCAATCTGCAGCATAGGTGCTTATTTCTCCCCTCCTGGCACAGAAAACATTTTGCAGGGCAAATCCTGCCCCCCCAAAAAAACCTTGAATCTGAAAGATCATCAGCTCCTATCTTCAGTCCCAGATTCCTCCATTGCCTCGAATGAGCAGCTGCTGTCTCCCTTGCCCTCACACTACCTTCCCAGCCCCACCTGGAGATGCCAGGGGTTGAACCTTGGGTTCTTTGCATGCAAGGCAGGAGAGCTACAGCCCTTCCCTTAAAAATAAAGCCAAGATTCCAGTCCTCATGATTCTGAATCAAGAGATGGTTTCCAAAGGAGCACACGAAGAAGCTGCCTTCTGCTGAGCCAGACCATTGATCCTTCTAGCTCTATATTGTTAATGGCAGAACAGGGTCAGTTACCGATTGGGAATCCTTTAAATATGGAGAGTGAGCTCTGTTTGGCGAGTGAATCTTGGTTAGAGAGCAGACTTTGCCTGCTGCAATCAGGCAAAGAGAGGTAAGAAAATGATAAAAGTTGCTTATCGTAGGAAATTCATAACTTGGATGTGGGAATGTTCAGGGAGGCAGGAGAGGATATATTGTTTATTAATATCCTTCCTTACTTGCGCCAGCAAGTTTCTTTACTTAGCAGAGTTTACATTCCCCTTTTTACATGCACAGCAGATCACAGCAGATAGCTGGTTGCAGGCTTGTGTGAGCCTCTCACTATTATACAATTCAGCCTGCCTGGCTCAGATTGAATTGTATATTCCTGGTAAGTTCCCTTGAATCCCTCTTAAAAGAATAAAGACGCCACAATCTTATTCAAAGTCAATAAAAGACGTTTACTCACATCAGTTCACAGTTGGATTCCTGAAGGCAGACTTAGTTACAAATACTCCTGAAGGGGAGTGAAAGGCGGGATATCAAATAAATAAATAAATAAAAATAGGTACATGTGGATCTACCCCATATGGGGGAATAATCCCAGTAGTTCTGCTAGCTGAGAGCTAGTAGAGCAGTCCTAGCTAAAAGCTGGTCAAATGAAGAAGGAAGTTGAGAAGAAGAGAGAAGGGTGCTGTGTGACTTGTCCTTTGGTTACCTGGACAGGTGAGGCCACGCCCACCTCTAGTCACGTGCAAAGGAAGGATGCTCCCGCCAGGCGGAAACTGGAAGTTTTCGCCTGGCTGGACCCCCACATGTTTTCTCTAGCATTACAAGGAATGTTGCACTTGACTGCTCTCAGTGGATTACATCCCACATTGGATAGGCAGGTTTCTGGTTCTCGATCAAGGCAGCTCTCTCAGAGGAGAACTCCAGGATGAACTCTCTTCTTGAGGTCTTAGAAATAAGGAGGAGAAGAAGGAGGAAGTTGTGAAACTGGATACAACCGGAGAATATCAGTCTGACATCAAAGAGACAGAGAACTCAGCCCAAGAGGTTAAGGGTACAGGGCTAGTCTGGGGATTTGCAGTTCACTAATGCAAGCTAGGTTGCACCCAGACTTCCAACAGTTGCCTACACTGACTGGCAGCAGCTGTCTGTGGTTTCAGGCATCACCATTCCCAGGCCTGTTGTGCAGATGCTGCCAGGATCAAACCGGAGGTGCTCTATCACGGACCTTCAAAATGAACCAGGAAAATCAGCCACAAAGGATCCCTGACTGTTTGGAAACGTCTATTTAGGTGTCCAAAGCATGTGATTTTCTGGGGCATTATGCAAAAGCTGTGCCCCCCCCCCGCCGCCTGTGTGTTTGTGTGTGTGAGATCATAGCGAGGTCCAGACCCTTGGCGACATTCTAGATTCCATTTTTGTAAATGGTGCCTCTGGGTCATTTGTAGCCTTGCAGCTGTATTTGAAAAGAAGGGGAAGCTCTGGGGTAATCTGGGCTGCTTACTGCATACACTTCTCATGGGGGGCAGGGGGAAAATAGTATTATCAGCGGGGGGAGAGAGACCACAAAATCTTCCATGAATCAGAACAAAGTCAAGCCCAATTTGCCTCATACAGCGGAGATCAGTCATGGAAATTTGTCTCGAGGTTTCACCATATTTGGCGGGCGGGGGGAGCAGAGAAGGGGCTTGGGATTTTGAAAACAACTGCCACTGCCATGTGGAGCCAATTAAGGCCCCCGCCTCCCCCTGATGCAGAAGCGGCCGCCTCTCTTTGAAGTCTCCCTTTCTGAAGGACCAGCTGCTAATTTCGCCTGACGTTTTAATTGGTGTCAAATCCTTAATATATTTATCTGCTCCAGATAGATAAACCAGCTCAGTGCTGTGTGTAATTGTTATTTGAGCTTAAATTTGGGGGGGGGGGAATGCCGAATATTGGAATTACAGCTATATCTCAAATGCGATGCCTGATGCTCCACATCTTGGCTGGCATTTTTCCCTGGGATTTGAGGTGGGGGGTGGGGAGGGTGAGTCAGTCCCTCTCCGAATGGAAGTCACGCCAGCGAGCAGCTTGCCTGTGCCCAAACTCACAAGATCACGAACAGCTCGTTTCAGCTGCCACTCAGGAGAAGCAGAAAGGCGGAGCAAAGCTCACAAGCGGTCTGGATTCCAGGCGCCATGAGGCAGCCCTCGCTGAGCCTCACTGCTCGTGGGTGGATTCCGTGGGATCTGGTCCACGGGAAGGAGGGCTGTGATTTTTGCTGGTGGCTGGCGGGATCCTATGGACTGCATGTGCCAGAAAAGAGGGCCTCTTGTAAAAAACACACTTAATCCATGTTATTTGTCTCCAATGCCGGTAGTCGTTTGTTTTATAAAAACCCTCCTGTGGCTCCTTTATATACCGATTCATTTTGGCTTCCAAGAGCAAAGTGATAATTTTACAGGGAACCAGGCAGAGGGCCTTCTCGGTGGTGGCGCCCGCCCTGTGGAACGCCCTCCCATCAGATGTCAAGGAGATAAACAACTATCTGATATTTAGAAGACATCTGAAGGCAGCCTTGTTTAGGGAAGTTTTGATGTTTGATGTTTTATTGCACTTTTAATATTCTGTTGGGAGTTGCCCAGAGTGGCTGGGGAAACCCAGCCAGATGGGCAGGGAATGAATGAATATTATTTCTCCAGTTCTTAATTTTACTACCTTTATACCTCACCTCTCCACCAAGGAGTTCAAGGCTCTCCCTTGCCCCATGCTATCCTCCCAAGGAGGTCGGTTAGGCAGTGACTGGCCACCTAGGTCTCATCCAGGGAGCTTTCTGGCCGTGGGGATTTGAACCCTGTTCTCTCCCAGGCCCTGGTTTGACATTCTAACTGCTGCACCGCAGTGGCTCTTTGCAAACCGGCAGCTCCGCGGAAGAGCTTTGCAGAACCTGTGCAACTTTGCCAAGCCAGAGTGGCAGCCGGAGTGTGGCTGGAGCCTCGGCTCCTTTGCCAGCCAGCCAAGCAGGAGTCATGAGGCCTCAAGTCCATTGTCCAGCCTGGGCTGAACTGGGAGCACAAAGCAGGGCTGTCTTTTCATGGGAGCGTGATCTAAGGAGCTCCAAGCTAGACCTCCTTGGCTCTTTCTTCTCCATGTTGGGTCACCCGTAACAAGAAGCCATGACGGCCACCAACCCGGCCACCCAGATGGAGCCTCCGTTTCCAGAGGCAGTGTACCTTGATCCCAAGGTGCTGCTGTCCCTGGGCAGTCATTGACGAGAGTGAGAAGGAGGCTCTTCTTCCTCCCCTGCCTGACCCGTCCCCTTCCTCTTCCTCCTCCCCAGGAGCCAGCGCAACCTGCAGCTCGCCCACGCCTGGATGCAGCGCCTGAACGACCACCTGCAGCTGCAGCACTTCTTGCAGAACTGCCACGAGGTAAGGGGGCCCGGGGGGGGACCTGAGGGGCATGGAGCGGTGTGGGGCATGAAAGAGGCACCCGGCCGCTCAGGTGGGGACCCAGACATGATCTTCCAGTCCGCCAGGAGCGCCCTAGAAGGGGAGAGAGTGCAGCCTGTGTTCTGCAGGGAAGATTAAGTGGAAGCCTTCCCCTGAGAGGCTAGTCTTCTAGGTGCAGGGAGGGCCTTTTATTTTGGCATGGACATTCAAACATGTACATACCCCTTTCTCATGGTCTGTGAGGCAGTGATGCTTCTGACTGCCAGTGGCTGGAAACCCCCGGGGGGGAGGGGCGTCTTGGGCTTGTGGGTTTCCAGCAAGGGGACTCTTGTTGGCCATTGGGAGCAGACTGGGAGACGATGGCTGGGGAGGCCTCAGAGAAGTGTGCTCCCCCCTCCTTCCTGGAAATGCAAGCTGCTTTTCTTTCCACAAGGATTCCAGTTGTCATCCAATTTGCATTTTTGGCCCCTGCCCACTAACACGTCTCCATTTCTCCCTAATTAAGGTAGCTTTCATGTTCCCAGGGTGTTCCTCAGTTGTGCTAATTAATCCTGGGTAGGCACACACTCCAGGTTAAGGAGGTTTCCTGGGGGAAGAGGCAAAACCCCCTCCCCAAATGCACACAGCTTGCACCTGAATGCGCTGGGTGGCTCACTGGTGCAAAGGAATGTTTTGGGCAGGAGGGCAGCTGCCTGGGGGCCCGTGGGAAGGGTGGGGCTGAGGAGCTGGTGCAGGTGGGGCCGGATCCTGCCCCTTTGGCCTGCAGCCTCCCTGTCTGGTGCACACTGCGCAGTGTTACACCCAGGAGGCAAGCATTCCCGCCGGGGCTGCTCTTCTGGATTGGGGCCCTCTTCCTTGGATATCCTGGAGGAAGGTGCTCATGCCAGTGAAGTGTGCCTGGAGAGTAACATAAGAAGAGCCTGGCGGATCAGGCCAATGGTCAGGGGGTCAAGCAGATGTCCCAGCACCATAGCTGTCAACATTTCCCTTTTTTAAGGGATTAAAAAAGGATTCCTCCCAAGAAAGGTGGAAAGTTGGCAGCTATGCCCAGCTCAAGAGCCCTCTCCCCCCCTGCCCTTTCCAGCAACTGGTCTTCAGAAGCCCCGTCCTCTTGAAATCTGCGCCCCAGAGGCTGTGGGGCGGTGGGAATTTTGCCCTCTTGATTTTAAATGTTGTTATTTCAAGCCGTTTCCCAATTCCTGACCCGGGCTGGACTCGGTGGGCCCTGGGAGCCTCCGGTGGATGTGTTCTTCTGGCTTGCGCCAGCTGCCGTTTGAACTTGCCTCCGAAGGGAGCTTCCAGAGGTGGAGTTTGCGCCTCTGCTGTTGAGAAATGGGCTGGAGAGGAGCAAGGGCGATGGGGGGGGGGAGAGAGAAAGAGCAGCGGCAGCAGCAGCAGCAGCAGAGAGTGAGGAGGCTGCGGCTCAGCCTGCAGTAATCAAAGGGAGGGAGGGAGGGAGGGAGGGAGCTCCTCCTCCCCCCCCTCCTCCTCCTGGCGAGGGGTCAACCGGGCCGGGCTCGCCCCTCCCTGCAGCTCTGACCGTCCTCCCGCTTCCCTCGCGGTCCCTGGACGGGGCTCCCTCTCTTCTGCCCCCCCCCGCCGCCCCCCACCTGCAGTGACCCACTTTCTCTGCAGCGCTCCGAGGCGCGCATCCCCAGCTGCCCCCCCCCCGCCGCGGTTGGAGGAAATGTTCCTGGGGAGGAGGCCTTCTCCCCCAAGAGAAAAAGGTGCCCCCCCTTCCCCACGGGGGTGAGGAGCGGACTTTGCCTCTAGGCGGGGTGGGAAGGGGAGGGCGGCCTAGTAGAGCCAAGCGCGGAAGTTCGGGGAAAGGGTGGCGGGGGGGGGGGAGCTTGGGGGGCGCCTCGGTTTGACCCGAAGGGCAGCCAAGCCGGGCGCAGGGGATCAGCGTTTCGGCTTCTTGCTGCGCCTCCCTCCGAAGGAGAGGACCCAGGCGTCCGGGCTGGCGGGAGGCTAACTGAGGTGAAGCGGGCTCGGGCGCACGTGAGCGCGCCACGCTTGCCGCCCCCACCCCACTCGGCTGGGGGTGGGACCCAGGCGTCCGAGGCCCGGCCGCGCGCCCATTCCTGCCGTCCTCCCTCCCTCCCTCCCTCCCTCCCTCCTTCCTTCCCCGGTGACGCGCTCGGAGAAGGGAGGGAGGCGCTGGGCTCGCCCGCTGCAGCATCCCGGGCAGGTCCGGAGCGCGGGGCTGGGAGACCGGCGGAGGGGGGGGTCCTTGTGGGCTGGCGGGGGGGAGGCTGGAGGCGCGCGCCCTGCGGCGGCGGGAGGGGGAGGGGGGAGGCGGACGAGCGGGGGCGGGGGGCTTCCCCCCTCCCGCCGCCCGGCTGACGCGCGCCCGCCCCTCTCCCCTCTCCCCTCTCCGCGTGCAGCTCGATGGCTGGGTGGCCGAGAAGGAGGCGCTGATGGCCGGCGAGGCGCCCCCCCGGGACAAGGACGCGCGCCACCAGCGGGCGCCCAAGCGATGGCTCCGGCACCGCGCCTTCATGGCCGAGCTGGCCCAGAATAAGGAGTGGCTCGCCAAGATCGAGAAGGTGAGTTCAGCACCGCGGACAGCGCCGGGCCGGAGAGGGACGGAGAGCGCCTCTGCCCCCCCCCCCGGCAGCGCGTGCATGCATGCGCGCGCCCGCCTCTCTCCCCCCCTGCACGTGTAGATGTACACATCCGTGCTGTGGTGCGAAGCCCCCCCCCCCCGCAGCACGGGCTTTCTCCCGCCCCCTCCTTTCCGACCTGCAGTTGGGCCCCTGTCTGCGGAGATGCGCGGGGTCCCAGGGTCCTCCTGGGTGGGTCAGCCTGGGGTCTCCCCGGCTTTGGCCTGGTTTGAAGAGCCCTGTTTTTTTTGGGGGGGGAGTTGATGCTTCCTTCCTTGATGTCTGGCCCCAGGCCTCATCCAGCTCAGCCACCAGTGGGGCCCAGCTCCAGAGCTTCTCTCCCTCCCCAAGAGACCTCTTGGCCCGGGGATTCAGGGGTCCTGGTGATGCCCTGGTTTGTGGAGGAGGTGCAGAATGGGGGGGGGGAGTCAGCCTGGAAGCTAAAAAAGAACACGAAGCCCTTTTTTGTAATTTACCTGAACTGTTTTAATTTGTGTGAGTCCCAGTCTGGGGAAATGTGATATAAATAAATCAATGATATGATTTGATAATGATGAGAGTTGCCCGAGGCCTCAGGACTCCCACTTGCTCAGAGAGATGCCCTTTTGTGGAGGTGGGGAGGGATTTCCCCCTTGGATCAGTGGGTCAGTGAATGCTTTCCTTCCCCTCAGCTGCCTCTATCTGTGGGACGTGTGTTTTTGTGGGGGTCTGGGGTCATTTCCCCCACCTGAGGCCCCTGGAAGCCGTTTTCCTTCTTTCTCGCTATGGCACTTTGGGGTCTGCCTTGTGAGCCTTGATCTGGGGCTCAGGGCTGGGTGTGTGGGCCTGTTTTGGGGCAAGAAAGTTGCTTGAGTTCTAGATGAAGGAGTGTTGGGTCTGGGTCCTGCCATGGCCCTTCTGCTTGGAAGGCAGGTTGTGGTTAATCAGCGGTGAGTGAAGAGCACTCTGCACGTGTTCAGATGTGCTTTTGTCATTGCGCTCATTGAGTTGGCTAACCTCAGACTGTGTGCCCCCCTTACAGCGGCAGCCGTGACCCCTGGTGCCTGAGTTTTGTGGGGGGAGGGGCTTGTTTGTTTTGGTACAGAGAAGAATCTGTTGTTGTTGTTGCTGCTGCTGCTGCTGGATGACGTGAGTCCCAGCTCAAGGGGTCCTGCTCAGACAGAGGTGGGCCATCTCAATGAGGACTTAGCTGCTTGGCATTTAACTGCCTTGGGACCAAGGTTCGTTCTGGAGCTGGTTCCTGGCTCAGATAGAAGCTGGAGGCTGTTCTCATGGGGGTGGTTGCCATTCTGCCCCCTTGAGACTGAGATTTGGAGGGATTCTGCATCCCATTCTGCATCCCATCCAATCTGGCATTGGATTGGAGTGACCTGGGAGCTGCCTCCTTTCTGACCTCCTTTCCATCGGCTTGACCCTGTTGTCAAAAAGATTACCTTGTTTCCAGAGCTGTGAGGAGAGTGAGGAAGAGCTCCATGCATGCTTTGTCCTTGGCCTCTCCAGGGGCAAAGATTTTGGGGGACTAGGAAAGACACCCCCCTCCGGTTCTTCCTGAGACCTTGCAGATGGACTGATGGTCTGTTTTCATCCAAGGCAGCTCCCCATCAGGCCTCTCTCTCCAGTCTCCTGCTGGAAGGAAGCCTTTGTGGCCCTGAGGAGGAGGTGTTCCTCCTCTTCTCCTGTGTGTATGTCTCTTCCTGACATCGAGGATTTCCCTCTTTTTCCGAAGCTCCAGATTTAGTGGCACCTTCCTTGTTAAGAAGTTCTCGGTGTGCCTTCCATTGTCTCCTGCCCAGGGCAGCTGAGGGACCATATTTCCTCCTACAAACCCACATGGGCTCTGTGATCCCCAGGAGAGGCACGCCTCTCTCTCTCTCTCTCTCTCTCTCTCTCTCTCTCTCTGTCCCGCCTTCCTCACAAATCCACTTGGGGATGCTGGAGAGGGCCTTCTTGGTGGTGGCTCCTTCCAGGCAACTTTGGAGCTCTCTCCCTGCCGGCGCCAGACTGGCTCCCTCCTTGCTGTCCTTCTGCTGGCAGGTGAAGCGCTTCTTATTCCAACAGGCCTTTGGAAACCGATTTTTTTTTTTAAAGCGAGAAAGGGGTTTTAATAGTGCCCTGCTGTTTTCAATATCTGCCTTTTAATAGATTTGGTTTTTATTAGAGTCCAATTACTTTTTAACAGTCATGTTTTTAGATTTCTATATCTTAGCTGTGTTGTTTTGGGAGATATAAATAAATATAGCAGCAGCAACAATGATTTGACGGTCATTCTTCGGTGCTGGTTTTTCCGGTGGCGATGCATTTTTAAATCCTCAGCCGCTGTTTTGCCAAGGTGGGAATCTGACTGTTGTTGTTGGACCTCAGCTTGCAAGTGTGTTTTTGCAGAGAATCAATGCCTGCCTTCCGGGGTAGCAAGCGAGTGAGTCTCTCCATCTGCGCCGGAGAGGCGGTGGGAGGGAGGCCTGCTGGGGCGACGACTCCTGCAACGTTTGGGGCCTGCTGGGCATTTTCTTGTTGGCAACACGCCACCCTGTGATCTCTCACAGCGCCAGCCGTGCAGATGGCGGCTTGGAGGCTTCTCAGAGGCCCAGGCTCCCCACCACATTGGGGGAGGGATATTGATCAGTCCGGTTGGGGGGTGAGGAGGGCTGTTAGGGGAGGCGACGGTAATTGCCAGGGGATCCAACAGAGAGCGTGGTAGTCTCTGGCTTTTCGGGGGAGCAAAAGAGGCATTGAGTCAGCTGCTTGCGTTTGCTCTGCAGAGTTTCTGGAAGATCTCTCCGATCCGTTGCGAAACGGCGCCTGCAGCCAGTTTTTGGACTTGGCAGGCAATGTTGAGAGGCCAGGAGAGCTCAGCATGTCTGTGGCCTGAGATGGAGCATCCCATGATAGTCTCCCTCTTCTCTTCCCTGCCCCTCTTGGGCTGAACCTGGGGGCGCAACGGAAGCAGGTGGGAGCTGAGTGAGAGCCCTTTTGCTATTGGCCAGGAAGGTGGAGGCGTCCTCCCCGTAAAGGGTTAAGGCTGCCAGGTTGCCATGGAGACACTCACGCCTTGGTGGGGACCGGAGGGTGGCATCTGTGCCACTCCTGGGATGGCCCTGTGGGCAGCGGGGGCCCCTCAAAGAGCCAGCACATGGGATGGGGGTGAATGGTGTTAAGAGCTATTGCAAGGGGGGCAGGAATGGTGTTCTGGGGGTCGTGCCCCCCTGCCCTGCCCCTCTGGTTCCCCCACAAAGTGAGGCCTCTCTGGCTGATGCAAGCAAGGCAGCTATTTCAGCCCCCGTTGGGCGATGTTGGGTTTTCACTGGGTGACGAGAGAGAATATGTTACCATATGGTATTTGACAGCCTTGAACATGCGCAGAGTGGATTTCTGCCGTCACCGAGCGTTTAATCCCACCCAGCCAATGATTGTCCAGCCTTTCTGCCTAGTCTGCCCCTTCGTGAAACATTCAGGCCGTCAAAACAGAATAACTTCCTACGTTTTGCAACGAGCTAAATCGATAATATAAGATGAGACAGTTGTTTACTTTCGGCTGGGAGTCAATTTTGACCTCCCCGAATGCACTTTGAGCCTTTCAGGTTTGTAAATGTTCCGTGAAGTACACACACAGTTCGAAGGTACAACAGGCGGAATAATATACAACTGCAAAAACATCTGCACTTAGACACAAACCCTTTTGCTGCCACCCTGAATAAGAGCAAGAGGGGAAGAGGAGAAAGGTTTTTCCTTTTATTTGCAAATGTTTGGCAAAGTAAGCAAAGATGGCAACTGTTTTCTTACGCCCCTCATTCCTGTCTCACAGTTGGAGAAGTAAAGCCGGGTGGATCCACTGATCCCTTTTGATTTTTATGGAATCTGCCTTCCATAAAGTGCATGCCAGGCAGGGGCTGACTATGTCTCTTAAACCTCCTGAGCTGGCAAATGTTTCAGAGAATTAGAGGACAGAGTTGTCTTGCAGCCCCCCCCCATCCTGCTAAGATAGAATTGCAGAACTGTAGAGTTGGAAGGGACACCAGAGGTCATCTAGGCCAACCCCCTCTTGCAATGCAAGAACCACAGCAATGGCATCCCTAAGAGATGGCCATTCAACCTCTGTTTTAAAAGCCTCCAGTGGAGGGGAGAGTCCCAGCTTCCAATCCACCCTCAAGCAGCTCTTACTGTCAGAAAGTTCTTCTGAGGGCTCCCTTGGACAAAAAGCAAAGACACCAACCAGGATAATTGGAGCAAAACAGCAGCCAGGAGGCCTGGTCTTGATTGAAGACTGTGGCGACAGGACTCCCACCTGCCACCAGGTGGAACAAGATGGAAGCCCCAAAGAAAAGAGCCCCCAAACTTTTATTAGCTGCTCATCCCCATGTTACACCCCCCAAACTACATCACATAAGTAATTACATAAGTAATTTCGTTGTCCCCGAGAGGGGGCAATGACAATAAAGATATTATTATTATTATTATTATTATTATTATTATTATTATTATTATTATACTTGTACATCATGGTTACATCATGAAAGGAGAGGTCTGGTGGCAGGAATCTGAGCATCCTGGACCCTGCCCCATGGTTCCCCTTGCCCTCCACCAAACACCTATCAAGTGTAAGAAAAGAGACATTGACATTTCCCTGTTTCCCAGCCAGGTTTATTACACCCTTTTGTCTTCATCTGGGTTTGTTATTTCTGGCATGGCTACCTGTCTGGCCCTCCGGTATCAGGATGCCAGGGATGATCCCTCAGGCAGAGGGGCTGCTGAGGAGCTGAACTCACATGTCTATATGAATTTCTGAAGTTTCTCCAGTGAGCCAGTACATAGATAATTTATCAGTGAATTCTTACATTTGGTATCGTGCAGCAAAGGCCCTTTGAATAGATAGGAAGAAACTGTGATGAAGTGTTTTGAGGGGACAAATCACAAAAGTCACAAAAGTGATTGTGCTGATTTTGGTAGTGGGCTGCGTGTGCATGACATGGGTTTGAGTCCTACCCTCCAGAGCCAGGGAAAACAAACTGGTTCCCTCTTCCATGTGACAACCCTTCAGATCTTTGAAGATGGCTCTCCTATCCCCTCTCAGTCTCCTCTCTTCCAGGCTAAAAATCCCCAACTCCTTCAACCGTTCCTCATCAGGCTTGGTTTCCAGACCCTTGATCTTGGTCTCCCTCCTCTTCACACCTTCCAGCTTGTCAATATCCTTCTTAAATTGTGGCGCCCAGAACTGGACACAGAATTTCAGGTGTGGTCTGACCAAGGCAGGATAGATCAATTTATTTTTCTCTTGTTTTGTCATGGCTGCTTGGTTACAATTCTGCTCAGAGTTTATTCCTGGTTTTAGAGGTTTCCCCTGAGGAAGAAAGTTTGCATTCGTGAAACACAAAGTTGGGCTCTGATAAACTCTGGGGCTTCTGAGACTGTTTCCCCTTGGCTGCCTTCTCACGGTGCTTCTGGGGTGGGAGGGAGGCCATTTCACAGGCCAGGGGACTACTGGGGCAGGCTCCGACCCCTTGCCTTGCCTTGCCCTCCGCTGGCAGAAACGGCTCTTTGGGTGGGAGAGGTGCCATGGGGCTCTCCAGTAGTCCCTGAGACAAAACATGGAGCTCCCCCATCTGATACCGCTGCCTGATTCTCTGTGTAGCTGAGCATTAAGGCAGTCTGCATTTTTTAAATTTTTACTTATTTATTTCTTGAAAGGTATTCACTGCTTGATTGTAAAAAAACCCACCTCAGCTGACACGCAAAAGCGTCTCTTTAAAGCCACTGCCTATTTTAAGGTGCCTCTTCAACCCGGCCTTTGGCTGATTAATATTCTGCAGCTTGTGGGGAGGGGGGTTATTGTTTTGCTGTTTTGTTTTACTTATTTACTTGTTTTTATCCTGCATTTTCTTTTGTGAACCCCCCGAGATCTTGCGCTGAAGGGCATTATATAAACCTAATAAACAAACGAATGAGAAAACATTCAAAAGGCAAACTCAGCAATAAATTAAGGACAGACTAAAACGGACAGCATCATTCTACATATCCGGGAGGGCTGATCTAAGCAGAAATGTTTTAAGGAGGCGCTGAAAAGAGTACAGGGAAATTGCTTGCCTGGTGTCCAGTGGCAGGGAGTTCCGCATCTCCAGGGCCTTGTCTTGCGTTTGGAATTTTGCCCCCGACCCCAAATAAAACAGCAGAACAACTTGGGTGCTCTTGCAGGAGGTGTGTGGCCTTCCCAGGGCCGGGGGGAGGGATCCCTTTCTGCAAAGAGGGTTTGGGCTCCTCGGGGCGCGCAGGCAAACGGCTCCCGGCTCTCTGTCCCCAGGAAGGCCAGCAGCTGATCGCGGAGAAGCCGGAGCTGGCCGAGACGGTGAAGAAGAAGCTGGGCGAGATCCGCCTGTGCTGGGCCGAGCTGGAGTCCACCACCCAGGCCAAAGCGCGGCAGCTGCTGGAGGCCACCAAGGCCGAGCACCTGGTCCAGAGCTACGCCGACCTCGACAAGCGGCTCCTCTGCATGGAGGGCCAGCTGCACCTGGTGGACTCCGGACCGGACCTGGCCAGCGTCAACAGCAACCTCAAGAAGCTCCAGGTGGGTCCCGGGGGGTGGGGGTCTGGGGGGGCCACGAGGCTGGCAAGTTGGGGTGGGGCTGTGGGAAGAAGCAGGGGTTTCTGGGGGGCTGGCACGGACCCCCCTGGATGGGGTGGGGAGCAGATTGCCCTCTCCGGCGAAGCACACATAATACTGGCTGTGCAGCTGTGACTCTGGGGGGGGGTCTGCAGGCATCTGCTGTCGGCTCGTGAGCCCCCCATCACCAGCAAGAGTCAGGCTTACCTCCCCAGCGAACCCTTCCATACCACCCCTGCTTTCTAGAGGGGCACTGGGAAGGATGGGGGTTGTCTTGCAGAGCAGCCAGGCCAAGCCAGACCCCCAGCCATAAGAGGAACCTGCTGGATCAGGCCAAGTGGCCCATCTAATCCAGCAGTGGCCAAATACCTTGAAGAATCAAGATAGACTGCCTCTGGATCTGGAGGCTCCATCAGAACCTGAGTGCCTGGCTGCTGGATCAGGGCAGTGGGCCCACCTAGTCCAGCATCCTGACCTCACAGTGGCTGACCTGGGAAACCTTTGAGCAGGATCCGAGCCCCAGAGCAGCCCTCTCCCCTCCTGTGGCTTCCAGCAACAGGGATTCCGAAGCATGGCTGCCGCCACCATTTCATCTCCGCACCTCCGTCTCCCTGCATCTCTTGAACCCGCAGTGCTGGACAAACGTCGCCTGCCAGGGATCCCTTCCGGGCCCAGGGAGATGCGTGATGCCCCGGCCGTGGGCTTGGGCCTCCTTGTGTGCTGCCTCCATGACCGGGGCCAGAGTTGGGTCCTGCCCGCCTCGCTGTCCCCTTTGGGGACGCTGTGCTCACGGGGGAGACCAGCTGGGCCTGGGAGCTGGACCACTGCAGCTCACATCCCTTCCCTTCCTCGTCTGAAAAGTTGTAACTCGTCTTTCCTGGGGGAAACAGTCCAAGGAGGCTCCCGAGATAGAAGAAGGAAGCCATAAAATCCAAGTTAACAAGAACAATAAAACCCCGACTCCCCAAACGCATAACAACAACGAGACAGAAATAGGCTCTGTAAACACGGCAGGCAGAAATTGTAGCAGCCCCAACGCAAGTCGGGCATCTGCTCAAATCCTGGCACAGTCTGTGCTCTGTCCAGAGGCAGCTCTGGCAAGCTCAATCTTGGCCATTGGCAGGTGAGGCGAACCTTCCCCAAAGGGGTGGCGTTTCAGAGCCCGGGTTTGACCACAAAGGGGCTCCCTCCCCATTCCCGACAAGGTGGGCTTTGCGATAGATGGCCCCTGACTGATGGCTTTGGCAAGCGTGCAGGTTGACGTGGGAGACAGCAGTTTGGCGCAGTGGTTTGAGGGCTGGGACCTGGGAGAGACCAGGGTTTGAATCGCCACTTGGCTGTGAAGCTCACTGGGTGGCCTTGGGCCAGTCGCTGCCTCTCTCGGCCTTCGCCCGCCTCACAGGGTTGTTGTGGGGATCAAATGAGGAGGAGGAGGACCAAGGATAGGCCCCCTTGAATCAGCTGAAGTTCCTGAACCCCTTTTTAAAGGCAGCCCCACACAGAGTGCATTGCGGTAGTCCAGAGGGGAAGCAAGAACAGCCTGCCATCTGTGGAGGGTTAGAGCAGCACCTCCGGAAATAATAATAATAATAATAAATAATAATAATAATAAATTTTATTTATATCCCGCCCTCCCCAGCCGAAGCTGGGCTCAGGGCGGCTAACAACAATCAAAATAGTCCGACATTCTAAAAACATTCATTATAAAATTAATTAAATCAAATTAAAATCAAATTAATGGCAACCATCAAGCAAAATTCTGTACAGAATGCCGATTGCCAGAGGAGGGGGTCAGGCTGCGCCCTGACCAAAGGCCTGGTGGAACAGCTCTGTCTTGCAGGCCCTGCGGAAGGATGTCAGGTCCCGCAGGGCCCTAGTCTCTTGTGACAGAGCGTTCCACCAGATTGGAGCCGCAGCCGAAAAAGCCCTGGCTCTAGTTGAGGCCAGCCTAACCTCTCTGTGGCCTGGGATCTTTAGGATGTTTTTATTTGCAGACCGTAAATTTCTCTGTGGGACATACCAGGAGAGGCGGTCCCGTAGGTACGAGGGTCCTAGGCCGTATAGGGCTTTAAAGGTTAAAACCAGCACCTTGAACCTGATCCTGTACTCCACCGGGAGCCAGTGCAGCTGGTATAATGGATATGATCTCGTAGCGAGGACCCCATAAGGAGTCTCGCCACGGCATTCTGCACCCGCTGGAGTTTCTGGGTCAGTCTCAAGGGCAGCCCCACGTAGAGCGAGTTACAATAATCCAGTCTGGAGGTGACCGTCGCGTGGATCACAGTGGCTAGGTCAGGGCGAGAGAGATAAGGGGCCAACTGCTTAGCTTGGCGGAGATGGAAAAAATGCCGCCTTTGTTATAGCTGTAATCTGCGCCTCCATAGAGAGGGAGGTATCGAAGATTACACCCAAACTCTTAACGGACGGTGTTGGCACTAATTGCACCCCCGCAAGAGATGGGAGTTGCCCCCCCAATCCCATATCGCCCCGTCCCAGCCAGAGGACCTCTGTCTTCGAAGGATTCAACTTCAACCGGCTCCCACGTAACCATCCAGCCACAGCTTCCAGACATCTGGTCAGTGTATCTGGGGCCGAGTCAGGATGGCCATCCATCAACAGATAGAGTTGGGTGTCATCAGCATACTGATGGCAACCCAGCCCAAAACTCCGGACAAGCTGGGCGAGGGGGCGCATAAAGATGTTAAAAAGCATCGGGGAGAGTATCGCACCCTGAGGCACTCCACACACCAAGGAGTGGCGCGATGACAATTCCCCCCCAAGCGCCACCCTCTGTCCCCGACCAGAGAGAAACGAGCGCAGCCATTGAAGGACACTGCCCTGGATCCCCACGTCGGCAAGGCGGTGGTCCAGGAGTTCGTGATCGACCATGTCGAAGGCTGCTGACAGGTCTAGAAGAATCAGCAGCCCCGACCCGCCTCGATCCAGCTGCCTGCGGAGATCATCTGTTAGGGCGACCAGAGCCATCTCGGTCCCATGACCAGCGCGGAAGCCGGACTGGAATGGATCGAATGGAAAAGAGAAGTCCTGGGGGCCCTGATTCCAGAAGTACCCCCAGACTACAGACCTGCATCCTTAGGGGGGGCAGCAACCCCATCAGTCACAGGTTGGGTCTCCAGTCCTGGAGCAGCTCTGCCTTCTCCAGATTCAGGCCCACTGTGTTTGCTCTGCTCCATTATGCAGTGGTACATTGGTTCTCAAATTTAATCCGTTCTGGAAGTCCGTTCCTAAACCAAAGCATTCCAAAACCAAGGCGCGCTTTCCCATAGAAAGTCATGCAAAATGGATTAATCCATTCCAGACTTAAAAACAACCCCTGAGACAGCAATTGAACATGGATCTACTGGGACCATTGATCCATAAAATGAAAGCAATAATGTACGATACTATACAATAAATAAGACAGTATGGTAGATGATCAAAATTAAAATTTATTTTTCTTCTTACCTGCACTGATGGTAGTCCTTGTTTGGCTGGGGGGCTTTTATCCATTTCTGCAGTCACACAACCAATCAATCAGTAGCTGAACTGGGTTCCACACAGGCACAAAAACAAATCAACTGAAAAAGCCTCAGAAACAAAAACTCAAAATAAAGAGCAAAAACAAAAGTGCCAAAGTGAATCCTCTCCAGAAGTCCGTTTGACTTCTGAAATGTTTGAAAACCAAGGCGTAGCTTCTGATTGGTGCAGGCGGGGAGACCAGGTATGCTGCCTTGACCTCCTTGGAGGAACAGCTGGGATAGAACTGCAATGAAGTCAGAGACCCAAGCAGTTGGGGGGGCAGATGGAGTGGGTGCCCCTCGGGGGCGCAGGGGTGCTGCTTTCCCCTGGGGCCATGGGGGCCTGGGCCTTGCTTCCCCCTCCTCCCCCTGGGAGCCACGCGCCATCTGGGGAGGGTGAGGGGCAGCCCAGCTCCCCGGGGATGCAAGAGCTCCGGCAAGAGGTGGGCTGGCTGGCCGGCCAGCCGCCTCCCCCCTCACACCAACCTCTCCCTTTTCCCTCCCCAGCAGCCCCCGGCAGTGCAGAGGCGGCCATTGCTCATCACATCCTAGTGTGCGATTTGTCTCATCACGCTGCATGGCGGTACAGTAGCCCTTTTCTTTGACTCCATCTGTCTCGCCTTTTTTGCATTTCTGCTTTCCTTCCCCCCCCCCCCGACCCCCGTTTTCCAAAGGAGATGATGGAATGGGAGGGGACGGACGGACAGACGCAGAGACCCCTCCCCATCTCCTTCCCCCTCGTTTCTCCTCCATCTGCTTTCTTCTGTTTCTCATGTTTCCCATGAACTTTTGCCAGCTGCCAAGAATCGCTCGCCTGCCTGCCTGCTCCCTCCATGGCGCCAAGCCCCCTTCCCAACACGCTGCGCTTGGTAGTCTGGGCTCCGGGGGGGGGCACTGGGAGCAGGGGGGGCAGAGGGACGGGCACCTCAGGACGGCGGCCAGAGGCTCCCCTGGTGAGTGGGTGCCAGGGGCAAAGGCTCTTGGAGGTTGCCAGGCCCCCATCTATACCACTCTTCCACACACACCCCAAGCATGTGGGTCAGCCATTGTTCAGCAAATGCACCTGCAATGGCCCTGATCCTGCCGCTGTGGAGACAGGGGAGTGTGGAGGTCCAGGTTGCTCCGTAGGTGTAGGACAGGACAGCCACAGGCGTCCGTAGTCGTTCTCCGGGCATCTGATTTTAGGGGCCCTGAGATGAGCAGATTCCTGAGGGTGCTCAAGACCTTGTCTGCCCCACGGCTCCCAGGGAGGAGGGGTGATGCTGACAGCAAGTCAGGCTGCCTTGGGCTGGGAGAGAATGGTGTGCAGTCCTCCCATTCTGAGCATGCAGACAGGAGCCGGGGGCAGCGTCCGCCATGGCGAGAGAGACCCAGCCCCATGGAAAGGGACCCAGCAGAGAGCTGGGAGGAGACGGGGCCGTCCGGTTCATGGCCGGTGTTTCCCCTCCTGCCTTGTGCCCGCACTTGCCTCTTCCTGGGCTTCCTGGGTGGGTGGCCCCCCTGCCCCCCTGCTGGCGGAGCCCCTCCTGGCCCGGCCCAGCCCCTCCTCCTCTTCCTCTTCCTCCTCTCTGTCTTGCAGACGATGGAGACGCAGGTGGAGGAATGGTACAAGGAGGTGGGCGAGCTGCAGGCCCAGGTGGCCGCCCTGCCCTTGGAGGCGGCCAGCAAGGAGATGGTGGACGAGCGGCAGAACGCCGTGGGCACCCGCATCGTGCGCCTCATCGAGCCCCTCAAGGAGCGCCGGAGGATCCTGCTGGCCTCCAAGGAAGTTCACCAAGTCAGCCACGACCTGGAGGACGAGATCGTAAGTGGGGCGCGGAGGAGGGAAGGGGGGGGGAATCTGAAACCAGGCCCTCAGAAGGGAGCACTTCCGATTGTGGGAATGTTCAGGGAGGCAGGAGAGGATAGATTGTTCATTAATATCCTTCCTAACCTACTCTAGCAAGTTGCCTTACTTAGCATAGTTTTACATTCCCCTTTTAAACACACAGCGGGTAGCTGGTTGCAGGCTTGTGTAAGCCTCTCACTATTACGTCCCTGGTAATTTCCCTTATATCCCTCTTAAAAGAATAAGCATGCCACAATCTTATGTAAAGTATATAAAAGAAGTTTACTCACATCATCAGTTCACAGTTGGATCCTTGAAGGCAGACTTAGTTACAAAGGATATACATGTGGATCTATCCCATATGGCGATAATCCCAGTGTCCTCTGGTGGCTAGAGCATCTCTTTGGTTACCTGGACAGGTAGGGTCACTCCCACTTCTAGTCACATGCAAGAGGAAGGATGCTCCAGGCCAGGAGGAAACAGGAAGTTTTTGATTGGTGGTCCAAACATCCCCTTGCATGTCTACTCTAGGAAAACAAGGAATGTTGTACTTGACTGCTAATTATGTATCGCATCCCACACTGATTGCTAGAAAGGCACGCAGAGAGAGGAAGCTAGATCTCGCAGGGTCTACAGAAAATCCTCCTTGTGAGGGCCACTCGTGTCCAGACAGGTAAAGGGGCACAAGCGTCCTGGCCTGCTCTCTCTGTGATCCCTGCTATGTGATCTCTTCTCTGCATGCTTCATCAATGACCAGGGATGAAGGACATTTGCGGAGTCTGAGTTTCCACTCCAATCCTATTCTAAACTACAGTGGACGCTCGGGTTGCGAACGTGATCCGTGCGGGAGGCATGTTTGCAACCCGCAGTGCCGCGTCTGCGCACGCATGGGTCACGATTCAGTGCTTCTGTGCATGCGCAAACGCCAAAACCCAGAAGTAGCCTGTTCTGGTACTTCTGGGTTCGGCGTGGTGCGCAACCCGAAAACGCGCAACCTGAAGTGTCTGTAACCCGAGGTATGACTGTATGTATCATATACTGTATTTTTCTGTGTATAAGAGGAGGTTTTTTATAAAATATCATGGTGAAATTTGGGGCTCGTCTTATACACGGGTGGTGCATTGGGGGGCGTTATATGTTGCTTCCTGGAGCCAGAGAGTGTCTGCAGCTATTGGGCGTGTTATTGGTTGCTGCGGCAAAGGCTGGGCTTGATTGGCAGTCACTGCGGCAATTGGGCGGGCGATTGGCGGCTTCTTCTGGCGAGGGGACATTGGACTGCAGGCGTTTGCTCAACAACTCTGGGCATTTCCCCCCATTTTCTTTATTTGGAACCCCCCAAAATAGGGAGTGTCTTATACACGGGGGGGGTCTTATACACAGAAAAATACAGTGTGTGTTTATTAAAAGGGGGAAATACCAGGAAATCCCGTCTTCAGTGAAGCATCCTGGATTACTTAATCTAACTTATCGACAGCCTTCTTACTTTCCTGCAAAGGGGATGTGCTCTGCTGAACTCACAGATGTGAGTAAGGAGGGATAATATCTAAGAATATATCCTCTCCTAGTTTCTATACACATCCCTGCCGGGAGGGGCGGCCCCAAGCGCATTGGGGCTCACAGCCTTTGGGGTTGGGGGCAAAGTCTGCTTCCTGGGGGCTTTGGAGGTCAGGCTCGTCTGATGGAGGTTGCAGAAGTCACAGTGACGCCACCAAACCAGAAGCATGGATCACGAGGGACAGTGGCCTTTGTGAGGACTGCCTAGGAGCACAGTCTGGCCGCATCTTCCACGGGGTTTGGGTTCCAAGGATTCCGCAAATATCACATATACCCCCAAACCTTTTATTTTTCAATAAAAGTTGTTTATTGTAGGAAATGCATAACTCGGATGTGGGAATGTTCAGGGTGGCAGGAGAGGTTATATTGTTTATTAATATCCTTCCTAACTTGTGCTAGCAAGTTCCTTTACTTAGCAGAGTGCATTCCCCTTTACACAGCAGATAGCTGGTTGCAGGCTCGTGTGAGCCTCTCACTATTATACAATTCAGTCTCCGATTGAATTGCATGTTCCTGGTAAGTTCCCTTGAATCCCTCTTAAAGGAATAAAGACGCCACAATCTTATTCAAAGTCAATAAAAGAAGTTTACTCACATCAGTTCACAGCTGGATTCCTGAAGGCAGACTTAGTTACAAATATGTACCTGTGGATCTACCCCATATTGAGGAATGATCCCAGTGCCTCTGCTAGCTGAGAGCCCGTCTTGGCTAAAAGCTGGTCAAACGAAGAAGGAATTTTGAAGAGCCGTTGGTTGTAAGGTGTCTTTGGGGGAGCGATGAGTCCCCCCCCAAAAATGTGATGGGTCCTCTTTCCACCTGTGCTTTGGCCCCGATTCCAAGGGGGGCTGTCCCTCTTCCACCATTAGGAATTTTACTCACGTGGGGGGCACTTTTGTTTTCCTCCCCCACCCGCTTCTAGATCTGGGTGCAGGACCGGCTTCCCTTGGCCACGTTGAAGGATCACGGGAGCAACTTGCAAACGGTCCAGCAGTTCATCAAGAAGAACCAGGTGTGAAGAGGAAGCCGTGGGGGGGGGCAGAGTGTGTGGGAGGTGCTGGGGAGCCCCAGGACAAGGGGGAAGAACAATGGGGGGAGCCTGTTTTGCCCTGGATTCAGAAAAGCAGAGGCTGGTGGCCTAGGAGAGCCCTGAACTCAGAGCGGCCGCCACCATCTGAACAGTTCCTTCTGGGCCATATAGAGACAGTGTGGTGTAGTGGTTAGAGCAGTGCCAGATTTACATATAAACTGAACAAGCTCTAGCTTAGGGCCCCACTCTCTTGGGGCCCCCAAAAAAATTAATGGGGAAAAACTGGATGTACATTTCCAAAATATAAGATAAAAAACAAATAAAATAAAACCTACATCCAGCAAGAGTGTTTTGTGTTGTGTAGGTGCCTATGATGTAAGTCCTGGGCCTCGCCTGCTCGCCTGCCCCCTAAAATATCCCTGCTTTGCTGCTTTCTATATATAGAGTGCCGACATTCTGCATGGACTGCTTGCAGGGCAACATGGGCAAAGGGCTTGAGATACCTATTCAGTCCATAAATTACCATCTAGCATCTATTCAACACAAAAAACAGTGACAATTTGTTGTCTACAAAGTACAGCTGGACATGGAAAGGGCCCCATTACCTTCAGGAGCTGAGGGCCTCATCAAACCTCAACCTGGCCCTGGGTTAGAGAGTCGGATTAGGAGACCCGGGATCAAATCCTCCCCTTGGCCATGACCTTGGGGGCCGGTCACTTACTCTCAGCCCAGCCCACCTCACTGGGAGGTTGTTGTGGGGATTAAATGACGAAGGGGGAAGAGCCCGAAAGCCACCTTGAGCTCCTTGGAGGACCAGCGGGGTGCCGGTGTAAACATTAAAAACCCTTGATAATAATAATTTGGAAGCCTCTCCCTCTTCCCGGTCGCCAGAACCTCCGCCGAGAGATCCAGGTGCACAAGCCCCGCATGGACGACGTCCTGGAGCGCGCCAGGAGCATCGCCACCATCAAGACCCCTGAGGTGGACCCCGTGCGGCTGCTGCTGGAGAAGCTCTCGGAGATGTGGGGCGCCCTCCAGGAGGAGACCGAGCAGCGCCAGCACCTGCTGGACGCCACCTACCAGGTGGAACAGTTCTACTTTGACGTGGCCGAGGTGGAGGCCTGGCTGAGCGAGCAGGAGCTCTTCATGATGAACGAGGAAAAGGGCAAGGTGGGGAGAGGGGCCTGGGGACCCCCACATTTTGGGCCGGGGGGGAGAGGCGGGCAGCTTGTCGGAAGGTGTTGGGCAGGTCGAGTCCCCATCCCTTGGTCCGGGACGGGAGAAATTCACAGGGGAGAAGACTCAGCTCTGCCTCTGTGGCTTTGGGAAGGAGGGTTGTGTGGGAATGTTCAGGGAGGCAGGAGAGGATAGATTGTTTGTTACTATCCTTCCCAACTTGCGCTAGAAAGTTCCATAACTTAGCAGTGTTTTAAACATTCCCCTTTAAACACACAGTGGGTAGCTGGTTGCAGGCTTGTGTAAGTTTCTCAATATAGGTTCCTGGCAAGATCTCTTATTTCCCTCTTAAAAGAATAAACACGCTACAATCTTATTTAAGATATAGTGGACGCTTGGGTTGCGAACGTGATCCATGCGGAATGCACGTTCGCAACCCACAGTGTTTGCAACCTGCAGTGGCACGTCTGTGCATTCTGCACATGCGCAAAGCACGATTTAGTGCTTCTGCGCATGCACGACCACCAAAACCTGGAAGTAACCCGTTCCAGTACTTCCGAGTTTCAGCGGGTGCGTAACCCAAAAAAACGGAACCTGAAGCAGCTGTAACCTGAGGTATGACAGTATATAAAAGTAGTTTACTCACAGCATCATCAGTTCACAGATGGATCCCTGAAGGCAGACTTACAGAAGTACAGTGGACTCTCTAGTTACATATCGCTCTGGATACGTAACTTTCAGGTTACGAACGCGGCAAAACCGGAAGAGTATACTTCCAGGTTTCGCCATGCGCACATGCGCAGAAACGCTCAATCACGCCGCGTACATGCACAGAAGCAGTGTCTCTGCCTATGGACTTTTTGGGTTGCGGATGGACCCCCGGAACGAATTTAATTCATATCTGGAGGGTCCACTGTATATACATGTGAGTCTAACCCATATGGAGATGGTCTCCTTGAAAAGCCAACAGAGCATCTCTAGCCAAAAAAAGAGAGAGCTGTTGCTCCAACAACAAAGTCCAAAAGAGAGGAGAGAGTGTGCTGCGTGCCTCCTCCTTTTGTTACCTGCACAGGTAAAGCCACGCCCACCTCTAGTCACATGCAAGAGGAAGGATGCTCCAGGCCAGGAGGAAACAGGAATTTTTCGACTGGCTGGTCCAAACATCCCCTTGCATGTCCACTCTAGGAAACCAAGGAATGTTGTACTTGACTGCTATTTATGAATCACATCCCACAGTTTGCTCTGGGGCTCGAATCCTGCTTACAAGTTTCCCACGGGGAGGTCTGTGCAACCAGGATGTTGCGCTCTAGGTCCCCCTTTGGCCTGGTGCAGCATCCGGGCTCTTCTGATGGAACCTCCAGCCCCAGAGGCAGTCTATCTGGATTCCTCGGTCCTTAAGGATCTCAGGCCACTGTGAGAAGAGGAGGCTGGGCTGGCTGGGCTCCCCTCTGGCTCTCCCGGTGTCCTTATGCCCCCTCCTCTGTCCTCACAGGACGAACAGAGCACCCTCCAGCTCCTGAAGAAACACCTGATGATGGAACAGACGGTCGAGAACTACGCCGAGACCATCGCTCAGCTGTCGCGACAGTGCCGGGCGCTGCTGGAGCTGGGGCACCCGGACAGGTAGGCTGGCTGTCGTCCCCCACCTCCTTCCCTGCCCCCTTCTAAGCCCACCCCACTTGGCCCTAGCCCTCTCCCCACTAGGGCTGAGCAATATAGTGAGATACCCTGGTTTGAAGTCCATATCATGATACAGTGGTCCCTTGGTTCTCAAACTTCATCTGTTCCGGAAGTCCGTTCCAAAACCAAAGCATTCCAAAACCGAGGCGTGCTTTCCCATAGGAAGTAATGCAAAATGGATTAATCCGTTCCAGACTTTTAAAAACAACCCCTAAAACAGCAATTGAACATGAATTTTACTATCTAATGAGACCATAGATCCATAAAATGAAAGCAATAATCAATGTACTGTACTATAAAATAAAGAAGACAGTACTGTAGATGATAAAAATGAAAATGGATTTTTTTCCTTACCTGCACTGATGATAGTCATTGTTTGGATGGGGGGCTTTTATCCATTTCCGCAGTCACACAATCAATCAATCAATCAATCAATCAGTAGCTGGACTGGGTTCCACACGGTCACAAAATCAAATGAACTGAAAAAGCCTTGAAAGCAAAAACACAAAAGAAAGAGCAAAAACAAAAGCGCCAAACTTAATCTGTTCCAGAAGTCTCTTTGACTTCCGAAATGTTCAGAAACCAAGGTGCAGCTTCTGATTGGTGCAGGTGCCCCAGAAACAATAGCTGACAGCCTCCGTGGACGTTCGGTTTATGAAAATTGTTCAAAAAGCAGAACACTCACTTCCGGGTTCTCGGCGTTTGGGAACCAAGGCACCACTGTATCGGCCTATTGCGATGTTTAGCTGGTGGTGTATCACCATGTTGGAAAGCGGCTGTCGCCCGGCCCCTGGTGCCCTCCCCTCTGACGGTCTTTTTTTCCCCCGGCAGCGAGCAGATCAGCCGGCGCCAGTCGCAAGTGGACCGCCTCTACGTCTCCCTGAAGGACCTGGTGGAGGAGCGCAAGGCCCGGCTGGAGCAGCAGTACTGGCTCTACCAGCTGAGCCGCGAGGTGGACGAGCTGGAGCACTGGATCGCCGAGAAGGAGGTGGTGGCCGGGTCCCCGGAGCTGGGCCAGGACTACGAACACGTCACGGTGAGACGGGGGGGGGGCTGCCTCCTTCACACCTGATTCGTATGCATCCCTTTCGGGAGAAAGTATTCGCCGCTTGATTGCAAAAACAAAGAGACAGACCTCAAAGCGGTTCACAAGAGCAGTTTCAGTTTTCTTTATACAGGCCTTAGGAAATGTCTTCAATATTCATATATGCAGAAGCAATGCACACAGGTTAATACATTAGCAGGATTCTAGAACTACTTGGAATTACATGATGAATGGATTATAAGTCATTCCAATGGTTCTTTAGTTTACGGTGGACGTGCAGTATGTTGACACATGATGGAACCAAGGAAGGGACTAGGGAGAAGTCAGCTTTTCTGGTTTCGGTTATGAATTTGTAATGTTATTGTTTTATTTTTGTTATTTTTGGGAAAATCAATAAAATATTATAAAAATATGTTTATGAAATGTCTTCAATATTTAAACATTTCTTTATCTATTTTTGGTTGATTTGTTGCAGATTTATAGCCAGCCAGATGGGCAGGGCATAAATAATTACATATGATATGATATGATATGATATTACATTACATTACATTACATTATATTATATTATATTATATTATATTATATTATATTATATTATATTATATTATATTATATTATATTATATTATATTATATTATATTATATTCTTACGGACAGAGAAGCAAAGGAAGATATGTAAAAATTAAGGGTTGTGTTCAGCTAACTTTTCTTCAGAGCAGACCCATTGAGACCAATGGCCATGACTCACTTAGGTCCATTCATTTCCATGGGTGCAATTTCAGCAAAAGTTAGTTGACTGCAACTCTCTATGTTGTCTATGTCTTGCTATTGTTATTATTTTTCAAAAGCCCTGTGCTTTTGCTCAGCTGCAGTGAGCATGTACAGAGTGCCGTTCTCTTTCAGCTCTGCTCCGCTGGCAGCATCCGCTGGCAGCATCTCAGGGACAGAGTCCTTGCAGTTTCTCTGTCTAGTCCCCCCCCCCATGTTCTTTTTAAAATGTTATTAGTTTTACAGTTTAATATTCCACACATCAATCATATAAAGGAAAAATAATAAAATAATTCAAATATCCCCCCATCCTATGATTTCCCTCAACTTCTCCTTCTGGTTCATTACATGTTTGTTACTTCTGCTTAATTTATTTTCTCCCATTTTGTTAATCTTTTAATTAAATGCTCTTATGTTCTTATCACTTATTTGTACCATATTTTTCTTTCCAATTATATCTGACACTTAATTAGTTTCCAACCTGTTCTTTCTTCATCTTTACATTTCTTTTCTTAACTGCAAGTGTTTCCTCAAATCCTGCTAATGAGTCCATTTCTTTACAGTATTTCTGTAGATACAGCATGAACAGTTCCCAATCTTTTTTTAATGTCTCTGTTACCATTGTCACTTGAGTCTTCCTGTGAGTTTCGTCATTTCTACGTATTCCATAAGTTTGACTTGCTGTTAGGGCAGTTCATAAAAAACTTTTTTTTGAAAATGCCTGCTCCAGAGGTCTTATCTTACTACACTAGGGATTATATAGCTATATCTGAAATTTCATGCATATCAGTTAATATCTTGACCCTCCTCCACTGAATTGAAATTTCAGCCTTCACAACATAGGAAAACGGCCAAGTAAACAGCTATTTTCAAGGAGGAGGGTCAAGATATTAACTGATATGCATGAGATTTCAGATATAGCTATATAATCCCTAGTGTAGTAAGATAAGACCTTTGGAGCAGGCATTTTTTTTTTTGAAAAGTTTTTTATGAACCGCCCTACTTGCTATTCTTCTTTCGTTGGTATCTTGAATTTTATTGACATTGATGCTGCATTTTATGCTGTTTTTAAGTCGCATTTTAATCAATGTTTTATATTTGCTGTTGGCCGCTCTGGGCCCAGTTTTTAAAGCAGGAAGGGCGGGGTATAAATAAAAAATTATTATTATTATCATCATCATCATCTTGTCCTCTTTCCATTTTGGGGCTAGTAAAATCCTAGCCGCCGTTGTACCGTACCACTTTCCGCTTCCCTGCAGCTGCTGCAGGAGAAGTTCACGGAGTTTGCCAGCGAGACGGGCAGCGTGGGGAACGAGCGGATCTCGGCCGTCAACCAGATGGTGGATGAGCTGATTGACTACGGCCACGCCGACGCCGCCACCATCGCCGAGTGGAAGGACGGGGTGAACGAGGCCTGGGCCGACCTGCTGGAGCTGATGGAGACGCGGGCGCAGATGCTGGCCGCCTCCCACGAGCTCCACAAGTTCTTCAGCGACTGCAAGGAGGTCCTCTCCCAGATCGAGGAGAAGAAGCAGCGCTTGCCGGAGGTGACGGCTCGCGAGTCCAAGACCTCGGCCGGAACCCTCCAGAGGATGCTCAGCTCCTTCGAGCACGACGTGCAGGTCCTGGTGACACAGGTGAGGCAGAGTGTGTGTGTGTGAGGTGTGTAATCCTGTTGTTGTTTAGTCATGTCCGCCTGTTTGTGACCCCCTGGACCAGAGCACGCCAGGCCCTCCTGTCTTCCACTGCCTCCCGCAGTTTGGCCAAACTCATGCTGGTAGCTTCGAGAACACTGTCCCACCATCTCGTCCTCCGTCGTCCCCTTCTCCTTGTTCCCTCCATCTTTCCCAGCATCAGGGTCTTTTCCAGGGAGTCTTCTTTTCTCAAAGTATTGGAGCCTCAGCTTCAGGATCTGTCCTTCCAGTGAGCACTCAGGGCTGATTTCCTTCAGAATGGAGAGGTTTGATCTTCTTGCAGTCCATGGGACTCTCAAGAGTCTCCTCCAGCACCAGAATTCAAAAGCATCCATTCTTCGGTGATCAGCGTTCTTTATGGTCCAGCTCTCACTTCCATACATCACTAATTCACATCCTACATTTATTTATTCATTTTGTTTATAACATTTTTTATTAGTTTTACATTGTGTAACATCAAATCTTCTTTTTAAACCTCTTTGGCTCAAACTGAGCCTATTGACTTCTCTCCCTCCCATCTAGTGTTATACAAACTTAAATTCTGCATCTTTGCATTTCACTTCCTTTCCTGTTTTTGATATATCTTTTTTTAAAAAAATGATATTTATTACTTTTCAAACAATTTCAACACAACATTACACAAAAAAAGAAAGAAGAAAAAAGAAAAAAGGACAATACAAATACAATACAAAAACACTACATACAAAGCAAAACAAAAAAACAAAAACAATTTAAAATCACCTCAAACATTTTCAACATCCCATCTTTCATTCGCTTATTTCCACGACCTCCTCACACCTCCCTTTTTGTATTCCACTTCTATTTATTATTTCAGCAATTCCTTTCCATCTTCCTTTGTTTTCTATCCTATAATTATCTTAACACATTCTTACCTTATTTTTTCCTTTAATTTCCTATTAATCTATTTATACTTAATTCCTTATAACATTTCTACTAAAGCCATATAACTTCATTCCAACATTCTTCTAACATTCATTAATTTTACCATATTTCTGTAAATAGTCTTTAAACTTTTTCCAGTCTTCTTCCCCCGACTCTTCTCCCTGGTCTCGGATCTTGCCAGTCATTTCTGCCAATTTCATATAGTCCATCAACTTCATCTGCCATTTATCTAGCACTTCAGTGCTTTCAAGAGGCAACCATTCTCTCAGCCAGCAAAAAGCAGATGGTTCACAACAAAGTTTAGGGGTCTGGCAGGGCAAGTCCACCTCCTTCTTTAGCATCCGTCAATATCTTAAATTTTACTCTTGGCTTCCTGCCCTGCCAGGCAAATCTAGAGACGTCCCTCTGCCACCTCCTGATACAATCCATCCCATCCAAAACTTGCAATGTTTGAAACAAAAGCAACATCCCCGACAACACAGCAACCCTCATCCCCACCACAGCAACTCGGGCCAACAATGACAACTTCAGATTTAACCATATTTCCAAATCCTCCTTCCCTTCAATCCAACGTCCTTCACAATTGTCCTTGAATAAATTCACATTTCTGGCAGTCATACTAACCCCCAAAAACCTCTCTTTCTCAACCAATATTAGTCCTGTCTCCTCCTGAACCTCTGTCAAGCTTTCCTTTTCCTCAGGTAGGGCTCTGATCTTCAAATTCATCTGTTTCTCTTTAAGTTCAATCATAACAAATGTCAGCTTATGTTCAGCAAGTTGTCCTTGTATGGAAGGGACTCTCTCTCTCCAATTGAATTGCTTCAAATTCAGCAGCAAGGGTTTTCTCCTTGGCTTCATCCGCAGTTTGCCGTATCAAAGTAGATTCCTATATCAATTTCTGGATGGTTTCTGTATTGGTATTCACCTTTTGTCCCAAATTATTTAAACTTTCTGCCATTAAGTCTATTTTAATATTTGCAGCATTTACTTTCACGTTCATCACATCTGCTTTCTTGTGAAGTTGTTCCAGCGAATTGTTTATTTTCACCAATACGGCCACTAAGGCCTCTTCTGTCGACATTCCGTCTATTTTTTCCTTTCCTTTTGCCATAACATTTAAGAGACTCAAGGTCAATCCCAGAGTCTCACACTTCTTTATCTGCAGCTGGAAATTCCCCTAGTCCTGCCCCTATGGAGCAACCAATTTCAAAAGCTTCCACTAGGGGAAACAGTTTCTATTTGTATTAGTCAGTACTGTCCTCTTTTAAACAATGTTCCACTAATCCAAAACAAAAAAATTCCTTCCAGTAGCACCTTAAAGACCAACTAAGTTAGTTCTTGGTATGAGCTTTCGTGTGCATGCACACTTCTTCAGATACACACTCTCACCATTGGAGGCAGCAATTATTCCGAATCCCAGTTGCTGGAATCCTCTGCGGTGGACGAGGCTGCTGCTCTTGGAATCTGCGGCTGCTGGTGGGTTTCCCTTTGGGTGTCTCCTTGGCCACCATGAGGCCGGGATGCTGGACCAGGCGGACCATTGGCCTGATCCAGAAGCTCTTCCTATATTGTTAACTTCACTATGACTCTGCTTTGAACAGTCCTGGCTTCCCTCAAAGAATTCTGGGAGCTGTAGTTTTCTACGGGCGCTGAGACTTCTTAGGAGACTCCTTTTCCCTCCCTCCTCTCCAAGCCATGCATGACAGTTCCTGGGACGCTTTGGGGGAAGCTCTGTCTGCTTAAAGCAGAAGAATTACACCTTAAATTCTCCCCCGCTCTGCCCTCCGCAGTTGGAGGCAGCAACGCTTGCAAATACCCGGAAGAGTGGGAAAGGTCTCCGGTGCTCGAATCCTGGGCACCTGGCTGGCCACTGGGAGAACAGGAGGCTGGGCCACCCTTGGCCTCATCCAGCATCCAGAGTCTTCTCATGTTCTGATGGAGCCTCCAAGCCCAGAGGCAGTCTATCTCGATTCCTAGGTTCTATGGGGGATTTGGCAGTGTGAGGACCGGATCCATTGGCCTGAACCAGCCCACTCCCCTTAGGAGACCCGCTCCTGCCCTGCTTCCTTCCCTCCCGGGGGCGCAGCGAGCCCCCTCTTGCCCCCTTAACCTCCCCCTGCTCCCCGCCAGGTGCGGCAGCTGCAGGAGGTGGCGGCTCAGCTGCGGACGGTCTACGCCGGGGAGAACGCGGAGGCCATTGCCACCAAGGAGCAGGAGGTGATGCGCTCCTGGAAGGAGTTGCTGGGGTCGTGCGAGGACTGCCGCCTCCAGATCACCACCACCACTGACAAGATCCGCTTCTCCAACATGGTGCGGGACCTCATCTCCTGGATGGACACTATCATCGCCCAGATCGGCACCGGAGAGAAGCCCAGGTAAGAAGGAGAAGGAGAAGAAGACGACAGTGGGCCCTTGGTTCTCAAACTGCATCCGTTCTGGAAGTTTGTTCCAAAACCAAAGCGTTCCAAAACCGAGGCGTGCTTTCCCATAGAAAGTCATGCAAAATGGATTAATCCATTACAGACTTTTAAAAACAACCCCTGAAGCAGCAATTTAATATGGATTTTACTATCTAAAGAGACCACTGATCCATAAAATGAAAGCAATAATCCATGTACTGTACTATAAAATAAACAAGACAGTATTGTAGATGATAAAAATTAACATGAATTTCTGACCCGGAACGCCGGCTCCCTCGGCCAATAAAGCGAGATGAGCGCCACAACCCCAGAGTCGGTCATGACTGGACCTAATGGTCAGGGGTCCCTTTGCCTTTACCTTTATTTTCCTTACCTGCACTGATGATGGTCCTTATTTGGATGGGGGGCTTTTATCCATTTCTGCCGTCACACAATCAATCAGTAGCTGAACCAGGTTCCACACATTCACAAAAACAAATCAACCGAAAAAGCCTCAGAAACAAAAATGCAAAATAAAGAGCAAAAACAAAAGTGCCAAACTGAATCCTCTCCAGAAGTCCATTTGACTTCTGAATGTTCGAAAACCAAGGCGCAGCTTCTGATTGGTGCAGGCAGGTGCCCCGGAAACAAAAGCCAACAGCCGCATCGGACATTCGGCTTCCGAAAAATGTTCGAAAACCGGAATGCTTACTTCCAGGTTGTTGGCGTTTAAGAACCAAGGCGTTTGAGAACCAAGGTACCACTGTAATAATAATAATAATTTATTATAAATACCCCACCAATCTGGCTGGGTATCCCCAGCCACTCTGGGTGGCTCCCATCGTCATCATCATCATGTGACAAAACATCAAACATTAAAAACTTCCCTAAACAGATGTCTTCTAAAAGTCAGATAGTTGTTTATCTCCTTGACATCTGGTGGGAGGGCGTTCCACGGGGCGGGCGCCACCACCAAGAAGGCGCTCTGCCTGGTTCCCTGTAACTTGGCTTCTCGCAGGGAGGGAACCGCCAGGAGCCCTCGGAGCTGGACCTCAGTGTCCGGGCTGGATGATGGGGGTGGAGATGCTCCTTCAGGTCTACTGGGCCATCCCACCAGCTCTCGGAGGGCAGCAGGGTGGAGCACAGCTTTGTGGGAGGCTGGGGGGGGGCATCTCCTCCCTGCTACCTCTTGCCTCCCACTGGACTGCCAGGCCCTGGCCTTTTCAACAGCTGGGGGTCATGTGCACCTCTGCTGACCCCAAGCTCCCCCAGGGAATGGTTGGAAGGTACCCCAAAGGACTTCTGGCCCAGTGCCCTGCCATGCAGGAATCAGATCCACCCCCCCCCAGGGGTGCCACCACCCACTTAGGGAACCTCTGACTTAGAGGCAGGCAACACGTCAAAGCCACCCCCAGTGCCGGATTTAGGTATAAGCTAAACAAGCTCTAGCTTAGGGCCCCACCCTCTTGGGGGCCCCAAGAAATGTAAAGGGGAAAAAATGGATGTGCATTTCCAAAATATAAGATAAAAAACAAATAAGATAAAACCTACATCCAGCAAGAGAGTTTTGTGTTGCGTTGGCTCCTGTGATGTAAGTCCTGGGCCCCGCCTGCTCGTCTGCCCCCTAAAATATCCCTGGTTTGCTCCTTTCTATATATAGGGACGTGGGTGGCGCTGTGGGTAAAAGCCTCAGCGCCTAGGGCTTGCCGATCGAAAGGTCGGCGGTTCGAATCCCCGCGGCGGGGTGCGCTCCCGTTGCTCGGTCCCAGCGCCTGCCAACCTAGCAGTTCGAAAGCACCTCCGGGTGCAAGTAGATAAATAGGGACCGCTTACTGGCAGGAAGGTAAACGGCGTTTCCGTGTGCGGCTCTGGCTCGCCAGAGCAGCGATGTCACGCTGGCCACGTGACCCGGAAGTGTCTCCGGACAGCGCTGGCCCCCGGCCTCTTGAGTGAGATGGGCGCACAACCCTAGAGTCTGTCAAGACTGGCCCGTACGGGCAGGGGTACCTTTACCTTTACTGTATATAGGGTGCTGGCATTCTGCATGGACTGGTTGCAGGGCAACATGGGCAAATGGCTTGAGATACCTATGAGGTCCATCAATTGCAATCTAGCATATATTCAACACAAAAGAACAGTGGCAATTTGTTGTTCACAAAGGACAGCTGGGCATATCAAGGGCCCCATTACCTTCAGGAGCCTCAATCTGGCCCTGGCCACTCTTGTGAGCAGGAGGGGGGGTGTATTCCCTCTCGCATCATCTCTGCCCCCTCTTCCCCCACAGGGACGTCTCCACCGTGGAAGTGCTGATGAACTACCACCAGGGCCTGAAGAGCGAGATCGAGACCCACAGCAAGAACATCGCCTCCTGCGTGGACCTGGGCAAGACGCTGGTGCTGAACAAGAGCCCCGCCTCCGAGGAGGTAGGCTCCACCCCATTTCTGTGGCCGGGAGAGAGGGGGGCCCACTGGGCAGTGGGGTAAGGGGGGGCGGCATCCTTCTCTCCTCTGCCGCACTCCAGGACCATGTTGCATGACGGAGAGGAAGGATCTTTTCTGAGGGAATGGGATTTTCGGGGGGGCTGGGAATTTGGGGGGGGGGCAGGCAAGGCCTGGGCAGAGACATGACCCTTTGTCCTCTTTCCACTTCAGATCAAGCTCCACCTGGAGAAGCTGATGACCAAGAAGAAGGAGATGGTGGAGAAATGGGACCGGCACTGGGAGTGGCTGCAGCAAAGTGAGTCCGGGTGCAACGCCAGCCCCTTCCCCCCCAAAAAAAAATATCCCCCTGAAAATCCACCCCACAAAACTGTTCCTCCTCTCACAGTTTGCTTTGTAGCCCCCCAGGGGAAAGTGGGGGGGCATCCCTTTCCCTTCCGACTCTCAGCCTCACATTTTTTGGGGGGAGGGAGTTAATTCCGATGTTTCTCTGTCATACTATTTATTTATTGACTGAAACATATGTACAGTGGTACAATGGAAGTCGAATGGAATCCGTTCCAGAAGTCTGTTCGACTTCCAAAATGTTCAGAAGCGAAGACACGGCTTCCGATTGGCTGCAGGAAGCTCCTGCAGCCAATCAGAAGCCACGGAAGTTGCATCGGACGTTCGGATTCCAAAGCCCAATAGCCCCCACGCATCAGCCTCGTGACCCCCACTCACGACCAATCTGGGTTTGAGGTACAGTGGTGCCGTGCAAGACGAAATTAATTCGTTCCGCAAGTCTCTTCGTCTTGTGAGTTTTTCGTCTTGCGATGCACGGTTTCCCATAGGAATGCATTGAAAATCAATTAATGCGTTCCTAGGGAAACCGCCTTCAGACCAGGTCCGGGGACAGTCTGTCCCCCGACCTCTTCTGAAGGCTGGGGGGGGAACAAGGGCTTTTCTTCCCACCCCCAGCATTTTAAAAAACCCCGGGACAGCGGAGGACTTCTCCGCTGTCCGGGGCGATCTTAAAATGCTGGCGGGCGGCATTTTAAAATCGCCCCGGGACAGCGGAGGACTTCTCCGCTGTCCGGGGCGATTTAAAAGCCCCTGGGAAGGCAGGCAGGGGGGACAAAGACTTTTGCCCCCCGTCCTGGACCTCTTCTGAAGGCGGGCGGGGGGCGAAAGTCTTTGCTCCCCCCGCCTGCCTTCAAAAGCCGTCCGGGACAGCCGTCCGGGACAGCGCTGCGTTTCTCCGCTCTCCCAGGAAGGCAGGCAGGGGGGAACAAAGACTTTCGCCCCCCGCCCGCCTTCAGAAGGTGTTCCCTCCCCGCCGCCCGGCTTCGGAGCATCGTTCCGAAGCCGGGCGGCGGGAGGAGGTGTTCCCGCCCCGCCGCCCGGCTTCGGAGCATCGTTCCGAAGCCGGGCGGCGGGGGCAGGTGTTCCCTCCCCGCCGCCGGGCTTCGGAGCATCGTTCCGAAGCCCGGCGGCGGCGGGAGGAGGTGTTCCCGCCCCACCGCCCGGCTTCGGAGGAGCCTTCCGAAGCCCGGCGGCGGCGGGAGGAGGTGTTCCCGCCCCGCCGCCAGGCTTTGGAGGAGGTCCGAGGACAGTGGGGAAGACGCGCTGCACTTCCCGCTGTCCCGGATATTTCCCTATGGGCTGTCGTCTTGCGAAGCAAGCCCATAGGGAAATTCGTCTTGCGAAGCGCCTCCAAAACGGAAAACCCTTTCGTCTAGTGGGTTTTCCATCTTGCGAGGCGTTCGTCTTGCGAGGTACCACTGTACTTGCAGCTGGCCGAGAATATCTGAGCCCCTCCTTTCAGCAGCTGCCCCGGCTGCCCGTCTTGTGCCCGGCCAGGTTCCAGCTTCTTGATTGGCAAAGCCCTGAGCTCTTTCCCTGTCTCCCCCCGCAGTGCTGGAGGTCCACCAGTTTGCCCAGGAGGCGGTGGTGGCCGACGCCTGGCTGACCGCGCAGGAGCCGCTGCTGAAGAGCCGGGAGCTGGGCAACAGCGTCGACGAGGTGGAGCAGCTGATCCGGCGCCACGAGGCCTTTCGCAAAGCGGCCGCGGCTTGGGAGGAGCGCTTCAGCTCCCTGCGGCGGCTCACCACGGTACGGGGGGCGGAGGGAGCGGGTGCGAATGTCGCCTTGGGGAAGGGGGAGGTTCTTAAGCAGAGATCAGATGACAAAAAACCAAACAGAGATATTTAGCCACTAGCTTGGTGAGCTCCTGATCATTCCCCAGTAATAGAAAATGTATGACCTCCGACTCTGGTTTCCAGTTGGGGATACAGAGTTGATCTAGAAATTGCTGGCGGAGATCAGCATATAGTTTACAATTAAGAACCAGATGTGGGAGGGTTTCCACCAGGTGGTCTTCACATGGGCAAGTTCTTTCTCCTTCCACCCTGCCTGAGAACCTTCCCCAAAGGAGGTTTGATGGAATTGAGTATATGTAAGATGTGTAATATGTGCATGCCAATAAATAAGAAGAAGAAGAACTCCCGAGTTTTCCCCAGCCTGACCCTCCTTTGTGCCCTGCCCCACAGATCGAGAAGCTGCGTGCCGAGCAGAGCAAGCAGCCCCCCACGCCTCTCCTGGGCCGCAAGGTCTTTGCCGACCCGGCGGAGCTGGGCCACAAGTCTCTCCTGCGCCAGCCCCTCCACGAGAAGGAGCTGCTGCTGCTTCGCGGCCGGGGGGAGGCCCAGGCCCTGGTCAACGGGCTGAAGCCGGAGACCCCCGAGCGCAGCGAGGCCAAGGTGGGCTACGTCCGCCACGAGCTGAAGCCAGAGCGCCTCCAGCCCAGGATCGACCGGCTACAGGAGGCGCCGGAGGCCAAAGGGCCCGGGGAGGGCAAGGCTGGCACCGCCGTGGAGGAAGACGCCCGCCGACTGGATGCGCGGCCGGAGGCGGCGGAGACCAAGGGGGGCGGGCGGGTGGAGGCGCACGTGGAGCGCCACCGGGAGCGCCATGAGCGGCGGCTGGAGCGCCAGGAGTCGGTGGAGCAGCAGGAGGCGCCCCCGGCGCGCCATGAACAGCCGGAGCGTCGTCGGGAGAGGCGGGAGCGGCGGCTGGAGCGGCAGGAGTCCAGCGAGCAGGAGGCGCCCCGACAGGCGGGCCGAGAGCGGCACGAGAGGCGGCTGGAGAGGCAGGAGTCCAGCGAGCAAGAGGCCCAGCGCAACGACCCCAAGGGAGGAGGGTGAGGAGCCGCCAAGGGGGGGGGGGAAGTAGGCAGGTCTGGGGGCCACAGAGGGAGAAAGCGCAGCTTGGTGCCCCCCAGCCAGACGCTCAGCTGAAAGCATTTGCTTAATTTGGGCAAGTGACCTTTAAATTAGGCCTTTAAGATGGGATGCAACATTGGGATAGCTGCACTACAGCGGGTTGGGCTAAATGGCCCCTTAAGGTCCCTTCCAACCCTACAATTTGATGATTCTGTGACCTAACAAGGCAGTGGAGTTTTTTAATGAAAGTCAGATAGCTAACTTCCAGATATTTTCCAGCTGTCATTCCTGTGGCGTTGCAGCAGGGGGCTGTTCTAGATGATTCCTGGGGTCCCCTTCCAGCTCTACAATTTGCAGCATTCAGGCTTGGGCAGCCCAGAAGGCAGCCCTGTTTAGGGAAGTTTTTAATATTTTGATTCTGTTTTTAATATTCAGTTGGGAGCCGCCCAGAGTGGCTGGGGAAACCCAGCCAGGTGGGTAGGGTATATAATACAATAGTCTGTTAAACATTAAAAGCTTCCCTAAGCAGGGTTACCTTCAGATGTCTTCTAAAAGTCTGGTAGTTGTTCTCTTTGACATCTGGTGGGAGGGCGTTCCATAGGGCAGGCGCCACTACCAAGAAGGCCCTCTGCCTGGTTCCCTGTAGCCTCACTTCTTGCAATGAGGGAACCGCCAGAAGGCCCTTGAAGGTGGATCTCAGTGTCCGGGCTGAACAATGGGGGCGGAGATGCTCCTTCAGGTCTTGGGACTTTGAGGCTGTTTAGGGCTTTCTAGGTCAGGACCAACACTTTGAATTGTGCTCGGAAACGTACTGGGAGCCAATGCAGATCTCTCAGGACCAGTGTTATGTGGTCCCGGCAGCCACTCCCAGTCACAAGTCTGGCTGCTGCATTCTGGATTAATTGCAGTTTCCGCGTCACCTTCAAAGGCAGCCCCACGGAGAGTGCATTGCAGTAGTCCAAGCGGGAGATAACCAGAGCATGCACCACTCTGGCGAAACAGTCTGCGGGCAAGTAGGGCTTCATCCTGCATACCAGATGGAGCTGGTAAACAGCTGCCCTGGACACAGAATGGACCTGCGCCTCCATGGACAGCTGTGAGTCCAGAATGAGTCCCAGGCTGCGCACCTGGTTCTTCAGGGGCACAGTTACCCCATTCAGGACCAGGGAGTCCCCCACACCTGCCCGCCTCCTGTCCCCCAAAAACAGTACTTCTGTCTTGTCAGGATTCAGCCTCAACCTGTTAGCTGCCATCCATCCTCCAACCGCCTCCAGACACTCACACAGGACCTTCACCGCCTTCACTGGTTCTGATTTGAAAAAGAGGTAGAGCTGGGTGTCATTTGCATACTGATGAACACCCAACCCAACCCCCCGATGATTTCTCCCAGTGGCTGCATGTGGATGTTGAAAAGCCTGGCCTGGTCCCTCTCCCCTCCCAGTCCTGGGACGCAGCCCTCCTGAATCTCCCGGGGGGGCACCCCTCTGACACTCTTCCTGGTCACCCGCAGCAAGGCGACGTTGGCAGACATTGTGGAGCAGCTGCAGGAGAAGGAGTCCACGGGGCCGGCAACCACGCCAGCAGCGGCCACGGTGAGTCCGTCCCCCCTTTTTGCTGTGCCCACCCAGGCCCTGGCTATGCCACCCATGGGTTCCTGGGCTCACATCATGTCTGCGGGGGCCTGGGTAACGAGACCTGCCTTGGGGGTCCGCCATCTTGGCCCCGGAGACGTCCAAGCGTCTCTCTCTCTCTCTCTTCCCCCGCAGCCTCGTGAGAGGGAGTCTCCGGCCCGCTTGCCCAACGGGCTGGACATGCTGCCCGACCGGACGCCCCGCCCCGACCGCCCCCGCGCCCGAGACCGCCCCAAGCCGCGCCGGAGGCCCCGGCCCAAGGACCCCAACGCCCCGCCGGGGGAAGCGCGCCGGTCCCGCTCGGCCCCCGCCCAGACCAGCACCCCGCCCCCGCCGCCCCCCACCCACACCGTCCAGCAGGAGGGCTACCTCCTCCGCAAGCTGGAGCTGGAGGGCCCCAACAAGAAGGCTTCCAACAGGTGAGTCGCGGGGGGGGAGAGACACTCCTGCCAGCACCCTCCCCGCCCGGGGCCGGTCCCGAGGGCCCTGGGGAGGGCAAAGCAAGTGGGCACAGCTGGGCTGTGGGGGGGGCAGACGTGGCCCCAGTTCCAGGGGCTTCTGCTTGGCTTTGGTGGGGCTTTGGGGGTGGATTTCTGCTTTCAATGGGTGAAGAAGGTTGCAGGCAGGGTGCTGGCAGGAACCTCATTATTATTATTATTATCATCATCATCATCATCATCATTACAGTGTTACCTTGGTTCTCAAACTTAATCTGTTCCGGAAGTCCGTTCTGAAACCAAAGCGTTCCAAAACCAAGTCGTGCTTTCCCATAGAAAGTCATGCAAAATGGATTAATCCGTTCCAAACTTTTAAAAGCAACCCCTAAAACAGCAATTTAACATGAATTTTACTATTTAACAAGAATCAATGTACTGTACTATAAAATAAATAAGGCAGTATTGTGTTTTTCCCCCTTACCTGCACTGATGATAGTCATTTTTTGGATGTGGGGCTTTTATCCATTTCCACAGTCACACAGTCAGTCAATCAGTAGCTGAACTGGGTTCCACACAGGCACAAAAACAAATTAACCGGAAAAGCCTCAAAAGCAAAAATGCAAAATAAAGAGTAAACACAAAAGTGCCAAACTTAATCCATTGTGGAAGTCCATCTGACTTCCAAAATGTTTGGAAACCAAGGCGCAGCTTCTGATTGGTGCAGGCGCCCCGGAAACAATAGCTGACAGCTGCATTGGACAGTCAGCTTCAGAATACTCACTTCCGGGTTTTCGGCATTTGAGAACCAAGGCGTTTGAGAACCAAGGTACCACTGTATTATTATAATATTTATTTATTTAAAGACTTTAGCAATTGCCCGGCCTCTTAGCCAATGATCACCCAAAAGCATCGCACGAGCATCACAGAAAGAGGTGGTCTGCAACAGGAATTTGAGGGGCTCAAACCCTGGCACCTTCTGCATGCCAAGCAGGTGTTCCCCCTGAACATCTTCTCCCCACTTGTGGGGGTGGGGGGCTCCTGGGTGGTGCTGACCCCGGCCGGCTTTCTCTCTCTCTCTCTGGCAGGTCCTGGATCAACCTCTTCTGCGTCCTCAATAAGGGGGAGCTGGGCTTCTACAAGGACTCTAAGGGGCGGGAGTCAGGCAGCACCCACGCCAACGAGCCCCTCCTCAGCCTCCTCAACGCCACGAGCGAGGTGGCCAACGCCTACAAGAAGAAGAAAAACGTCCTGAGGATCAAGTGAGCCTCCTGCCTGGGATATGGGGGGGGGGCAGAGCCGTCTTTCCCATAGGGCTTAGGAGTGCATCGCGCCAGGGCGCTGGCCTCTCAGGGGCGCCCCAGCAAGTGGGGGAGCAGCGCGGCTTTGGCGGCGGCCTCCCCTTTTCCTGCACTCCCGCCAGCTGTGCCCCGCCAACCATAAGGCTGGCAGGCATGCAGCTTCCCTCCCAAGCCTCCTCGGGAGGAGAGCGATCCCCACAGAGGTTTAGGATGGAAGCTGCGCCCTGCCAACTATATGACTGGCGGTGTGCAGCTTCCCTTCCAAGCCTCTGTGGGGCTTGTTCTCCTCCTGAGGAGGCTTGGGAGGGGCGCAACTTCACATTCCCAAGCCTCTGCGGGGATTGCTCTCCTGCAGCGGCATGGGGGAGAGTTGCGCCCCCCCCGGATGGCTGGCAGTGCGCAGCTAAGACCACCCCAACACTATCTGTTGTAATTTGGCGCTGGGCAGATATTTGCACCCCAGGGCCGCATCTGCTAAAGACGGCCCTGGGTGGGGCTCTGCTCCTTCCCTCCAAAGAGGGCAAGCAGGCCCCCAAGGAGTGGGGGGGTTGCTGGGCAAGGCGCTGGAGACCAAGGGAGCCCCTCCTGTCTGCGCCAAGGGGCAGGGCACAGATGGTGCCCCTCCTGGGAGCCAAGGTGCAGAATGAAGGCGAGGGGAACAGGCTCCCCCCAGGCCGGCAAGGAGGTCAGAAGGGAGCAGTACATTACATGGAAAGTTGGGAGAGACTTTGGAAGGAGGACATCAGATTTACATCATGTTATGATTTAAAAGAAAATTGCATGAAAATGCTTTACAGGTGGCATTTAATGCCTCTTAAGCTAGCCACTTAATGCGGGTGGAGCTGTGGTGTAGACCACTGAGCCTAGGGCTTGCTGATCAGAAGGTCAATGGTTCGAATCCCCGCGCAGGGGTGACCTCCCGTTGCTCAGTCCCTGCTCCTGCCAACCTAGCAGTTTGAAGGCACGTCAAAATGCAAGTAGATAAATAGGTACCACTCCGGCAGGAAGGTAAACGGCGTTTCCGTGCGCTGCTCTGGTTCGCCAGAAGCGACTTAGTCATGCTGGCCACATGACCTGGAAAAACTGCAGACAAACGCCGGCTCCCTCGGCCAGTAAAGATGAGTGCCGCAACCCCAGAGTTGTTCACGACTGGACTTAACTGTCAGGGGCACTTTACCTTTTTTTAAGCTAGCCAAAATGTTCAGATCTAGGACAAACACTTGTTGGAAATGCAGGGAGGCTGAAGGCACATGGATCCACATGTGGTGCAACTGTGAAAAGATCAGACAATTTTGGGAAATGATTTACAAGCTGAAGAAAATGTGCAAATGCTCCTTCCTTAAGAAACCTGAAGCCTCCTGCTAGGAATTATGGGGAAGTTCAGGAGAGTCTTTATGTATGTTACAGTGGCTGCCAGAATTCTAATCGCAAAAGGCTGGAAGGGAGAGGATATTCTAAATTACCGTATTTTTCCCTCTATAACACGCAGATTTTTTCTCCTAAAAAGGAAGGGGAAATGTCTGTGCGTGTTATAGAGCGAATGTGTGGTCCCTGGAGCCCAAAAAATCAAGCAAAAGTCAAATGGCGAGTCACGGAGAAGGGAAACCTGAAAAGAGGAAGTGGCAGCTTTCCTGCATTCTGCCCTCAGGGTCTTACTGCCCACCCTCCTCTGTTTCGTTGCTGTGTTTGCTCAAACGGAACAAAGAGCAGGGAAAGCCCCTCCCTCCAGGCAAGCAGAGTGTCGTTCTTTCTAATTCCTCTCTGTGCTCCGGTGCTGCTGGGGGAGAGGGAGAGAGAGTGGGGGAGGGAGAGGGAGAGTGGGGGAGGGAGAGGAGAGTGGGGGAGGGAGAGGGAGAGGGGGGGAGGGAGGGAGAGAGAGAGAGAGATGGCTGGCTTGGGGGGAACTTTTGCCTTTCTTTCCTCCCACCCGTTAAATCCCTCTCCAGCATTCTTAGCCAGCTGCTTCTCTGCACACCCCTCTCATGTCCCTTCTTTGTTTTTCCTTCGCTCCCCACTTAAAATGTGGTTACAAAGCATAGATCAACATGGATCCTCAGGATCTTTGCATTGGGTCACCCCAAATTCACCATCAGATCACATAGCATGTCCATGGCTACAGCCTGCACCAAAAAAATCACGCACCCACTGTTGCCTGGGGCTGCAATGGTGCAAAAACGTGGTTAAAAAGCATGGATCCACATGGATCCTCAGGTTCTTTGCATTGGGTCACCCCAAATTCACCATCAGATCACATGTCTGTGGCCACAGCATGAAGCACAAAAATGATACATCCACTGTTTCATTCAGAATGTTTTTTCCCTTGTTTTCCTCCTCTAAAAACGATGTGCGTGTTATGGTCAGGTGCGTGTTATAGAGCGAAAAATACGGTAGATTGGCAAAACAAGATAAGAAAGTACGCTGAACTGGCAAGATTATCAGAGTGGGATACATACAGAGTCTGTGTAAAAGAACATTGTCAAAAGATCAATCCGTTGGCAGGTCTTGATTGAGGTTTGATGTGCAATTAGGATAATTTTATAAAATAAAATTGATAGTAAGATAAATAACATGGAGAAAGCAAAGTCTAAGCACGTATTTAAGGAATTTAATTTGGGAATGCAAGGGGAAGATCAGAGGTCTTGTCCAATTTAACCACAAATGGATGTACAAAGCAAGTATTAGTTAAAGAATGAATAATTATTTTTTATGTCTCATTTTGCCTGTAACATCTATTGTACATTTCTACTATAAAGTTTTCAACCAATAAAGCATTCAGAAAAGGGGGGGGCAGCAGTACGTCAGAACACAGGGGCCCATCGAGCCCAACCTCCTTGTTCTCAGTGATCAAATGCCCCAAAGAACCTAGGAATCAAGATAGACTGCCTCTGGACCTGGAGGTTCCATAAGAATTTAAGGAAAGCCTGGTTGCAGGATTAGACCATTGGCCCATGTAGTCCGGCGTCCTGTTCTCATGGGCCAACCAGAGACCCATCATGGGAAGCCTGCAAACAGGATCTGGGCACGACTGCGCTCTTCCCTCTTGTGGTTTCCAGCAACGGAGATTCAATGCACAGCCATTGTGCCCAGGAGCCATCGATAGCCCTCTCCTCCTCCTTCCTAAATTTGCCTCATCCTCATTTACAGCCATCTAGGCTGGTGGCCATCGCTGTCTCTTGTGGCAAGGAGTTCCATAGTTGCCCCTGAACAGCGGCGTAGCGTGGGTTATCAGCACCCGGGGCAAGGCAAGTAATTTGCGCCCCCTAACCCGGGGCAAGGCAAGTAATTTGCGCCCCCTAACCCGGGGCAAGGCAAGTACAGTAATTTACTCTCCCAAGCAGCAGCAGCGAGGCTTCTCTTTCCCCCGCGCTCTCCTGGAGCTGCCTCTTTCTTTCCTTTTTCCCTTTCTCCAAGGCTTTTCGCTTTCTCTCCTAAATTGATTCCTCCTCCACACCGCGGCGTTTCCTGGCTGCTCCCCCCCCTCTCTCCTCCTCGCTCTGCTTGCCTTTCCCTGCCCTGCCTGAGGGCGCCCTGAGGAGACTCCGCTCTCCTTTTTGACCAGGCGAGGTGGAAAAAAGGGGGGAAAGTCTCTTCCCGCCCCCTCGCCAGACTCCCTGCTCGGCTCGGCTCACTACCCAGGCGGCCAGTGGAGAGAGTCTTGAGCCGCTTAATTCCCAGCAAGGAATTAGCAGGCTCGCTCCACCTCCTCCTCCTCCCGACTTTGCTGCTGCTGCTGCTGCTGCTGCACGGCTTTTTTCCTCTACCGACGGCACGCTGTGCCTTGGAGAGGTTCCCGCTTCCTCGAGGGGGGGCGGCCAAACGCGCCCCCCAAAATGTTGCGCCCGGTGCGGCCGGCACCCCTGGCACCCCCCACGCTACGCCACTGCCCCTGAATGGCAGTGAAGCGCAGGAGGGCCACTGGCCGGATCCAGCCCAAGGCTATTCCTCTGCTCTTGACTTCCCTAACCGCTGCTTCTTCCTCTCTTCCAGGACTAGCGAAGGTGGCGAGTTCCTCCTGCAGGCCAAGGACGAGGTGAGCTCTTGGTTCTCTCTCAGAAGGGTGTTTTTACATTTATTTATTTTTCCCAAAAAAAGTTTATACAAAATCCTGTAAAAGACAGTGTTATCAAACAGGATCTGGCGGCAATATACATATCCCATATATGATTATTTGTCTGCGGGCAAACACCGGCTCCCTCGGCCTGAAAGCGGAGATGAGCGCCACACCCCAAAATCGAATTCGACTGGACTTAACTGTCGAGGGGTCCCAGAGCAGAGACAGAACAGTTAAACAAGGCAGGGTTATGAAACAGGGATCCTGTGATATCAAGGTAATGTAATTAACTGATTCAGATGCCCTTAGTCACTGTATCAGTCCTATTCATTTGTGGGCCAAGGGGATCCCAGCCCATGTTCCTCCTGGCTTACAAATGAAATAAGGTCAGATCCCCAAAAAGGTAGAAAACCGTCCCTTTTCCTTTAGCCCCTGAAGACCCTCAGCTGTTAGTTTTCCACTTTAGTGTAGCAAGTAGGAAGATTGGCCCCATCTCAATTTTTCTAAAACTGTGCAATGGTCATTCTAAGCACTATAAGCAGGTATACTATCAAGTCTTCCTTATACAGGTAGGTAGCCGTGTTGGTCTGCCGTAGTCGAAACAAAAGAAAAGAAATCCATCATAGCACCTTAGAGACCAACTAAGTTAGTTGTTGGTATGAGCTTTCGTGTGCATGCACATTTCTTCAGATACCAATGCATGCACACGAAAGCTCATACCAATAACTAACTTAGTTGGTCTCTAAGGTGCTACTGGAAGGAATTTTTTAAGTCTTCCTTATGCCAATCTTGTCCCATATAGATAAAAGGGCTAATTGAGAAGTTGGGATAATGTTATGACCAAATAGGTCCTTTTAATCTGTTTAGGTGTTTAACGTAGATGAGACCCAGTACACCCTAGGAAGGCACAAGTCAACCTCAGACAGAGTATTGGATTTCTCTGTGAGATTGTTTTATTGGTTAACAAGTAATTCACATGTCAAGACAAGGAATATGGACTCAACCAGACACACAGCCCTTCATCTCCCATACTCACCACCACTCTTCGCTGAAGAGATCAGTTTCAGTCAGAGTTTTGGGTGGCCAGATAGCGGGATCCTGTCTGCCTCTGGCACACACACCTGAGAAGTCTCATCTTTTCTTGCTGTTCATCTGAATCTTGGCAGTCCTTCTTGTTCTTGGCATGTTCTTGGCATTCCATGATTCTTCTTGTTTGAACCTGGTGTTGCGTAGCTCCTGGCATTCTTTGAGACTAGTGTTGTATAGCCAGTCTTTTACGCCTCCTTGCATGTACCGTTCATATCATATTGTTTTTGCCAGAACATGCTCATTCCATTAGCTCTTTGATCAACACAGTTCATTAATAGTTCCTCAACAGCATCCATTTTGTGGTGTTCTTCAGCCATTTTAGGCCCATACAAACCATTCCAATCCAAAAAATCAGGATGCGGATGGCGCTGTGGGTTAAACCACAAAGCCTATGGCTTGCCAATCAGAAGGTCCCAGCAGTTCGAAAGCACGTCAAAGTGCAAGTAGATAAATAGGTACCGCTCCGGCGGGAAGGTAAACGGTGTTTCCGTGCACTGCCCTGGTTCGCCAGAAGTGGCTTAGTCATGCTGGCCACATGACCCGGAAGCTGAACACCGGCTCCCTCGGCCAATAAAGCGAGATGAGCGCCGCAACCCCAGAGTCGTCCGCGACTGGACCTAATGGTCAGGGGTCCCTTTACCTTTAATCCAAAAAAAGGTTGCAAACCAGGATACAGTCATACCTCGGGTTACAGCTGCTTCAGGTTGCATTTTTTCAGGTTCATAGAATCATAGAATCATAGAGTTGGAAGAGACCACAAGGGCCATCGAGTCCAACCCCCTGCCAAGCAGGAAACACCACCAGAGCACTCCTGACATATGGTTGTCAAGCCTCTGCTTAAAGACCTCCAAAGAAGGAGACTCCACCACACTCCTTGGCAGCAAATTCCACTGTCGAACAGCTCTTACTGTCAGGAAGTTCTTCCTAATGTTTAGGTGGAATCTTCTTTCTTGTAGTTTGGCTCCATTGCTCCGTGTCCGCTTCTCTGGAGCAGCAGAAAACAGCCTTTCTCCCTCCTCTATGTGACATCCTTTTATATATTTGAACATGGCTATCATATCACCCCTTAACCTCCTCTTCTCCAGGCTAAACATGCCCAGCTCCCTTAGCCGTTCCTCATAAGGCATCATTTCCAGGCCTTTGACCATTTTGGTTGCCCTCCTCTGGACACGTTCCAGTTTGTCAGTGTCCTTCTTGAACTGTGGTGCCCAGAACTGGACACAGTACTCCAGGTGAGGTCTGACCAGAGCAGAATACAGTGGCACTATTACTTCCCTTGATCTAGATGCTATACTCCTATTGATGCAGCCCAGAATTGCATTGGCTTTTTTAGCTGCCGCATCACACTGTTGGCTCATGTCAAGTTTGTGGTCAACCAAGACTCCTAGATCCTTTTCACATGTACTGCTCTCAAGCCAGGTGTCCCCCATTTTGTATACATTTTTTTTGCCCAAGTGCAATACTTTACATTTCTCCATGTTAAAGTTCATCTTGTTTGTTTTGGCCCAGTTCTCTAATCTGTCAAGGTCGTTTTGAAGTGTGATCCTGTCCTCTGGGGTGTTAGCCACCCCTCCCAGTTTGGTGTCATCTGCAAATTTGATCAGGATGCCCTTGAGTCCATCATCCAAGTCGTTGATCAAGATGTTGAATAAGACCGGGCCCAAGACAGAACCCTGTGGCACCCCACTAGTCACTCTTCTCCAGGATGAAGGGGAACCATTGATGAGCACCCTTTGGGTTCGGTCAGTCAGCCAGTTACAAATCCACTGAGTGGTAGCATAGTCAAGACCGCATTTTACCAGCTTCTTTACAAGAATATCATGGGGCACCTTGTCAAATGCCTTGCTGAAATCAAGGTAGACTACATCCACTGCGTTCCCTTCATCTACCAGGCTTGTAATTCTGTCAAAAAACGAGATCAGGTTAGTCTGACATGACTTATTTTTCAGAAATCCATGCTGACTATTGGTGATCACAGCATTCCTTGTTTGCTTAATGATCTGCTCCAGAATCTTCCCTGGTATTGATGTCAGACTGACTGGGCGATAATTATTTGGGTCCTCTCTTTCCCCCTTTTTGAAAATAGGGACAACATTTGCCCTCCTCCAGTCTGCCGGGACTTTGCCTGTTCTCCGGGAATTCTCAAAGATGACTGCCAGTGGTTCTGAGATCACATCTGCCAGTTCTTTTAATACTCTTGGATGCAGTTCATCTGGCCCTGGAGACTTGAATACATCTAGACTAGCCAAGTATTCTTGTACTATCTCCTTAGTTATTCTGGGCTGTGTTTCCTCTGCTGAATCATTTGCTCCAAATTCTTCAGGTCGGGCATTGTTTTCTTTATCGGAGAAGACTGAGGCAAAGAAGGCATTGAGAAGTTCAGCCCTCTCTGTGTCCCCTGTTTGCATTTCACCATCTTCTCCTCTGAGTGACCCCACTGTTTCTTTGGTGGTTACAGACCACCAAAACCTGGAAGTACCAGAACAGGTTACTTCTGGGTTTCGGCGGTCGCACATGCGCAGAAGCGCTCGATCGCAACCCACACGTGTGGAGACGCACAGGCGCAGGTTGCAAACGCTGCGGGTTGCGAACATGCATCCCACACGGATCACGTTTGCAACCCGAGCATCCACTGTATCTCAGAGCCCAGAAGGTTTTTACTTTACTGCAAGACCACCACATATGATAGAAATGTCCCTCTTTTTCTTTACATTTCCAACATTCCTTATTTTTCACCTTATACATTTTAGCAAGTTTTGTTGGCCTTAACCCTCTTCCTTCCTTCCTTCCTGCAGGAGGAGCTGAAGACCTGGCTGGAGGCCCTCACCGCCTCCATCGCGGAGCACGCGGAGATCGCCCGCTGGAGCCAGGCCTTGCTGACCACCTCCTCCACCGACGAGGGCAACCCCAAACATCGGGACGCTGACCGCAGGGCCAGTACCTCGGGCCGCAAGAAATGAGGCTGCCCCTCTGGCCGCAGGGCCGTGCTGTGAGGAACCTCCAGAGAAGGAGGCGCCGCCGGGCACTCTGGGCCCACCGTCCCCGTGGCCCTCGGCCTACGCAAGGAGGAGAGCTTCCTGGGGCAGACTCTGGGGGTCTTTGGGGAGGGCCACGGCCGGGCGCCAAGGCACTCCAGGGGCCCCAAGGTGTGGGGGGTGCCTGCTCCCTCTGTATCTGCTGAACCAGCCAAGACTGTAGAGACAGTGAATTGCTGGGGGGTGAGGCTCCACCAGCACAGAGGGGGGGAGCTGGTGCCCCAGAGGCTCCCCAGAGCCTGCCCCCCTTGCTGCTGCCAAGAGGCACCCAAGGGACCCAGGAGGCTGCTGTGCTTTCCCATGGCTGGTGCCCAGGAACAAACAGCGCCCCCCCCGTCAACCACGGAGTCACATCTTCTGCTTTTGTCCAATCTGTGTCCAGGGACCCCCCCTTTTCATATTCTCCCCCCCCCACGCTCCAAAATGTCTGCAGAGTCCTCCAAAGGGGACCCGTGTCAGGCAGAAGCAGAGGCAGGCGAGGGCCACGCGCCACGGTAGTGTGGGGGGTGTTGTGCAGGGCTGCCCCCCTTTGCTGCCACCAGCGGGAAGAGGCAACTCGCCCCCCCCCATCCCTCCCCAGGAGCTCAAAGTGCCTCCTTGACAACGGCCCTCAAGGGAGGTGTGTCAGAGGTGGGAACTGGCTGTTTCTGCTTTCTCTGCAAGAAGTTCTCCTTCCAGTTTCTTGTCTTCCGATCAGCAACAAAACTTGCTCCAGTGGGGGCAGTTTTTTGTGAGAGTTGGGGGGGGCGGTTGCGGGGGCATCGCTCCAGACCCCCCCTGCCTGCGTCCGCCTCGCCGCCTGCTTCGTCAGCAATCAGACTCCTAGGAACTGCATTCGACGCATTACTCAAGTCCAGAGATGACCCCACGCCGCTCCCCTGCCCCCACCCGGAAAAACGTCTCGTCTGGGGTGCTGTGTGTGTGTGTGTCGGCCCCTGGCCAGTTTCCCATCTGTGTCTGGCTCTGCTCCCATCTCCCTCGCGAAGCCATCTGCCCCCAGTTGCCTTTGCGCCTCTCTCTGCGTGCCGTTCCGATGCCCTCCGGACAGTAACCTCCTCTGCGTCCCTCGAGAGGCGGAGAGTGAAGGGGCCGAGGGGGGAGGCTGCCTGCTCCCCCCTTTTCCAAAGCCACCTGGGGCTCTGCCTCTCCCACTGCCTCATCTTTGGGGCTCGGGGGATCCAAGACAGAACGGGCTCCAGCTTCCAAGGAGGGGCCCGCAAAGGAGGCGCAAACGGCGCCCGGACTTTGGAGCACAAACTCACGTCAGCAGCACAAGGGGGGGGAGCCCGCGGGCACCGCTTTGGCACTGCTCTTAACAAGCCATATCCCTTGCCATCACGACTTCTGCTATCGGGGAGGGGCACCTCGGGGAGGGGGCTCACCCATCACGGCACGGAGGTGTGCTTTTATGCAATAAACAGCAGAGTCAGGAGCTGCACCTGGAGACGGCCCCAGGAGGTGCGGGGGGGGGGGCTTGGAGAGCTGGTCCCCAGCCAGAGCGGAGGCCCCAACAGGCCTCCAACAGGCAGCCTCTGCCCCAGAACAGCACATCAGCTTTGCCTGCGCCCTCGGAGAGTAGAGACCGTCTCGGATCCTTTATCTTGCGATTCCTGCCTTGCCAGGGGTTGGACCAGGTGACCCCTGGGTTCCCTATGATGAGGTCAGCCAGAGAGGGAAGGGAGGTTTCTGTGGGTCTTTACACTACAGAGGCTGGACCGGTCCTGGCGAGGGTTTTTCAAGCTGGATGTTTCACCCCTGACCCTTGTTTGTCCCCCTTGATTTCAAGTCCGCCTGCCTGGCTTCCAGCTCTTCTTCCCATTCAGTGCAGAGAGGAAACGGAAAGGCAACATCTGTCCTGGAAGCCAGCTGTGCAGCTCTGGGGGGCAGGTTAGGGTCATCCTCTCCTATCCTTTTCCCCTGGGAGCTCAGGGAGATGCTGAAGTCGTACCCCTGGTCCAGCTAGCTCCATCCGTATTTTGGATACCGACCGTGGCTCCCTTGAGATTTCAGACAGGCTCTCTGTATCCATAGCAGGTGCTTGACCACTGACCTATGGCCTTCCTGCCCAGTGTGTCCCATTCCCAGGACGGCCAGCGACCCCCTTAAGCTCTCCCTCCCAGTGTGAAACGCCTTCCTACAAGTCAATAACCGCCTCCATTTCCAGCCCGAGCTTTGAGACCAGGTGGGGAATGGGGATGCTCTTGCCAGCCAGGGGCCAAGATTGGGGGCTGTGCTTTGTACATTCTTCAGGGGGGTGGGGACCCTTGGGGTCCCTCCCAGCTCTAGCTGCAATGATTGGTGACCTTGGAGATTTGAAAACCCAAACTTTAAAACGTGACCCTTGTCCAGAGGAAGACAGTCCCAAGCGCAGCTGGCACCAGTCCCCAAACCTCTCTCAGCCCCAGGACTTGGTGTCAAGATGCTCCCTGCCCCACGTCCAGCCGCATGCTTGATCCGTCCAGGGCCGGTGTGCTCCCTAGCCAAGGCCTGGAGGAGCTCAGATTAATCGTCGTGCCTGTGAACGGACCGTTCTGGGGCAGCTTTTCCCAACGTTTCCAGCCTGAGACTGGGCCCGATCCGGCCTCCCTGGCCCCGGGTGTGTCTCCACGGTGCCTCTCCTGGAGCTGGTGCACTTTTATCTGTTGACGCTTCCGCATCCCCCTCGGCCTCCCCTAACCGTTCAGAAGCCTGTAAGATATTGTAATTGCTTTAAATAAGTTTTTTTTCTTTGTCTTGTATAGAAAAAGAACCGCCAAAAAACTGGAGCATTTGGGGTTTTGCATTCTCTCATTTTGTTTGGCTGTAAATCTTTCTGAAGAACTGTGTTTTTCAAACAGAGACCAATTTGTAAAAGAGCTTAGATCTTGGTTGCATGAGATCCAGCGATCAACTTGCTTGCTGCCTCTTCGTGTGGGTCCCCACCACGTCCAGTCATGGGAAGCCACGAATCCCCCATGCACCACGATGGGTGTTCAACGTGGCTGCAGGTGTCTGCTGCTCAGACTTCACCCATGTCCAGTTGCACAGAGATTAGTAGCTCTCTTTCTGCTCCCAGTGCAGATCCTGGTCATTCCACGGCCTTGACCAATGGGGAAAGCATGAGCTGTGCCACCTTGGTGTCCAATAAAGGGAAACGGAGTGGTCCTAGACCCTGGCTGCAACCAAACCTGTCTTTTGGGGTCCCATTTCTTTGCCAGGCTTCCATGGCAGCGTGCTAGCGGAGGCAGAACAGGCATGGGGACCCAGTGGCCCTCTAGATGTGGCTGGGACTATAACGCCCATTGGCTAGGCTCCCTGGAGTGGACTAAGTTGTAGAGTTATACATTCCCCTTTTAAACGCAGAGTGGATAGCTGGTTGCAGGCTTGTATAAGCCTCTCAGTATTAGGTCTCTTATATAAGTTCCCTTATATCCCTCTTAAAAGAATAAACATGCCACAATCTTGTTTAAAGTCAATAAAAGACATTTACTCACATCATCAGTTCACAGTTGGATCCCTGAAGGCGGACTTAGTTACAAAGGATATACATGTGGATCTATCCATATGGGGATAATCCCAGTGTCCTCTGGTGGCTGGAAGCCAACAGAGCATCCCTAGCTAAACAGCTGCTCCAACGACAGGAGGAAGTCAAAGAAAGAGAGTGGCAGCATGCCTTTGTCCTTTTGTTACCTGGACAGGTAAGGTCACGCCCACCTCTAGTCACATGCAAGAGGAAGGATGCTCCAGGCCAGGAGGAAACAGGAAGTTTTCAACTGGCTGGACCAAACATCCCCTTGCATGTCCACTCTAGGAAACCAAGGAATGTTGTACTTGACTGCTACTTATGCATCACATCCCACACCCTGTGCTAGACCTGAGCCCTCGCTACTGCTCTGCATTTTCTGGGTGCCCCTCTCCGCTGTGTTGCCAGGCCTCTTTCTTGCTAGGTGCTTTAAAAGAGGATTGGGCAAATTCGTGGAGGCAGGAATGCTTCTAAATGCCAGTTGCTGGAAACCAGGGGAGGGGAGAAGGTTCTTGTGCCTGGGTCGGGCTTGTGGGTTTCCCATTCTGGGCGTCTGCTTGGCCACAGGGAGGACAGGATGCTGGCCACATGGGCCATTGGCCTGATCCAGCAGGGTCTGCTTACGTTCTTAACATAGGAACCTGCCTTTTACCAAGTCTGACCGCTGGTCCATCTGTTGGTGGCAAGGAAGAAATAGGTATATCAAAGGAGAATTCCTGGATTGCAAGTTTGGAGCAAGTCCTCTTTGGTGGGAGAACCCCGGCAAAGATTTAAAATCACAAAGCATGCAGCAAGGTAAAGTGTGGAAATAGCGGCTGTTAGACCTTTAAGAGATGCCCTTGTGAGTTCCTTCCAAAGTTTCCCTCTTCCACAGCATAGAAAAATACCACACGTTTAGCGAGTTAATAATTGTTTACTTACAAACTCTCCAAAGGTCTGATTAATGTGCTTTCCCCCACATTGGTCGTAAAACACAGGCAGTGAAATTTGGTTTAGTTGCACTGGTGAAAGTTCCTAAATTATCAGTATGATAAAAGCTTGTTACAGCCATGCGGTCTGAGCCTGGAGCAACCCACCCACCCTCCTGAAACTGGCATTTGGGATTGGGGGAACTGTAGTTTCAGAGCTACAATTCCCAGCACCCTGATTCAACTACAGCTCCCGCCGTTCTTTTTTGGGGGGGAGTCATGCGCCAAATGAGTCTGCTCCCCCCCCATCCTCTCCAGGTGGAGGATCTGCTAGGCTCTCCCTGGCCTCTCCTACTCCTCCTGCCTGTTGTTAAGGGAAAAAATTGGGGGGAAAGCCTACTCAACAGCCCAGCTCATCAGGGTGCAAGTCCCCCGCGGGTCCATGAGGTCAGTAAAAGAAGGAAGTTCCAGCCAAGTAATTTGGAGCAAAACAGCAGTCAGTAGACTAGGGGGCTGGTCCATTGTTCCTCAGACCATGTGGGGGGCCGGACTATATTTTGAAAAATAAAAATGAATGAATTTCTATGCCCCACAAATAACCCAGAGATGCATTTTAGATAAAAGGACACATTCTACTCATGTAAAAACACTGATTCCTAGAACTTCCATGGGCCGGATTTAGAAGGCCATTGGGCCTGATCTGGTCCCCAGGCCTTAGTTTGCCTACCTGTGCAGTAGACCATGATCTTTATTGTTGCGCAACCAGTCCCCACGGGAGTAAGGAACCCTGAGCATGAAGGGACATCCTCTTTTAAACCTTCCCTCTTTCCCCCAGAATACTCTTTGAGGGGCATCATTGATACATCATCACTACATCACTAGCATGTCACAAATGGGGAGGGCTATACAAGGGTATACAGAGGACGAGATGGTGGGACCGTGTTCTCGAAGCTACCAGCATGAGTCTGACCAAACTGCGGGAGGCAGTGGAAGACAGGAGGTCCTGGCGTGCTCTGGTCCAGGGGGTCACAAAGAGTTGGACACGACTAAGCGACAACAACAACATACAAGGGTTACACCAGTTCAACATGAGGTCCCTTTATCAGACACCTTTCCCAACACCTCTTAACTCCCCATCACTGAAAGAACAATGAAACTCTTGTCATCTCCTTTCCCTCAGGACTAGTCTGGAGATGGGCTTTCAGAACACCTGACTTGCTCAACTGTCTATTGTTGCCCCCTGGTCACTCTCTGGGTGGGGGGCCCTGTCTGTGCTCTCACGCTTGGGGAATTATGGCGGGATGCCCTGTTCCTGCTGCCTACAGTGACTTCCCGCTTCTTGGTTCATGGACGGAGGTGGAGCCCAAATTCACCTTTCTTTAAGGACCAAAATGGCGTTGGAATGAGGAGAGTCGGTTAAAGTGTGGATTTTCTACGAATTTATAAAGGTAGGTGTCAGGGGTTCAGGGACAGAGGCACAGGTGAGGGAGGAGGCGGAGAGCGAGGGGGAAGAATCCCAGGGCAGCGAGGAAGAGGATGACAATGACTTGAGGGATTCCATGAGTCTTTCAAGTGAGTCGGAGGATTCCCAGAAGGGGGCGCCTGTGGTGAGGCCAAGGGGAGTCACAGGGGGGACCCGTCAGGAACAGGGGACCAGCAGGGGAACCCAAAGTGGGAGCTGGGAGTCGGGACCGGCTTCTCCGCCAGAGCGCAGTGAAGGGGGTGGAGATTCCAGAGTGACAGGGGAAGCAGGTCCGAAAGCAGAGAGGGAGGGGAGATCGGAGCAAGACATCGTCCCGGAAAGGGGAGGGGAGTAGTGCAGGGAGTAGTGTAACTGTCAAGAGGAAGGTTGGAGGTTGCGAACGCGCGCCAAGTTCAAATGTGGAGGCGCGCGGAAGTACAGGGAGCCCGGAGGAAGAGCCAGGTCCCAAAGCACGCAGGAGGGGGGAAGAGCTGTCTGGGGATTCAGCGTCAGGGGAATCCAGGAGGGGCGAAACCCCAGGGGGCAGGAAGACCCTGCGGAAAAGGAAAGAAAGGAAGAGGTGGAGCAGCACAGCCCTCTTAAACTGGTGCAGAGGAGGGACTGACTCAGAGGGGACTTCAGCGGTCTGAGCGTAACAGACGTGGGGCTGCGCGCCTCGGCTGTGGAGCGTACAATACACTTCAATAAACATCTTTGTAAATAAACTGGACTTGGCGTTGGTCTCTTGTGAGCTGGGACCTGAGGCAGCCCTGACACTAGGTATCTTCCCTGAGCTGTCAAGTCGAAAGGATACATTCAGGCAAAATATTTGTAACATTGTAACAACTTTAAAGATGTGGGGGCCCCCCCTGTAATTTCCGTAACAAGAGCTACAATTCCCAGCACCCTGATTCAACTACAGCTCCTGTGGTTCTTTTGGGGGGTGGGAGTCATGTGCGCCAAATGAGTCTACTCCCCACTCCTCTCCAGGTGGAGGATCTGCTAGGCTCTCCCTAGAGTGGCTGAGGAATCCCAGCCAGATAGGCGGGATATAAATATATTATTATTATTTATTATTAATCAATCAACCATTACAACTCTTATTATTATTATTTTCCCTGGCCTCTCCTGCATGTCTATTGGGAATTGGATGATCCATGCATTTTGTCTCCCGGCGAAGGACGGAATACAAATTCAATTAACAGCCATGATAGTTAGGGCAGTGTTTCCCAAACTTTTTGGGCAACGGCACACCTGTTTACTGAAAAAAAATCTCGCGGCACACCACCATTAAAGCCCCGCCCCGTGACGTCAGCGCGCAGCGTCACGCCGGGAGGGACGCACGAAAGTGAAAGTTTTTTCCCTCCCCCTTGCCGGGGAACCTCCAAGCTTTGGGGGTGGGAGGAGGCAGCAGAGCGAGGGACTGAGGGGCGGCGGCAACTGAGGCGGCGGCGGCTGTGGTGGTGGTGGCGGCGATAGCGGGCGGAGGAGGGGGCGGCGGCGGGCTTGAGGAGCCGTCGCCGGGAGTTGCTGCTGCTGTTGTTGCTGCTGCTGCTGCCCGGACATGCCGGCCTCCTCCTCCTCCGCTGTCTCGCGCTCCTCCCTTTTGCACGCGCTGCCCCGCCGCTCGGCACCACCACCGCGGAGCCGCCCCCGGCTCGACGCGGATCCTCGCCGCCGCCGCCTCTCACCGCCCGACTCGCCCGGACCTAGTGGTCAGGGCTCCCTTGACCTACAGGAGGGCCTGGCCTGCTCTGCTCCGGGGGTCCCGAAGAGGCGGACACGACTCAACAACCTCTGGGCCCAGGGCGCCCCCCGCCCCCCGCCGGGCTTCCTCCCTCTGGGCCTGGAGGCTCCTCGCCCCTTCGAGGGGATCCCACCGGCCCTTCCGGCCCTTGACCTTTGAGCCCCGGGGCCGCCACCCTTGACCCCGCCCCGCTCCTCTTTCAGGCCCAATGGAGACGCCGAGCAGGCGGGCCCT